ATAGTGATGAAAGATGGAATATTAGAAATTTTTGTCTTATCACTTTCCTTGTCATAAAGACAGTAGAAGAATGGGTATCTAGTACAAAAAAGCTATAAGAACAAAAACAAAGAGATTTTTCTCCTATTGTAGTCACTCGTGTATGTAAGTGAGTATTGCCGAGGTGAAGAGCGATGACTGCCGGGTAAAGTAAGTGAGATGTTTTTTCTACACAACGTTTATAGAAGTGCCGACCGACCTTCACATACAATAAATTTTGTTCTGTTATATTAACGACAATAGCATGTATAGTACGAGTACTACATTTAATAGAACGAGAAAGAAATACAATCATAAGAGTAAAGAAATAATCTACCGCAAAAAGAGAAGCACGAGTTACAACTTTATCATTTATTGAATAATTAAAAATATACATCACTTGTTATTTTTTTGTCGCGGATACTTCTAAGTTTTCTACTAGTACTCATATTTGTCAATTGTCAAAAAGAAAGGCTCGTGATTATTACATATCATCATTCAAATGATGAGATCGTTTTTCTTTGTTCTTTTTAAATATACGCTACGCACATATGTATATTTAAAACAATTTCATCTGCATATTATCAATGTCGATTGGATGAAAAATAGTATCGATTCATGTAAGGTCGATCAAAAGAAAAAAAAAGATACAATTAAATTTGTCGACCTTGATTCAGTTGATAACACATAACATCAAACAACATCCAATTGTTGAGTTTTCATGGTAAATTTAAACGATGTTATATTTCATGATAGTGAATAAAACGAAAGTGTCACAATTCATTTAAAAATTGATGCAGTAAAAAAAAGTAGTTTGTTCTACAAATTTCATGATTAATAATGAACTATGCATTACTTAGTATTCAATATATACGTATATCGTTTCATTAGAAATTGTACACTATCAAGTAATTTCTAAGTTTTCATGATCACTATATACAATCTAAGACTAATTTAACAATTGCTATATGTCAATAAAGATAGAAATGAAAAACTATCGATAATTACATTCTTACTTATTTGATTAATTCATAATAACAACAAATAACCTTCGATATATGTCTATGTATCAAAAAAGCATCTCTGTTGAGAAAGCAGATTATCTTGATAGGTGCTACTAATTTTGCTCGAGGAGACAATTAGTCTTTTTTTTAGAATTGATTACAAATTATTTTCACTTGCATATTATTGATTGTAATTAGCAGAGAGAAATGTGAGTTGATAAACGTTTTGTAACATGCATTTAAAGGAAGTGGACTCTTTTTTTTGATAATTATGAGAATGACTGAAGAATTTTAGTTGAAACACATGATGGTCGTCATATAATAATTACGTAACTCTTGCATTCTCTATTATTATAGTTGAATAATTAAAACATTTGTGTTAGGTTCTTTTTTTTCGAATTATAATAAAAGTAAATTGAAATATAAAACTAATAGTTCTTTTTTTTTGTCTAAGAATTACAACATTAAATGTCATATTATTTTTTTTATTATTAAATAAATGATGGAGATGAATTAGCTCGATAGTAAAGCCATGGATAATCATGAGAAAATCTTTCCGTATTAGATGGTGATCGATATGGTAATGCATTTGGTTTTCGTCGTATTCCATATGCTTCCATACAAGTTCTTCGTTGTTCAATGATTCCGTCATTTTGTTGACTTTTTTCTAATTGAATTGATAGACCTTTTAATGATCCATCTTGTTCACGTTGTAATTGAACATGTTGAATACTTTGATATGTATCGTCATTATCATAATTTGTTTTATCCACTGATGGTGCTGATGATGATGAAGATGATGTTGATGATGTTCGAGGAGATTTTTGACTTAATAAATTAAATTGATCTATTGATGATGAAAAATAATCTTCATAATGATTATGAAATGGACTATCTGCTGATAAGGAAGCAATTTCATCATTACTATCATAATAATCCAGTTGAATTTCAACTGATTTATCGATAGATGGAGTGTAAGGTAAATTAAGTGTTTCACAATTTCGAAACGATGAATTTATTGATTGAGAATTTGAAGAAAATTTCTAGAAAAAATTTCATTGAAATTAATATTTTATTCTTTATGGTCTACCTGCTTAGATATTTCATTAGATTTAGTTGGTAACGTATCAGCAATATAATCATCGTTATGCCATGTTGCACTCGTACTTCTTGTAATATCATTAAAACATGATTCAACTCTCAGAGTTTCATCAATAAGAAATGTTGGTAGTTTAACTTGAAATGAACATTTACCTGTATCATCAATATATTTAGCAAATGTTTCAATTCGTTGTTTGATCATATCTATTGATTTTGTTGGATCTATTGTTGTTGAAGATGATGATGATGAAAGTGAAGAAAGTAATGAACCAAGATTTCCTTTCTTCATTCGTATTAATTCATTTTTATCGATATTTATACGTGCCATTTCTTTGTCAACAAATAATTCATATTCTTTACCTAATATTTCATATTCATCATTTATTGTTTGTATAATAAGTGTATGTGCTTTATTAATTGTATTAATTGTATCAATACGCCATTTATGACATTGTTCAATAGTTTCATTTTTTTGTTTTTCAAGATCATTTTTTGTATGAAGTATTTTTGTTAATAGACAATCACTTAATTCATTTAAATATTCAAGTTCAGCAGTTACTTTTTTATAATGTTTATTACAACATCGTATACATAAACGTTGATTACAATGACAACATTGAAATAATCCATCATGTTTTTGACAATCATCACATTTTAATGGTGTTTCCATTAAATCATTTGATGATTGATGATGATGATGATGTGACGAAGATAATCGGGAATCATCATTTGGTATTGTCATTGTTGTTGGGTGGATTGAAGATGAACATGTTTTATTAGGAAATATTTTTGTATCATGTAAATAATGTTGACGCTAAAATTAAAATAAGTATTCTTGGCGAAATGATATTATCAAATGAATTTTTTTTTGTCTATTTTGAAATATAGACACTAATATCTCATCAATGAATTAAAATATTAGATAAATTACATACAAGTCTTCGTATTGATGGTGAATATTTTCCTCCATCGTTTGATAAAAATGATGTATCAAATTTAGTTAAACCACGTCTGGACATAATTCGATCAAAGAACTTGGCTTTTTCAGGCATTGATATGCACACGTCTAACCTTAACTGTAATAATGTTGTAAGTCTAAATACATCAACTAATCAAAGAGAGCGAGGAAGAAGAAGAAGAAGAAGAGAGAGGGAGAGATATGTCAGCAGGATGTGTTAATACAAGAAAACAATCAGCAATAAGAGCACGTATAAATATGTGGGTGGCGTAAAAACAACAGTATATACAATATGCAATGATATCAATCAGCATTTATATACATTTTACATGAAGAAGGTTGAATTGTCTATTTAGTCGATTTTATAGTTATAATTACCTTCTTAAAATAGATATATTTCCAGATAATATGCTGTCAAGGCTATCATTGAAAGGTTTTTTTTTCATTCGTAATAATACAAATATATAAATATATATACACATATTTTATGTTATAAGATAAAGTATTTGTTTACGTGTATAAATGCCATTCTGACATGATAACTATTCGCCTTTTTGTTTTGTCTTCAAGGGATATAAGAAGCTATTTTAAGTAACTAGGACAAATAAGATATATATATAAGAAAATATTTATCTAACGTTCACAAATTATACATAGGTCAAAGAATGACGATGAATACTTAGATAATTGTTTACATGAGAGGGATAACCATAATTTTTAAATAATGTTATTGTCCATAATCGTCGATACTAATTGCGCTTTCTTGTTTAATTAAAAAGAAATATTACCATTGTTTTGGTATAGAACTTATCGTTAGCCTTTTTCCACATATGTATATATATGCACGCTTCACTTAGTATATTTTTAGCATATTGGCTAATGTACATGTTGACGGAAAGACGATAATAAAAGAAATTGTTGAATGGTTTGTCTATAGATAAGATTATTATAGTTCTATATAAAAAAAACTAGGTCTCAGACTTAATTATCCAATAATTCATAGGTAATATCAATGAGATAAAAAAGAATGAAAATGTTGAATTATTAAATTGCATATTGTATTCAATGTGGAATTGTTTCTCTTGAAAGTATTGCAATATCAAACAATCTATGACATGTACTTTTTAGTATCAAATAATGACAAGATCAAGGGGCTAATTAGAAAACCTTCTGCTGTTTTTCATCTGGAAGAAATTACAAAATATATAAGATGATTATTCAGTACTTGAATATGTTTCTATGTACTAGAAGTTTTATTACAATGTATGTGCCGATATGAATTTTATAATCTCTATCTTAAATGTCGATAAGAATGTATAGATGTCGTCATTATTCTATTCATTTGTAACATGCCACGTTGTTTTTCTTTTTTCATATTGATATTGAGTCAAGTCTAAATTCTATTGTTTTTCTTCTTATATATATATATATTCATTGAATCTTTTACCACTTTTAAATCCTTTCTATAGACTCTGTAAATGTTGAGGATATTTTGTAATAAAGTTTAAATTACTTTAGATAAAAAAAAATGTCGAATAAAAGTTTAGTTGTTATTACTGGTGCTAGTTCAGGTATTGGTGAAGCAGCAGCTCGATCTTTCTCTCAAGCTGGTCATCCATTATTATTACTTGCTCGACGTCTTGATCGTTTAGAAGCATTAAAATTACCGAATACAATTTGTGAAAAAGTTGATGTTACTGATCTTGATCAAATCAAAACAGCTGTAGCAAAAGCTGAAAAACAATATGGTCCAGTTGATTGTCTTATTAATAATGCGGGTGTTATGTTATTAGGATTATGTGATACACAAGATCCAAAACAATGGGAACAAATGATACAAGTCAATATGATGGGTGTTCTCAATGGTATTCATGTTGTTTTAGCAGGAATGAAAGAACGTCGTCATGGAACAATAATGAATGTTAGTTCTGTAGCTGGACGAAAAACATTTCCAAATCATGCTGTTTATTGTGGTACAAAATTTGGTGTTCATGCTTTTACAGAACAAATCCGAGAAGAAGCATCATCTTATAATGTTCGTTTTATTAATATTGCACCAGGTGTTGTAGAAACTGAACTTTTATCACATACAACATCGAAAGAAATTGTTAGTGATTATCAAGATTGGAAAAAACAAATGGCTGAACCATTAGTAAGTGAGGATATTGCAAATTCAATGATATTTGCTTATCAACAACCACAACGTGTTTGTATTAGAGAAATTCTTATTTGTCCAACAAAACAAGAAAAATAGATTAGAATTTTTTTTATCTTACAAAATTCATTTGATTCTTTTTAATAAAAATATATATTAGTACTTTCATATCTTTAACTTATTGTATGTGGAAGATTTTCTTGAGAAACAATTCGTGAGTATTTTTCTATATAAATCATATTTGGTATACTAGAAGTACCACCAAATTAGTTTTATAATCTGTTCTTTATGAAAAAATAGACTACAAACATACATTCTCTTAAAATGAACAAAAGAAAAATCAAGCTAGAAATACAATGCTGTTATAATACTATTTTTACAATAAACAGCGACAAAAGAAACAGAACAAAAAAAATGTTTGATGAAACTGTTCACATTGAGCAAACAATAATATAGAAATTTGAAAGACGAAATAATTTAAAATGATAATTTTCGATCATCATGTTCATCAACATCAAGTAATAGTGTTGTACAAGTTGTTGTATGATTACGTATAATAACATTTGATTCAATTTTTTCTTGACTTTTTGTCAGAATTGTATGATTTTGAAAATGATTCATAAAACTATCTACCGATGATAATTGTACAGGTTTTATATAATGTTTTCGTAATTGTATTAAACGCATATTTCGAGTTAATGTTATTGCTAACCACCAACGAAATATAATTCGTTGATGATTTGTATATAAATAAATATCTCGTTTCGATATTCGTAAATACTGATAACGTTTTTCAATTTGTTCATTTATTATTGAACAAAAATAAACAAGTACAGGATGTGTATGAAGACATTCCATATGTATAAATGATACATAAGATATAAAACCTATATCTAATTTTTCTAATGCACGTCCATGTATACAATAATCCAAACGTGGAAGAAAAACAAATGTTACTATCCATGCTTTTAATATACGAAATGCACATGATATTAAACCAAGAAAACAATCGAAGAAAAAATTGAAATAAGTAAATACGAAATAAACTCGAAGATTTTTTAATACCATTATTTTTCCATGTCTAAAAATAATTTAGCAAATCTATTAGATCAAAAGAAAATATTTCTCTTTCATCGAGACAAAACAAATGATATAAACAACGTTCGAGTGGGTAGCGTTGGGTCAAGTTCAGTGTGCTCCAAATTTGGAGTTTGCGAATATGTAAGCTTTAGCGAAAACCTCTGCCTGAAAACTGTAATCATCTGTTTTTGACTGCTCTAATAGATACTCTAGACTGTACTGAACCGACTGGTGATGCTCAAGAAGAAAAAGCACATATTTACAAGCTACAATTTGTGGAAAAACTTGAAACTCCAAATTTGGAGCTCACTTAACTGAACCGTAGCGTTTTATAGCCACACCCTCGCCCTTGTAATTGATATTTGTAGCCAGAAAAGGTTGTAGGGGGCTGAGTTGGGTACGGCGGTCCTAAAAACAACGGAACCGAACCCGCTCTTTTCGCATTTCTACTGATCGGAGCCGGACCGGACCCGCGGTTCCGGGTAGTTTTTGGGACCACCGTACATTAGGGCTGGGCCTTTCATGGCCACTGCTCGACTACGCGCCTAATGTTTATTAATTCATTGGCCTGATATATACTACCAGGATTATTAAATAGCTCTCGTGTAGTCTGATTTAAGCATGTGAAAACCAAAACGGATCTCTACGCAGAGCTGGGCAAAATACTCGAAATACTCGTACTCGAGGATATGATCTTGGAGTTCTTAATTATGTCTCATAAAAAATTACTATGTGATTATGTGCTGCATGGATGACATGAATTCTTGACGTCTTTTTCTTTCGACTGTTTAAATATAGATTTTTCCTCCTACCAACTATGGCAAAAACTCTTAGTCACCCTCGATACAATAGTACTCGAGTACGGTTGTGTTGTACTCGTACCCGAGAAAGAACGTACTCGCCTAGCTCTGCCTCTACGATATTCAGTTTCGAATTCAACTACGAAAATTAAATTGATTTTTTCTTCTTCATATCTTACCTTTGTAAAAAGAATGTTCTTGATAAAAACCATTGTATAATAAATTTCATTAAATAAATAACTAATATAGGTATCAATACTTTTGCAATTTCTTCGATAAGAAATACATGTTTGAATAGAATACGTAAAGCAATTAATATGAAAAATACTAGATTACCAATAATAATATATCCAAATATTAAATAAGCAATACAATAACCTGGATAATGAATATTTTTTGACATTAATCGAGCAGTTTTAAAGGCTGATCTTGCTGGAATATCAATAAAAATTCCTTTATAAGCATTAAGCATATGTTTTTGATAATGTTTCATTCCGAAAAATAATTGTCCGAAATAAATAATAGATGTTAATAAACAAGTAAATATCATTTCATATTTAAGATTAATTAATTTTGGTTCAGGTAAATCAAGTTCATCATAAACAATTAATAATGGTAATAACGTAAAATTATAAATTTTTTCAATAAGATTAAACCCATTTTCTAACATATTAAATGTTAAATAATATATTAACATAAACGCAATCATATACATATTCAATATTTGTTTTGAATAATGAAAATATTTTTTTGGTTGATAAATTTTATTTAATAAAGATTGAACTAACGAAGATTTTTTATTATAATCTAATTTTTGAAATAAATCATGAACATAATAATATTCAATTGAATGATTTTTATTAGAAGTAAATGTGGGTTCATGATAAATATGTTTTAATGGTTTTTTAATCGAATTTTCATTATTACAACAGATAAATGAATGATAAACATTACTAATTAATAAATATGTTAATCGACAACATATATATGTTAAACATAAATAATATGGTGCATATTTAAGTACACTAACTGTAGATGAATCAATACCAAATTGATCAAATGTAGAAAGAGAATCATTTGAATGAATATATAAGGAATTATTTAAATCTATCGATGACCAATTTAAGGAATTTATAGGTATGACAGATGATTCATACATTGAAAATGGCTAAAATAAAAGAAAAATAATTGTCATGTAATTAGATTTAAGTTAATCTTGAAGGTGTAGGTGAAAGATAGACTATATATCGACACCAGGGACCTGCGGAGTCAACTTTTTTGACTCCAAATCCGACTCCGACTTCAGAAAATTATATTTTACAGACTCTGTCGGAGTCGAAGTCATAATCGGGTTTCGGAGTCTACCGCAGCTCCCTAATTCACACTCATCCTCTCTTAGGATTATTTTAATCTAGAAGTTTCCTTTATGTGCCCAAAGTATAGGCTCTAAAACGGTTAATCATTTCGCATATCTCCTTCGTAAGCATGAATTTGATGGGCGACATTTTGTAGTTTATTCTTTTCAACTGCTTAAACTCAGAAAGAATTCTATATAACAAGTGACGCTCGTTCGAGGACTCGCTTAGCTCTTTCTCGTAGAAATGCATCGTCCCCACATTTACTGAAAAAACACAATTGAAAATCGTGAAAAATAGATTTTCGATGTTTTTTTGACCTTTGTCCTCTCTTTAGCCCCCCCCCTCACCATGGTCACCCAACAGACTTCAGATTCGAACCCCCCACATCGAAATATCTCTAGAAATGTTTTTTTGGCCCTGCGGACAGACAAGCAAACAATTAATTTTTACTGGACACTTCTCTACGAGAAAGAGAATAAATTAACTTACATGAATAGTTGACGTCATTGTTGTTGCTGCAGTTGTTGTTAATTTTGTTCCTCGATATACAAATCGATCTTTAAATCTATGAATACGATTTCTAAATCCTCCTGAACGTGCATCATCATATTCAGGCATAAGCATTGTTGTTGTACTACTAATTAATGCATTTGATTCATATTTTGTTATTAATTGATTTTTAAATTGTTCAAATTTTTGCCATGTTTGTATTAATGGTTTCATATTAATACAAAATGCTTGTTCAAATATTCTTAAACATAAATCTAACCACATATATAATGAACATAATATATAATAAAGTATATTTGTATTTGCCATTTCAATAATTGAATAAACAGGATAATATCTTAATGCAACAATAATAATCAAACCAATTTGTCGAATAAGCTCAAATAATGGCCCATTTATTGTAAGTAATTTCATTTGTGTTGTTTTTAAAAAGATTTCTTTAATTATTTCTAATATTTCATAACTTATAATTCCACATAGAATCATATTATCAAAACGATTAATTTTCGAAAATGGATTAAATGGTAATGGTATATAAATTGAAAATTTTTCTTTATTTAACCGATAATATTCTTTTCGTGTCTGATTAATAATTATCAATAGAATAATAACTAAAGCAATAGGTAATGTTAATAAATTATGATAATAATTATTTTCATATAATATACAAAATTCAAATAAATGTGTCGAATGATTCATTGTTTGTTTGATATAATTTTTTGCATTGATAATAATAACACTAATTATTATTGTTAATGTTATTGGTAAAAGAATAAGAATTAAATTTTTCGGTTTAATAAAAAGATAACGAAAATTAAACGAATAAATAGATTCATGTGAAGATGACCATGAATGTTTTTTATTCGATGTAAAACTATTCATATGATCGATTATTTTCGATGATTGTGCTATTGAATTTTGACCACTTAACAATATACTATAAATATCAAAACAAAATTCATTCAAAAAATCTATTATAATCAAACTTACGTTTGTGATTGTTCTTGCGTAGATTTTCGAAATGACCAGGAATCTTCTGATCGATCCATATTAATAATATAGGAAATGATAAACGCAATGAAAACAATGATAGCACCAATAATTATTTGTAAACCTTGACTACTCCCTAAAATAATCAATTTAATTTTTTTATTAAGAAAATATTATACAAAACTTACATTTTTCACATTGATCGCCTGTGTAAAGAAACCGACATTGACATTTAAATGTATTGGTCAATGGTAAATTAATACATGTTCCATATTTACCACAACTAGCACTATTATTATAACATCGATCAATTGCTAGAATAAGTAAATAAGTATAATATTTTCTTTTTTTTTTATTAAGACATACTTTGTTTACAAACATAAGGTCGTAAAGCTTGTTCAACACATGGTGCTGGTGTAATTACACTTGTATTTCGTGCAAACCATAGAATACCACAATCATAAGCAAGAATATCTCGATTATTATCAGCCCAACGTCGATAAACTAAAGTCTCTTTTAATGGTATATCATTCAACCAAAACCAAGTATCTAAAAAAGAAAATTAAACATAAATGATTTTTTATTCTTTGTTTTTTAAATTCCTACTATTGATTTTACGTAATCCAATATACACTGATACGCTATCTGATCCTGATTTTAATCCAATAAGTTCTCGTTCAATAAATTCATATTCATCGATTGATTCAATAGATAATAGACGAGCATCTTTTGCTTTTGGTAATGATAAACAATTATTATAAGCTCGTTCCCATGATGGAGCTGGTGCTGTTTTCATGTATGTATAACAAGACCCAGCAAAATATTTCGATGGTGAAAGACATTCTAAATATCAAAAAAAACATTATTTCATATTCATATATACATTTCATACGTATTCCATGTTTGACTCTTTCTTTCGTTTCTTTGATTAATTGATAGGCTTGATGACTTCGTTTTGTTACTAAAATAAAAGCATACATAAAAAGAAATTTATTTTTTGTTTATTGAATATTTACTCGAAGTTGATTGAACATTATTTATAAAAAGAAATAATATAAATATCGTTAAAACTATTTGTCGAATCATTGAAATATTATGATTACTTGTCTTAACATCTAGAAGAAGAAAAGAAATGAAACAAGGACAAATAAATTGATACATATGTCGAGACAATAGAAAAAGAAAATTAATTGAAATCTGATCATTGTTTCTTTACGCAACGTTGTCTTCGTTTGAATAAGTCACGTTTTGAATAATTCCTTTTTATTGTTACTCATTTCGATGCATTGTACTCTTCAAAAAAAAAAAGTAAACGAAATATCACACCTACTTGTAAATATATAAAATCGAAAAGATTAATATCAGACGCCTATTTATATATTCTTTACTCAAACGAACAAATACAAATTAAAATTGACGATACCACTTCATCTAATATATTCATCGACGATAATTGTCTATGTCTGCCTCGTATATGTATTTACATCTATTAGAAACAATCAGTCTTATCGACGTGACTTTTCAACTACAACTATCCGCCCCCACTACTGTTTGTCTTATACGTTTTATGAAAAAAAAAAAGATTATAATGGTTGAATGAAAGATATAACTTATGCAACTCATTTCTTTTGAATTCGATTCTTTTTTTTTGCTGTTGATAATGTTTGTTCAAAGAAGGCCATTTTCGTATTCAATGAAGTCAGTAAAAAGAAATGAACAAAGTAAACGGTCAATATGATATAAACGATTACATCAAGCGGAAGCAAAATGATTTCAAGAATAATAACAGAAAGGGTCAGTGCATTATTTCTGTTGAAAGAAAAGAAAAAGAAAAAAAAAAGAAATGAAGGTTTACGATTATCGTATCTTACATATTCAATGATTTTGAACAATATATATGAATAAACATACGTTAGATAGCTACGTAATAATCATTTTAACGGACATATTCAATCAACCATTTACCTATGCTGATTTTGAATGACAGAATGGAACTATTACTAGTATTCGTTCTTATTGTTGATTGATATCTCTGACGTATATTCTATTGACTAACAACAGTAGTCGATATTGTATAACCGGAACGAAATGTATCGCGTGTATTATTCTTTCCTCTCCCTTTCACAAATACAATAGTATCATATACGAATGCATAAATACACAATGGAATAATACAATAGATTCTAGTTCTCATTAAACAACCAATTCTATACATATGTATACGCATGAAATATTGCCCGGAACGAATATGTATATGTCGATTACATAAGTAAAAATAAAATAATGAATTTAAACAATCCATTAAAGAGTATAGAAAACAATGATCGAATAGTTTGAGTACATACATGAAAAAAAAAGAAAGAGTTAGTCGGTATAGATGAAAAGGCTTCTTGTAATTCGTTATACTATACAATCAAACTAGTCTTTTGTATATATATATTTAATCCTAATATTCAATAATGAAAGAAAAATCAGATGTTGTCAATATCTGATAAAACTATATATGTGAACATTGACCATACTATACTACATTACCTTGTCAGTTTTCTTTTTTTTTCTCTCTACAATGAATGATAACAGTTATCAGCCTAGTAACAACATGCCTGATTTTTCTTCTAGCACATGCTTATATGTCTCATACTCACACTTAAGTCAAGACGGAGAGGAGTGCTCAATACGATGATGATAATAATAAATATTGAACAAAAACACGTATTGATAAGATGCCTAGATATATGTCATTTATATATGGTATAGAATGAAAGAACTAAGAAAGAAAAAATCTCATTATTCATCATATCACCTGTTATAGTCATACAACTGCTATTTTGATTACACAAGAACGATAATAATACTATACGACTCTCTATGTCTCTTTTGATCTCAGATATTGTTAGATGAGAGATACACGAATAAAAAAAAACCAATTAACTTACTAAAGCTGTGTTCATCAGAACACCTCACATTCATATGTGATATGTTTGTTTTATGCATATCATCAATATAATAGATCATTCAACAACATAGTGTGATAGAAAAAGAGAGAAATCTATCATAATGAGTAGTCAATGTCAACTCTCTGTAAAAAAAAAATTTTCTCTTTTATTTTTCAATTTAAAATATAAATACCCTTGTCGAAATATATAGCCATCGTTTAATTTTCTATCAAATAAAAATAAAATTTATCTTTTCATTTACAGAGAGTAGCAGAGTTCATTATAAACTATTATCTATATACTCAATGTCAAGATCAAGGATTGAAAAAAAATATCAACTAATCCTTTTCATATCATTAAATAAGGTTGGAAAGTTATCCTTGATCTCTGTTGCTTTTTTATTTTATCGTCTCGACATAAAAGTGTATGTCATCATCGTCGTCTATTGTAATCAAATTAGGTCGATTGATGCAATCTATTTATCAATAGACATCTACGATCAAGTGTATTTTTTTGTGGGTTGAACGTAATTGAAAGTAGACAAAAAAAAAATAAAATAAAGAAGAGAGAATGTCTACGAGACACCAAATGTAATTAATATTTGATCAAATATGAAATGAAAGGAGATTTACTTCTTCTTACTTATTTAATCGATGATGGCACCAAAAAATAAAAAAAAATCTATACTTATATTATTCGTTATTCTAGTTCATTTGGTCTATATATATATATATATACATATGTAAAGCTTAGACTGAACTGAACCTTGAAAAATGAATGTCAATTTCATGTTAAATCACTCATTCTCTTCTCTCTTCATTTAAGTGTGAGACTCTTCGTTTTCTATTCTGACCAACCCAAGGGCTCATCTTTACTCACATATATATATATAGGTACAACACTTGTTACATGAATTGAACTTGAAGGTTAACGAAAATCTCTCGTATGTTAATGTAAAGTCTCAAGAAAAAAAGAAAGAAAGAACATTATTATACAATATAGATATGTATATCTATATATCTGTACCTAAAGAATAACCTTCAAACGGCTCGAGTTGCACATCAGTGAGATGATGATAGGGGGACGAAGTGTTGTGAAACGAAGATAATGAGATATATATGTATGAACGAATACGACACATCAAGGTGAAAGAAAGTCTCAAAAGATTATCGTTTGTTTTTTTTCTTCATTGGCATAAAAATCTGTTCACACATACATATCCAAATAAGAGGATTTTCTTTTATGATGAATTAAAAATCAAACTAGGTGTGATTAAACACTTTATTCTTCACGGTTATAAACTACAAAAGAATTCATTAAAAAATTGTTTCTGTATATAAATACTAGATTGTCCATTATATGTGAAAGTCAAACTTTCTCATTATATCACAATTTGTATCAATAGTAAACAATAGATGAAATGAAAAAAAAAGTGATAGCACTTTTTCTTTTCAAATAGAATACTTAAGTTGATGATTATGTTTGATAAGAAGCCTTGATATTCAAGGACATGTCCGCTATCATATCTACTTAAAGACGAAAATACACATATACCGCAAATGAAATTATAGATAACAATGAGTTTATTTAGCGTTCTTTATGTCAAATTAAATTTGTACATTTGAACGATGAAAAAATTATTTACATTAAAAATACAAAAATATATATATATTATATCCGCCAGTAAAGAGTATCTGAATTATATAACAATGATCGAATATTATCAAGTTGATTTAATTCATTCGATTTGTTTTGATACTCTTCTGGAGTTATTTTTATGATTGGTAAACGAATTAATTCATATTCAACAGTTATATGTGGTGGTTTATGATCAATAAAACGATTACGTTTTCGTTCGAATTCCTTTGGATTTGCATAACGATATTTAATACGTTTTGGTGAAGATTTAGGCGGAAGCCATTGTTCAATTACAACAGGTCCTTTTATAATTAAGAAAAAAATTTTTATAAATAAATAAATAATTATAACTTACGAGGTTTTGATGACAATTCAGTATGACGATGAATAATAATCTAATTACGAAAGAAAAAAAATAAATGAAAAAAATTTGATATGTTTGTTATATTTACCTTTCTTAAAGGTGTTTTATAATTTACAGGAATATATTTATTATAAAAAATATGCTGATCCGTAGTTGGTCTTGGTGGAGTAGTTTTAATTACAATAGGTGATGGTGTACGTTGTCCATTTTTATTATTCCTTGGTCTGATATGAACATGTATAGGTGAACGATATCTTTTTGATTTGATATGTACTTCTTGTATTTGAATATCAACAGGATCAAGTGTTGGTTGTTGATATTGTCGTACATAAACTTGTTGTTTATGAATATTTTTATCACTTTCACGAGTTTCGATGATTGGATCTGAGATAAGATCTAATTCGTTATCATCATCCATATCTATTGATTGAGATATGTGATTATTCTAAAGAAAAATTTTTTTTTCATCAATTTTAATTACTATTGAACTTACAACATTGGCATCTATAATTTCTTGTAATTGCTCATGATTTTCTACATCAGTAGATAATGAAGATTTTTTGTCAGCTTGTCTTTGTTCTAGAAGCAACATGATTTATGTATTCTGACGCTTCGTCAATATTGTCATGAATATATATGTTTAATATTTCGAAATGCGCAGTAACCACCTCATCATATAAGCAATCAAGCGGAAAATTAGCTGACATATTTGTGATATTGTCAAGGCAGAAAACAATGAATGACTGTGTGATTTTATATGGCTTAGTTTTATTTAACAAAAACGATAACAATAACAATAACAATATAATAACAATAGTTTTTAGTTATTAAACATTCGATAATATAATTTTTGTTCAGTTTTCTTTTGTTGTTCCATAGCTCGATCAAGTCGTTGTGCTTCATCAATAATTTCAGCATTATACGGTTCAATATTAATTGCTATATTAAGATGCATACGTGCTTGATCGAATTGTTGTAATGAACGATAAGCAATACTCATACGAAATAAAGCTTTGATATTTTTCGGTTCTAATTGTAATGCTTCATTACAATTTTTAAGTGTACGTTCATAATTTCGTATTTTAAGATAACATTGAGCTAATAATAGAGATTGAATGAAAGAAGTATTTTTGTATTTATATTTTACCTGAATTAAGATAAAGTTTAAGTAATAAATCTTTATATTGTTTTATTTGATTTTCATCTGATGTTTTAGTTTTAAGTAAAAATTGTTTTCCTTTAGCATAATAACGAATAGCTCGTTCAAGATTATGTTTGGCATATTCATCCTAAATTATATTCTAAAATTAGCTTAATTACGAATAAAATAAATTTCATTATACACTTTTAAAAGGTATACTAATAGATTTTTAATGACTATGTACAAAAACATACACTCATTATACATTAGATTAAAAATAATCGAATTTTAATTTATTCTTACGTTTCCCATATCACGTAATGTTTGTGCAATACGCATTCGTTCATCGAAATCTTCGATTAATTCATCGTCTTTTGTTTTTAATTGATTAAGTTTTTCAACTAATGTACAATCAATCCATGAGATTAATTCAATAATAAATACAGACCATGATTTCGGTGGTATACGTGGTGGACAACCTATATTCATAAAAAAAACAAAAGGTAAATTATAACGATATTCAATTACAAACCATGTTCGCCATAGAGTAGATCACTACTAATAATAAATTTAGCTCGTTCACGTCTTTGCATTGTACGAACAGCTAAATCTAAACCTGGTAGAACATTAAATTTTCCCAATTGAAATTCACATGGTCGACGTCGAATATATGTACTATCATATGGTTCATCATTTAATTCAAAATATGCATTATAATGAACACGTACAGTTGAACCAAGTGATGGTGTTTCACCAACACCAGCATAAATAATTTGTTTCCAAATTCCACCGGCAGCTTCACTACTTGGTACATTATCTAATGGTGTACCATCAGTACCATTTGTTTTTATTATATGTTGCATACCACCAAGCTAAAAAATAAAAATTAACAAATAAAAACAAAATTCAATTAAAATCGAACTTGATCATCAAAATCTTGTGTATTATCAATTAATCTATGACTGAATAAATCTTTTGATGGTATTGTTGATTTAAGTTCATTATTAATAAATTGATCAGTCATATGTTGTTGTTGTTGTTGTTGATTCTCTTTAACATCATCCATTGCCATTTGTGTAGCTGCTCGAGCTAATTCAGCTGGATCAAGTTCATTTTGATCGAGTTCTAATATCTGACCTTTACTTGCGCATAATGTTTCCAGATCAATTGGTTTACGTAATTTTACATGACCATATTCTTCTTCACCATCACCTTGTTGTTTAGTAGCTACACGGGCTGCTGCTTGTTCAGTCCATTCACCATATTCATCAACATCAGCATCCTATTCAATTAAAATACGAAAAAAAAAGAGAAAATAAGATTTTATATTTACGTCATTAAGAAGTTCATTGAGAACTTGTTCATTTGATTTAGTTAATTGAGTCATAAATAAATCTATCTAAATTTGTTAATAATAGATATCGATCGATATTTCGTTTAAACAAAATATATCTGATATCAACGCTACTTTCGATGTATATTTTATCGAATAATGATGTCGCTAATATTCAACATAGAGGATTTACGAATCTTATCTCTAGCTTTTGTATTTTGTACTATATTATAGAGATTTTAAGATTAAAAATGTATTACGAGTCAGTTTTTGATCATTTATTGGTCATTTTTGTTGCTATGGAAAAGATGATGTAAAAAACGAAATATGGTGTCATGAACAAAGAAAGAACTACATGTATTTATAGATTTTCGGATTATTAATTGATCAATTTATGAGAAAAAATAACTGAGTAAGACAATATACTATCATTTCAATACAAGTTTTAATCAAATCTTATGTTATAATGGTTTCATTTTCAGTTTTTGCTTTTATATCAAATAGTATGAACATTTTATAACTTTCGATCATAAAATTCTATTATAGGTTGAGACACATTATTTTCAATTTTAAATATCAATATTTATGAATTATTTTGGAACAAATTTAGAGTATTGTAGAATTCATATAAAGTTAAAACAGACGTTCTGTTTGTAAAAATCTTTTATGTAGACGAAAGAAAATATCTTATACAAACAATAGAAAATAAAAGTCATGAGAAGAAATCAGATTTATTGTTCTGTTAAAAAGAAAAATAATTTTTCTACTTAACAAAATTTGTCTTTCATTCAAAACGAATACTTTCATCTAAGTCTTCTTGATGTTTTTTATCGAATGATGCATTAAAGCTTTTTTTCAGTTGTAAACGAATACTTTATTTCTATTCTTTCTTCTATATTAGATCGATAATCATTAACTGTTAGTCAAGAAAATCATGGAAGTGGGCGAATCGAACTATGCCCTTTTATCCGTATGAATATTTCATTATTTTTACTTCATTATAATATTATCTTTTATTAAAGAGCCCATATGATAGTTTTATGCAAAAACATCTTCAACACTATGGTTATTTTACCGGTAATTTATATTATGATTCATTAAATATTAACATTATCATATCTGTTAAGGTCGAAGTGAGGTTGTAAAAAAATATGGTTTTGTTCCATCTAAACCACAGCTTATAACACATTCCAGCGATTCAGATTCGAGTTCTTCGGACGAAGAACAAGGACGTATGTTATTTTTTTTAAACGCTACTTATAACTTTTCTGTAATTTCTAGCACCACATCGACGTCGTTCCCCTCATGAACATCCTGGTAAATTTCGAACTTACCTGTTGAATGAGAGATAACTTTGAAATCTCTATTTAGAATATAAAGGTAGACCACTTATTACAGATCCAAAAACAGTAAGTATTTGAAATACAATCGACTATTAAATTTGTTGTTTTTTTCAAGGCTTTTCGGCAAAATCGACTTCGATGCGGTTTATATTTACGAAGTCAAAATGATGAAAGTTCATTTGAACCACGATGGCCAACTGAAATTGAAGTATTGCCTGAATCTCGTGTTAGACATATCGATGTACAACCAAAACAACCTGAACTTTTCAATAAACCAAGTATATCATACTTATTATTTTATCTATTGAAGTATATTTGTAAATTTTAGATCCAAAGGATCATATGCCATATGTTCGAAGTGCAGATGAAGATAATGGTCGTACTGTATTTAATTACAATCCAGAAACATGTGGTTATGTAAGTAATATATAAATAATTTAGTTTTTATGATATATTATTAGAATAAAATAGTATATGCGATCTCGAATTGGTGGTAATCGAGATGGTTGTCGACAAGCTGCTGTCAAAATTCGAGATTCTGATGATACAACCGTTCTATTTGAATCTCGTTTTGAAAGTGGAAATTTAATGAAAGCTGTTCAAGTGTAAGATAAAAATAAAATTTTGTATTACGTTAGTTTTTAATGATTAATAGTGGTGAATTTGAATATGAACTTTATCTACGATATGATCTTTATACGAAACGGAATACACAATGGTTTTATTTTCGTTTACAAAATACTCAAGCTAATAAACGATATCGTTTTACTATTGTGAACTTTTTCAAAGTAATCATTGAAATTTCATCTTCAGAAAATTTTATATATATAATTTAGAGTACAAGTCTTTATAGTAATGGTATGAGACCATTAATGTATAGTGTACATGACGCAGAGAATAACAATATTGGTTGGAGACGATGGGGAGAAGAAATTGTTTATTATAGAAATAATTTAACGTACGAAGAATATACTTTTTACTGATTATAAGTCTTTGAATGTATTATTTAGTGCACCTGATAACCCTTCAGCAAATATGTATTCATTAACATGGACATGTAAATTTCCAAATGATAATGATACTTATTATTTTGCTCATTGTTATCCATATACATATTCTGATTTGCAAGTAATTATATACGAGATTTTGTTTTGATATATGATTAAATAAAAATTTATTTATATTAGGATTATTTAAATGGTATTCAAGGTGATCGTATCAAAAGTCAATATTGTAAACAAAAAGTTCTTTGTCGATCATTAGCTGGTAATTTTGTATATATGTTAACAATAACAAGTCCACCAGTATTATCTCCAGTACCTGAACAGCAATTAAAAAAAGGCGTTGTTATATCAGCACGTGTTCATCCTGGTGAAACAAATTCATCATGGATGATGAAAGGATTATTAGATTTTTTACTTAGTGATTCAGCTGATGCAAAAGTAAAAATTATTTCACAAAAATTTCTTCTAAATTTTTTTATTTTAGTTACTTCGAGATACTTTTGTTTTTAAAATTATTCCAATGCTCAATCCTGATGGTGTTATTGTTGGTAATTATCGTTGTTCATTATCTGGACGAGATTTAAATCGTAATTATAAAACAATATTAAAAGATGCTTATCCAACAATTTGGCATACAAGAGAAATGATTAAAAGGTTTGAATGATATTGATTTATATGTATTCAATGGAATTTTTATTCATAGATTTATGACTGAAATTGAACTTGTTCTTTATTGTGATTTTCATGGTCATTCAAGAAAACAAAATGTTTTTATTTATGGTTGTGAAAATAAACATTTACCAAAAGAACGTTTGAAAGAACGAATTTTTCCAGCTATGTTTGGAAAAAATGATATTTCAAAAGTTTATTTTTGTTGAAAATTTTTATATTTAATTTAATTATTTTTTTTCTCTTCTAGTTCTCATATGATTCATGTAGATTTAAAGTACAAAAATCGAAAGAAGGAACTGGAAGAGTCGTTATGTGGTCCATGGGTATTAAAAATAGTTATACATTAGAGGTTCGTAGTTTTATTTGGATCAGTCACTAAGCTTAAAACTAATTTTAGGCAACATTTTGTGGTTCAACACAAAGCGAACAAGCAGGTCATCAATTTACTACAAGAGATTTTGAATCTATTGGTTATCATTTTCTTGATTCGTTACTGGATTATAGTGACCCAGATCCTACGAAAGTGAGTGGAATAATATTAAATTTATTGTTAACTAATGATTTCGATATATTAGCGTAATCGAATATTCGATGAGATAGAAAATGATTTACGACAATCAATTAGATTGAAACTTCTTTCACGTGGTATTAATCCAACTTCATTATCTGATATTGACCTGGATCAGTTTTCATCTGATGAAGATTCAAGGTATGATTAAAATAACTTTATTTGCAAATAATTCTATTTTTCTGTTTTAGTGACGATGCAGGATCTGATTCTTCAGCTGATGATGGTCTACCAAAACATTTGGAAGTTATTGCTGCAGCTAAAGTAAAAATACATCCTAATTACAAAAAATTGTCACTGAGAAATTCTATAGGTTCGTTTGAAAAAACCACGAAAGCAACCTGAAATTCTAAAAGTATCGAAAGAATTAAACAGAAAAGATGATACAGATAAAGAAAATATTGATAAAGTAATTATATTGTAAAAAAAATATTCTCTATATTGAAATTTACAATTAGAACAAAAGTGTTACATTAACGCTAACGTCGCCTCGTAAACAAAGTTTTCCAAATATTGTAAGTATTCTTTTTTTTCGAATAATATAATTTAAATAATTGTTTGATTTATTTGATCATCTACTATCTATAATCTTTTTTGTGATTTTATTTTCAAGGCTTTCTTTGCAAAACGTAAGTATATAATTCAACATTTTTCAAATGTTCGCGACGAAAACTTTTAGATGATCATTAACAGAAGAGAAATGCTTCGATTTTAAAAAGTATTATGATTTGTAAATGCATGAATTTCTTCAAGATAAATAGACACTTATGAGAGTATTTAATTCTCTTCTTCTTCTTCTTTTTCTCTTACTATTTGAGTTTCGAATAATTAATATATTTTTTAAATTTATTTAAGGCTAATGATGCATCTAAACCCCTACCGATAACTGCAACACGTCGAGGAGTAGTCGACATTAATACTGAAGAACCGAACGGTCGAGGAAGTCGATGGCCAGCTATAACAAGAATAAATAGTAAACCTTATCGATCAACTCGAGCCGATGAAAAAGCTCAACGATCACGAGTATTTAGAAATTTCGAGAATTTTTTGTTGTATATTGATTGTCTTATATTATAGAGCATCTTCAGTACTATTTATGGAAGATGTAAGTTATACTCTAAACATATTTATATTTTTTTTGAATTTTCTGTGTATATTTTTAGCTCTAATGCCAATGGAATATTTATCAGGTTTGTAATAAATTTGACAAATTAAATGAAATATATTCTTATTAAAGGTGCTGAACGTGATTCAACTACAAATCTAACAAACCTTACTACAGCTAGTTATCCTGTGATAACATCAACTGCTCGAATTGATGAAGTATAAATTTATACATTGATAATATATTATAGATAAATTTAATATATGTAGGAAACTTCTATTCAACTAACTACTGATAATAAAGGTGGATATATTATTAGTCGAACACGTGAAGAAAGTCATAGTGATGATGGACGACAATATATTAATAGTTATGTTACTAATCGAGTCTCTGTTCATTGTATGTTTTGATGGGATAAGAAAATGATAAATAATATTGAAATCGATTTTTAATAGTAAATGAACGTTTAATTGGACCATCTCGACCAGCACATACGCCGAAATCACCTACGATATCTAGTACACAAAATCATACGGTTCTCGATGTACGAGCAATTCAACCACCTATTCAAACAGCAGTAATTTACTGATTTTTTTTATTAATCATGATGATTTATTTTTGAATAACTAATTAGAATCCAAGACGTATTCTTGAACAACAACAACATCAACGTCAACGTGTAATGGTAGTATTTGGTAAACAAGGTTCTGCTGAATCAGTTGATAAACTACATAATTTCACGTCAAATCCTCTGTCAATATCAATGAATGAAAGAAAAATCGATGATGTATTAGCTAATCGTGATGATTCATCAGCAACAATTTCAAAACTTATTCCTAAACAACTATCAGATGGTGAACCGATAAATATAGTTTTTCGTTGTGATCCAACACCATATCAACAAGCAACGTTACCAAATAGACCACAAGTACCCGTAAGACTTTATCTTTAAAAACAAAAACGATAATTTTTATTTTTTTTAATTTAAATTAGAAAACATCAACTGTAAGAAAATCGAACAAATGAACTATTCTTCTATGAAATGCTTGCGAGTTAATTTATATCATTTTTATCGATCAATTCTTGTATACTCGCATAACATTTCTCATTTCAATTGTTTGATTTTCGATAGTCATTTTAACCCGTTATAACATTTTTTTACATAAAAATAAAATCAATCTCATACTCACATAGAATATTTTCTCAGAATAAAAATGAAAGAAACACTCACTGAATTTTATTCATAACTATTTAAAATATTATCAAATAGTGAATTTCGAATATATAGTATTTATTAGATACATTCATTGATTTCTGTCCATCAAACAACTTATGCAGATAACAGAGCAAAATTGAGGACAGAGTTGACATGAAGAAAATACAATGTGAAAATCCTTTTCTATCAAGATGGTAGAAGTAGCGAAAGAAGTATGGTTTATTTGTTACTTTAGATTGATCACAATAGAGTTATTTTTGATTCAAATACATTAATACAGATCGATTCACTCTAGGAGTTCATATTTCATTGATTGATATTCTCTTGAATAACTACAGCTGAAACTATTTGTTCATGGAATTTCAAAAGGGAATACGATTTTGACATAGTATTTGGTGCATCTGAATCTGTTATGAATAATAAATACAACGTGCATAATTGCCACAAGTAAACTGAATAACCATCCGATAAACACCTTCAATAACTACGTGTATTAATAAACCGTCGTTGCCTATTATCCTATCACAACGAGCCTTCCCTATCACAGTCACTTCTTTTTCCTACTCAACACTAGCTCTAAATTATCACACACATAATCAACACACTACTTCTGCATATACGAATGCACGCAGTGTTGCAATCATACTCAAGCCACATCATTACTTTTCAACTATGCCTAATTTCCAGAACCTCAATTGTTCATCGTGAGGGTGGGTGTAGGTGTTGTTCTTATCTGACACGCACACCCTAATCAAAAACAATAAAATGTTATACGCTAATTCGATTTCTATGAACTTGACACCGAAAAAGTACCTAGCGATGCAAGGGTGACGATCAATAATCGGTTCACCGTCACCGATTAATTGGTTTAAAACGATAAGCGGTCGAACCGATTAAATGGCATAGCGATAATCGGTGAAACCGATCAAACGGTGACGATTAATCGGTCGAACGGTGAAAGCTGGTAAACGCCTTAAAACTCACAGTGAAGACCGATACTTTGGCATCATTAGTCATCTTTTTCCTGAAGGCGTACAAATTAATTAATATACCGGTGTTGACCGTAGGTTTTAAGACGTTTATCGGCTTTCACCGTTAGACCGATTAATCGTCACCGTTGCATCCCTAGAAGTACCCTTAAAATTAAGGGTGAACAAAGTGATTTCCATACTAGAAATCACAAGAAATCATAGAAAATCATGAGAAATCAACAAAAATCATGGAAAATCACGATTATTAAATTAAAAATCAAGAAATTAGTTTGTTCTCCCTTGAAAATATGTCAAAAAAAGAGTGCCCAATAAAAAAATCATGGCGTTTCTGAAAGAGCAGAAGATGGGCTATCTTCCCAAACATTTATCTCAATTTTAATTTTTATAACGAAAATTGACTTTTTGTGGAGAGTAGAGTCCTAAATAGACAGCGTTTATTTAAAAAGTATTTCTCATGAGAAACGTTGGTTTTTTTATGCATTTATTACTTGATTAATTATAAGCAATTTTTTAAGGAAATCAAGCTGTCATGAAGGAGTAACTGAAAGTCAATATTTGGGAATACAAAGATCAATAGAAAACATTTAAGTTAAAACAATGCTAACTTCAGATCCATAGTTCTTTTCAAAGTAAGCACTGCCTTTCGTATTTTGACCGTTTCGAGTCCAATCATTGTCATCGAATATGAATATATTGACGTAGTGGCTTGGAAATGCATTCTTCAGTTCGTTCCAAAGAATATCACGTCGTTTTATATTGTCTACTTCGCCTTTTGTCTTATTAATGAAAGAGTTCGCTGTTGATTTAATTTCATCCGAAGTCACATAATTTCCTGCTGATTTTGATAGTTTATGGATTTGCAACCAGTATCCATCTTTTAGATTAACTCGTAATAATCTTGTCCCGTAGCACAACCAAGCACCACCACTTTTAAATTTGTACGCTACAATTGTATCATTAGGAAAAGCTTGTTTGAAACTTTCCACAATATATTTGGTACTGGTCTCATCCTCTACAAGAAGAAAAATTTCATAAAGATTTCTTTGAGGTAAAACAGAAAAGACACTGCTAAAAACTAATAAATAGTGATGTGAATACATGGTTTCTTCTCGTTATAATTAAACTACGAATAGACACTAACATTCAAATTAAGCGGTAGACACCTTGAGGGTGTGAGTGTCGATGGGTGTCACTATTACATTTATCGCACACTCACATCCACATCCACCAATATTCACACTCATACGCAACTAAACCCACACCCACACCTTCAAGACGGTTTATTTTCGAAGAGTTTTCTAATATGGGGTATCTTCTTATGTAGGGGGTCTTCTAAAGTGTTCACGGCTTTACATAATCAACGTATGATATCTGTATACAAATATGAGTAAAAATATAAACTTTTCTACTCACCAGGGGCAGCTGTTGTTGTTTCCAATGTTGTTGGGGCACTCGTTGTTGTATACGTATTTGAGGTGCAAGATTTCCCACACCACAATTGTCCATTAGAGTTGTGAAGATCACAGATATTAGCGGAGCCGGGAGACAATGTTACTGACGTACTTATCCAAGAGCCGCTAATCGCATTGCACTGACATTTATAAGTGCAACCATTATTACTAGTCGAACATTCTTTACATGTCTCCGTATAACTGGAATCATTGCAGATTTTACAGCCCATATCTAATCAGTAAAATTGTTCGTTTTTATAATTTTATCGAAAGATGTTATACTAGTTAGATTGTAAAAAAAATACTCGATCAAACATTTTCGTTTCTCTTTTCAATGATTTCTATGCATGCTGCATCTAGTTGAGGGTCGGTGTGGGTGTGGATGGGTGACGGTATGGATGTGGGTGTGGATATGTGTATGGCTATGGCTGAAGATATGGGTGTGGGTGGGTGTTCTCTTTGGCCTAACAAGTAACACACACCCTCAAGATGCTAATTGGTAGTTTGATAATGACTGCATTATCAGTATATGACATCTGCATACAGATTTCGTGAAAAAATACAAAACTGCTCTACTCATGAGAAACAACTGTTTTTGTCAACGTTGTTGGTGTAGTGAACTCACCGGACTTCTGCTGTGTTCCAGTAGCCCATATAGGTTCAGGTGACGTTGGTCCTTTGTAGAGAACAAGATTACCATCATCTTGTATCACTAAGTAGGTATAAAGTGTTTTTTCCTGCGTGTTAGTTGCCCATATTGCAGAGTGACTTCCATCATAAACAACAAAGTTACCGTCTGTCTGAATAATAGCATGATATGGTGAAGTACCACGTCCCCCCGTTGCTGATTCCCAAATACGTTGATTAGAATTAGATCTATGTATTAAAAAAATTACACGAGCACATTAACTATAGTTTAAATATATATTATTCGTATTTTCAACTCACGAAAAATGCTTGAATATAACCAGATTACCATCAGATTGCATTAGTAAAGAATATCCACCATCTGGTGCTTTCAATTTTTCATTCATATTTATCCGTTGACCTTCTTTTAATACTGAAGGAAATTGATGGCCATATACGTTCTGAGCATTATTTCGATCTATGGATGGGAGAACCTTGTTCGATGGCATAGCTTTAGATTGAGGGTACATGATTGACTCTGTTGAACTTTGATGGTCGAATCCAAGAGCATGTCCTATTTCATGCACAGCGACAAGATAAAGCGATTGGGAATCTACGAAACTGAAATCATTCAAACAGTTATTATATGTAGATTTATGCAGCCATCAAGATTAATCCTATTTACTTACCCATCGTTCCATGTTTCGTCCTTATCAAAATGTATACGACCATCTTCAGGAAAAAACGCATGAGCTAAAGTTCCTCCTGGTCCATCGAACGAATGCATATCTCCATGATCTTTACGTACGAAATCGATTACAATGTTAGCATTACATGTTGAACAAGTTTGTTTAATCTTGACTGGTATATGATCTGTCCAATGTTGAAAAGCCCATTGCATAATTGATTCAGTTTTTGCAAACGATAACTGCTCTGGATTGCCACGTAGACTCCATGTCAATGACTTTTTTGACCATTTCAAATAAGTATTTAACTGTGAAGCTCGTAGTACATCTGCATTACCACAGCGTGGTTTATTCATGAGTTGTTTTGTGGCTGCATCCAGAGTGCCTGTTTCTTCAAGTTTATAAAACTTCTGAAACTTCTTGAGTATAGAAGATAAATCAACACTACATGACATATTTGTTGTGTTTTGACATGTATTATAGCCATACTTAGTTAGATAATCAAGAGCTTGTCCTTTTTCATTTTCCGTTGCAGATTCTACCGGAACTGCAAAACTTATATTTGCAGCAAGTGAAAGTTGTAACAACAGTAAATAAAGCCAAAGTTCCATTTCGAATACAGATAAAATATTGTACAAAAATATTTCTACTGCAATGCTTTATATACTACCGCTTTATTGTGACTCTTGGTTTTTTCCATGTTTGCAACACATTAAGTATAATTTGTATGATGACATGTGTTAACTGTAGTTTCTTTTGTATATGGTAGGTATATCGTCAGTCTTCACGAATGTCGGAAAGATCCCATAGATAAAAAAATTATGATAACTTCTTATCATCTTCTAGCAACTTCCAACATCATATCATAATTGTAACTATGATGTGTATATATACTGATATTGGGAAATTTTTCTGTTGCATCTATTATCATTTGTGTTGACAGACTTGAATCGTTTTATTGCATTAAATATGTCTGCTCTGTTCTTTTCCTTTATATGAATATTGTTGTCTGTAATATTTGATCTTTCTTTTATCTATTTACATATTTTTTCTCAATCTTATTTTAAGATATTTCTGCACGTCATTATGCATATATATGACAGACAAATTCGGAATTAACTTAAGAACGGAATTAGTAATGTCGTCTCCAGTTCAAACTCGCCTCATCAGGTTCGATGGGAATAATTTCGATCTAGATGATTTTGTAAAAAAAAGATGTATAGTGATAAGTATTGATTCTTTTATGTGCTAATTAATCAGTAGGTCTGTGAACAAGGAGATATAGGAACGTCAAATGATTGATAAAGATCATTCTGAATTCAATTTTTTTCTACAAAGAGACTTATAACTTTTCGATGACGAAGAGATGGTGACGTTGAGTAATTGATACGATTAAAGTAGTCAGCAAATTTTTATTTATTTATCTCTTATCGAAAAAATCATTTTTATCCAACGTTTACAAAATAAAAAAATTAATATTAAAACTCTTTGATTTCTATACATATGATATTCTGTAAAGCGATTCAGCAACAGCACATTAAAGTAAACATGTCTTGCGATAATAGTTTTAGAGCATAATAGCATCAGTGGAATGGAAGTTTGATTTTATTCTGTAAATAGTCTAATCGATAGTATATAACACAAAGATTTCTTACAAACTTGATATTGCAGTTTTTGATTACGTACTAGTCACATTTTTGATTATTAATATTTTAATAACTGTAGAAATTTCATAAAGGTTTTTTTGCTATTATAAACTTTTTTGTCAAAACGATATCTTTTTTTTTAAATGAATTTTGTAAATTTCAAACTAAATTAAATTTTTATGTCAACTGTGGCATCTACATAGCACCCGAACGACAAAGATTCTTTTGTCTTATGTTCATCTTCTACAGATTGCCATTGTGAATAACCCAAATCAGTAACATAATTGCTGATAAATTAAAAAAACTATAATTTCCAGTTAACACAATTATTTGATGAATATGAAATAGTGAAAAAAAATGTGCCAAAATTCTAGCAAGAAATATGTGCTGTGAGAGCAGCGCCACCGAGAAGAGTATCATTAGGATTGGCTAAAAACGAACAGAACATTTGACAAATAATAAAAAACGAATGTATCCAACTCAATTTGTTGTCGTGACAGGGGAGAAATTGGCTTCATTTTTAAATCTACAATAAATTTATTTTTAAAAGTCATTTAATCACAAGTAATATCGAATACTATGAAGGATTTATCATCGATTTCTTCTAATTAATCAATCAATGATTTATTTTTATTGAAACTCGTTGGATATACGTGATTTTCATTCAATTTTATTTGATAAGTTGAAGTTTAGTTCTATCTATTATCGCAATTAGTTGACAACGAGAACTAATAATGCAGTTTAGTCAGACTCTAATCCTCACTCTTACCTGTATACAATGTACCAATCAGTGTACGATTGTGACTAAACTACGAAAGGTTCGTTAATTACCTTGTTATTATTTACTATCAAAAATACAATTTACAAGCATATAATTTCTTTCGTATTTGCAAATTGATGGAATTAACTGAATAGAATCATTAAAATTCTATTCAGTATGAGAAATAATTGTAAATAGATATTTCTTCCAATTATTTGACAGTTCAAAAATAATTTTCTAAATCGGATTAAGATGCTACTGTCTTTCAAACTAGCACCCTGCAGTATCATCTAATACCGGAAAGACTTTTCTATAAATATAATATCCCTTCTTTTTTGTCTATTTTATTTTTCAGATGGTATAAAAAAATCGTTTTTTTTGTTAAATGGCCGATATAGAAGATATTGGATTTGAATTAAGTACTATTGTTGAACAGTCTACTGATGGTTTTGAAAGTTGTCCATCACCTCCACCACCATTTCATCGAAATATAAATGAACAAGAAATTATTGTTCAACCACCTATAACATTTATTGATCAAGAACAAATTAATCCTATAAAAAATATTGTACCATTTGATAGTATTTTTTTTAGTGATGCAAAAAATTATCTTTTTGAAACAACAACAGATGAATCTTCAATATTAACTGAAACAACAAAAAAATCAAATAATAATTTTTTTCAACGTTTTATAAATTTTTTTCGTTCAAATCATAATCTAGAATTTCATCGACAATGTCAACAATTACTTAATTTAACAAAATATCCATGTGATATGTCGGATACTATACATTTACGTATTTTATATACAATTTATCGTCGTTTAACAAGTTCAAATGAAATTTTTTATACTACATATGGTTCACATTGGGAAAATATTGGTTTTCAATCAACAAATCCTGAAACCGATTTTCGTTCAACTGGTCTTTTTTCAATATTTTTTCTTCTTTATTTTGTTGATTCGATGTATTTACCATTAGCGAAACAAATCTATCAATTTTCACTTGATCCATTACAACAATTTCCATTTTGTTGTATTGGAATTAATTTAGCAAATATATTAATAAAATATCTTCGACAAACATTAACATCTCAAAAATCTATGCAAAAATTATTAAATGAAAATACGATTATTGATTTAATTGGAAAATTATTTATTGCACTTTATTTAAATTTTTATTTAATATGGAGAAATAATTCATATACAATTGAACATACTCAACAAGTATTAAGTGAATTAGAAAAAATTCTATTTAATCGTCCTAAAACTTTAGTTGAAGAATTCGATGATTATTTTCGAAAACGACAAGAATATCGAGCACAACAGTACGAATTTAAACAAACGAATGATAATTTAATTTAGAATGATATATGTGATATTTATATCAATTTGTGCCTTTTTTTTTCATTGTAAAAATTTCTAGAAACAGAGTTTAGATCTGATTGATCTAATATTTTGATAGATATCCGTCCATTAAATATTATGTTGTTTTTTATTGTAATATATATAAGCTCAAGAAAAAAAACTTTAAGTATTTCGGTGTATTTTTAAGATATAAATTTAATTAAAAATGTCGATTCGAACAATTCTTGGTTTAATATTATCCATCTTTGTTACTGGTGCAATGATTTGGGCGTGTAGTTTTGAAATTCAACAGATAATGATGGGCGAATTAGTTACAGCTGCCGGTGGAAAATATAAATTTTTAACAATATTAAATCTAGTAAGTAGAATATTTACTTCATTATGTTTCAAAAAAAATAATTTTCCTCCCTATTTATACATTTAGCATCTTCAAGCAATCTATTATATTATCTGTATAGTTAATTTCTTTTTTGGTACAGATACAATTGAAACTGGAAAACGTTCATTCTTACAAAAACTACGTGATTTGATTTATGCTGGTGCGGCTTTTCCAATAGGAATGGTAAAAAACAATCTTTCGAATTTTATGTTTTTTTACTAATATATATTTATATTTAGTACGTATGTATTGCATTTTGGGGAATATATCATGTTGATCGAGAACTAATTTATCCAAAAGAATTAGATGGACTTGTCTCACCAGTTCTTAATCATGTTATGGTAATTATTCAAAATTCTGCCATATAATTCTTTTTCTTTTCATTTTCTCAGCATACATTACCAGGAGTTGCTCTTTGTTTGGAAAATCTTGTACATTATCATCGTTATCCATCAAGATTCTTAGGTCTTACATTGGTTATCAGTTTGTTTGCTGCATATACTACATGGTAAATAATTTTAAGAAATTAAAGTATGTTTTATATATTATAATTTAGGATTCACTATTTACATCATATACATTGGCTTGCATTTAAAGTTAGTCTTTGGGTTTACCCAATATTAAATGAATTATCGTTCACATATCGCGGTTTATTTTTCCTTGGATCGGCATTATTTGGTATTGGATTATATTTCATCGGAGAACTATATACATTATTTTTAACAAGTAAAATATGAGATTCTTTTATAGTGAAGAAAAAGTCTTTGAATTATTCATTTTAGGTTTACGAATTGATCGAGCTGGACGAAATAAAAAGAAATATTAAACGACATCTTTGATTTTTTTTGCAATACATTCTTTTTCTTTTATTCACGATTTTGATTTACTATATCGAAATAAAATAACATATATTTTTTTTTTCTTCTCTTATATTATGAAATAATTATTGTAGATGCCTGTACAGAACATTTTCTTTACACATCGATTTGGAACAATTTTATCATCATATAAACAAAAACTTTAGTTGAAGAATTTCATGATTATTTTCGAAAGAGACAAGAATATCGATCACAACAGTATGAATTTAAAATGATGTATGTATTTTGATAGATATCCAACAGTAAATATATACCCTGCTGGGGCTCAAAGGGTTAATTAATAATGCCGATTCGAACAGTTCTTGGTCTAATATTATCCATCTTCGTTACTGGTGCAATAATTTGGGCGTGTAGTTTTGAAATTCAACCGAGAAAGATGGGTGAATCAGTAACAGCTCCCGGTAGAGAATATAAATTTCTAACAGTATTAAATCTAGTAAATAGAATCTCTAGTTCATTATGTTTCCGAAAAAACAATTTTTTCTCTATTTTTTCATTTAGCATCTCCAAGCAATCTATTACATTATCTGTATAATTAATTTCTTTTTTGGCACAGATACACTTGAATCTGAAAAGCGTTCATTCTTACAAAGACTACGTGACTTATTTTTTGCGAGTGCTGCTTTTCCAATAGGAATGGTAGAAAACAATCTTTCGAATTCTATGTTTTTTTATTAATATCAATTTATGTTTAGTTCGTATGTATCGCATTTTGGGGATTGTACCATGTTGATCGAGAATTTGTTTATCCAAAAGAATTAGATGCACTTTTTCCTTCGGTTCTAAATCATATTATGGTAAATAGTCAAAATTCTGTCATATAATTTTTGTTACTTTTCATCTCCTCAGCATACATTACCTGGAATCGCCCTTTGTTTGGAGAATCTTGTACATTATCATCGTTATCCATCAAGATTATTAGGTCTTTCACTTGTTATCATTATATTTGTTGCATATATTACATGGTAAATAATTTTGAGCAATTGAAGTATTTCTATATTATAATTTAGGGTTCATTATTTACATCGTATTCATTGGCTTACATTTAGAGAAAATGTTTGGGTATATCCAATATTAAATGAATTATCATCTACATATCGTGGTTTATTCTTCCTTGGTTCAGCATTATTTGGTATCGGATTATATTTCATCGGAGAAATGTATACATTATTTTTACCAAGTAAAAAATGAGATTCTTTTTAAGTTAATAAAAATTTTCTTAATTATTCATTTTAGATTTACAAACTGATAGAACTACGGAATAACAATACTTTCTTATTTTTTATATTATTGAAATAGAATAGCATAATTTTTATCTTTTATTTAATTATTAAATAATTATTGTAGATGCCTGTACAAAAGATTTCTTTTACACATCGATTTGGTATAATTTCATCATCATATAAGCAAAAACTTGAAAAAGATATCGAAGAAAAATCACAAGAAAGTGATCGATCATCATCAACAAATAGTCCGAATCACACTAAGTGAGATATACTTACAGCATGATAGAAAATTGTAGTATATATTTTTTTCTATTTAGAAAACATTTATTACTTGAAGTAACTGAAGAATTTGTAAGGGATTATAATAAAGCTTCAGCAAGTGACCGAATTAAACAAAATGAAGTTATTTATCGTATGTTACAACGTCTTAAAGTATGTAGAACATATTAGAGTTCTAAATAGTTCATTGACTGCTCTATATTTAGCGAAAAGCAACACAACTTCAAATGCATGCTGAACGATCAATGCAATTACAAATGACTTGGTAAAAAAATTCTTATGAAATAATTTCATTAAGAATTTATTTTGTTTCTATAGGGCTGAACTTTGTTTATTATCTCAATGTAAATCTTCCTATCAAGAAGGTATATATATATATATGATAGAGAAAAAAGATTCTAAATTTTATTTTTATTAGAATGTTTAACAACACTTTATCGAGCATTGATATATAGTCCATTGAATATGACTCAAATACCAACATTATTTTTTCTTTCTGAAACAATTCTTTATTGGATTAAAAATGATGCTATCCTTGAACCATTTCTTACATCAACTGAATTAAAATTATTAAAGGTAACAGGGAAAAAAAATATACATTTGTATCAAATAAACAAGAAACGTCTGTTTAAATAGATTGCTCAAATTATATTTCAATTACTCTATTATCATTATTTGGAAGGTAAATTAAATTTTATCTTTATTTCATTCGTCTATTTTTCTTTCATTTAGGTTCAACTGAACCTTATGAAGAATTAAAAATTCGTCTTTCCTCGTATTTAGACGGTAATTTTCTTTATTTAAACTATAATCGTCATAACAAATCTCTTTTCTAATAGGTCTTGAGGAATGTGAATCTGCGTATTCATCATATCCAAATGCTGTTTGGTGTATTCGTTATATTGAATCTGTTGGTTCTGTACTTGTTGCTAGTGTTGGAAAACATGCATTAAGTTCACGACGTAATACTTCATCAGTTGCAAATTTTCCAATACCACAAATTCCACCTGAAGATCTTGATAAAACAACAAATAAATCTGAATTACGTACTTCCGTTCAAGAATTATCACCTATACTATGGCATTCAGTTAATCTCTGGTCATTTGCTAAAAAATATTCAACCAATAGTTTAACAGAAACTATGAATCGTTCATTTAATGAAATCATTCTTTCATTAATTAATTGTAGATATGAGTTACTTAACGAAAATTGGTATGAAATATCAATAGAAAAATAATTCATTTCAAATTTTTTATTTAGGATTGATGTAGTTATAACATTTCAAATTCTGGCTGATATTGCAAAAACAAATGTCGATATATTGGAAACAATTCAATTATTAGCTCAATGTAAATATAAATAAATTAGGACTTATATTTAAACCTTGAAGGTGTGGATGTAGACGCGTAATCAGACGGAGCTCAGCTCCCTCCTGCCTAGACATAACTTTGACAGTATAAAATTATTTGAAATGATTTTGTTTTTTTCTTTAGCTGAATTAACAACTCAACTTCCAGCACATAAACAAACTGATAATCAAATGATATCTCATGGTTGGCGTTTATGGTCTTGGAAACTTATCGTTCATTTATGTGAATGTTTAACATCAATTTGTATTGGTACAGAACAAGCTTTAATTAAACGAAAAATTTTATTTGGTAATGAAACATCATCAGATAATATTCTTGCTTATGCAAGAAATATAAATACGTTTACTACTGAACCAAATACTGCGAGTCAAAGTAAAAATAATGAACATGTTTGTTTAATGCAAATGTTAACATATCAAACAAAAGATGAGAATGATGAAGATCTATCATGGCGTATTCGATATATGGGACTTTTATGTATGTCACAAATTTATAAACATTTACAAAATGAACGTCGTCATAAAACATTAAGTAATTTACTTTGGATGTTTATACATGAATATGAACAAAATGAGCGTGATAATCGAATACTTGAAGCACTTAAAGTTGGACGTTTTGATGATAATATTATTCAATCGATGAAATATGATTTAAGTGAAGGTCAATTAGGTACGATTTATACTAATATAGCTCAACGTTTAGCTGATGGTATATTACCACAAACACCATCATCTAATTTACAAACACCAAAAACAACTACAAAACGATCATTTAAAAAGAGCCCAAATATTTCTTCACCACCAAATAATTTCAGTTTACCTGCATCTCCAACTGCAAAGTAAATTTTATTTATTCATTTATCTATTTAATCCTAATTATTTTTTTAGAATTGATAAAAAACCTGTTCCAATTAAAAAGATAATTCAAGATAATATTAATGATGTATTTAAACGAAAAGAACAAGTATTACAAAGTATTGTCATAGATCAAGTTCGTTTATTTTTTCTTCTTCTTATTTTTAATTATTCAATATTAATTTAGTATCGTAGAAAACTTGAAGAAACAAAAGAAGAAACAGCTGATGTTATTGAACAATTAGATACAATGATTGAACAAGCTATGGAAAATACAACATTAAATGAAAATGATTTAGCAAGTGTATTTACATCAACTAATAAAAAATTCATTCATGATCCACTTCAAGAACGACGAGCATTAGCAGTATCTATGGGTGATACGTTGATAACTGATGAACAATAATAATCTCATTTATACACAAAATTTTCTTATTCCGTCCATTTATTTTAATCTCAATTTTTTTTTCTTCAATATATAAATAAAAAACTCTTCTTCCGTCCAAGAAATAATGCATAAGTAATTGAATTAGATTTGATTGGGTTTAGCAGTATCCAATGAAAAAGAATAGACGAAATCTTTTCTAATTCTCTCCATCTCGTCGATAGTTATGTTTTTTTTGCCTCGTGTTTTTACATTGTAAAGAATTAATTCATATTTTTTTTTACAGATAAATTTTTTTTTAACCAAAAAATAAAATGTTGGCCGCAACTGGTCGTTGTGTATCTCTTACTTCATTGCCTCGTGTAAATGCTTTAGCTATTATTCGTCAAGCATCGTCATCATCACATTCAAATAAAAATAAAGATGAACCAGTTGCTGTCACAACACCATCTGGTTCACATGACGATTCATCTCGTTCACCGATGAGTCAACGACAATTACCTCCCGATGATGGCAAAGTCCGTATGTAATCAATAATTTTTTATTTCTTTTAAATAACATATATATATGTTTCATAGGTTTTCCTAATCCATGGGATGTTATTCTTAATAAACGTCGTTTTGAATATGCTATGGTTTGTAATGATATTGAATCTATATATGTCTATTGAAGTAAATCATATTTAGAAATTCAAAGGATATGATGATCCATTCGATATGATGCCAGTTAAACGTATTGCGAACAGTACACCAGAAAATCCAAATTTATTACCAAGTTGTAATGATAAAAGACTTATGGCATGTATTTGTAAGTTTATCAATGATTTTTTTTGTCGATATTTTCTATAGAAAAATTATTTTAGGTAATGAAGATGTTTATCACTTGAAATGGATGCACCTTCATCGTGGAGAACCCAAACGATGCTATTGCGGTATGAAATGAATCTTTGAGAATCGCTACTGTTAACCTTGATGAATATGAAATTTCATATTGCTCTGATTAGGGTGCGACTTCGGGATTGAATATTTTCAAAATAGAGACTTCAGCCTAATTCTTGGGTTCTCTGAAGATGTGCGATGGATAGACAATAAAATTCTCTATCAGACTATTGTACTTTCAGATCTCATTCAGGATATATAAAGAAGAAATCCCGCTAGTATTTGTCCTGCAATACATGTTGAGTGAGATCCGAAAATACAATAGTCTGATAGAGAATTTTATTCTCTATTTATTGTACATCTTTAGAAGAACCCAAGAATTGAACTGAAGTCTCTATTTTGAAACTACTCAGTCGCGAAGCCGCACCCTAGGTTAAGCAAAACACGGACTTCCTTCAGAATGTTTATAGATTAGGGAAATGTCTAGAGAAAAGAAGTAGTCCATCAGTAGCTTAATAAAACATTCACTATTAAATATTTTATGTTTATTTCTAGGTCATTGGTTTAAATTAACTGAACGACAATATGTTGACTTAAGTGATTTTGGTATTACAGAAGAAATGCAGAAACCAGCTGCTCATTAAGACTTGTCCTTCTATCTCTCTCTTCTATTAGAACATTGTAGTATTTTTTTTTGCGATTTAGATTTATCTTTCTTTTTTTCTTTCATCGTCATTTAATTGAAATAAAAAAAAACACAAACAACCCGATAAAAAAAACAGAATAGAATAAATTCTTTTTATTTTATTACTTTTAGATATGTCTGATTATCAATTAAGTAATGAAGATCATGAAGCATTGGAAAAATTTACAAAATTTTTCCTGGTTAAAGCAGCTCAAATTATTGTACAATCACGTTTAGGTGAAAAGAAAATAACAAAATCGAAACCTATGTGTTCCGGAAATGAATGGGTAAAAATTAGAAAAATTCTTTATTCAAAAAACAAATTTTTTGATTATTTCTAGTTTCATCTGTCAATTAAAGACATTCCTGAAGTCACTGTTAATGCTAAAAAATGTTTAGGTGATATTCAACATCTTCTAATTAATCCTCCACATAGTTCATTTTGTGTGGAAATATCATTACGTACACCAGATTGTGATACAATAACATTAGAAACATGGTGTATATCATTTGATGATTCAATATCAGATCCAGCACAACGTGTTCGATTTAATATTTATAATCGTATGAGTATTGTTCTTCGATCATTATTAACATGTACACGTGCAACACCAACATATCAATTATCACGAAAACAATCAGCCGATAAATATATTATTTGTTATAAAATGTATAGTGGTGAACCAATTGTTAGTCATTTAGGTGAACATTATTCAAAAAAAACAATCGGAAGTATTCTAACACCAATTGGACGTTTTGTATTAAATGTTGCTTATAGAACACGTTTAACAATGTCATTAACACCAATGGAAAATCGACCAATTTCAAATTTAACACCATTTGGAATTGATATTAAAGATGATCATTTTTCATTAGATAGAAATCATCATAGTCTAGAAGAGTAAATAATTTTCTTTATATTTCCTAAAACAAAAAACATATTTTATTTCTAGTGATAATGATGCTCAATTACCATCAGCACATAATTCAAGTGTGCCAAAAAGTTCACCTATTGAAGTTATGAAACGAAGACATACTAGTTCGGAATCAGTTTCATCAAGTCATGGGTAAATTTTCTAAGAAAAACAAATAACTAATTTACAATATATATATATTTTAGAACACCAGATAAAGTTTATTATAGTAAATTACGTGCTGCATTTGCAATACCTGGTACAATTGCACATACACCATCACATATTGGTTCATATTCTCGTATGAATGATAATGATTTACCCTATGTACTTATGCAACAACAAGATCAAAATTCGAAAGCTAATTATTCTCTAAGTGCGGATTTAGATAATGATACAGCACCCGATGATTTTATTCTTGTTGAAGTAAAACCATTTTTTGGTAAAAGTGATTCAACAGATGATTTAGCTTTATTTATTCGATCATGTCAACAACCACCCATGCTTGAATCATTTGTTTTTGAACCATCACTTGGTGAAACAATAAATCAGTTAAATGATGAATTACGTGTATTTGAATCGAAAGTGGAGGAATTCGATCAACTTGTTGGAACATTATCTACAGCAGACTAATGAATTTTTTATTTATTTTATAATACAATTTAACAGTGCTTTCCAATAATTTATATATAGCTCTCTCTCTCGCTCTATTCTTTTTTTTCTGTACAGTCAAAATGAAGCAAAAAAAATACAACTAATTTCAAATGTTACATAGAATTTTTTTCTTTTCTTTTGTTTTTTTGTTTGGATGAATGTAAAAAGATATATGATAGCAGTTTTAAAGTAATTTATTCATTTTTCGTCTTTTTTTATGTTAAAATTGACATTCTGCCACTTTATGTACATATATATTCAATAAAATGCATTTTCTCTTGGAAGAAAAAAAAAAAGAAGCAGTGAATGTAAATATAATGCAACGGAACTTCTTATCTCTAAATTTATTAATAGTTGAACAGTGAATATTTTGAATCTGAAAATATTATTAATATATTCAAAACATTTCTTATAGAACTAAGAAATAAAATTAGCAATTGCCTCAAGTCATAGGATGAAATAACTTGTTGTCTTCACTATCTTACTAAAGGCAGTTCCGTTACAACTTGAGAAATCTATTGATTTTGTTAAAAAAGAAGCTTTACAAATGTGAGAACTCGATTGACGGAAACTCATTTGTCGAGTATTTCAAATACGACAAGTATTCTGTTGTTAACGTACGAATGTTATTTCGCATTGACTAAAAAAAAAGAATTTATTTACGTTTAAAATGATCGTATCATATATCTAGAATGAACACTATTGATTAGAAATATTCAGTAAAACTTAATTGATAGATCAATACTATATTGATAAAAATAAATATGTAAATATGATTAAGAAAGGCTCCTCATGTTTTTTAACTATAAATATATCTTTAATTGCTTAGATTTATAAAACTGAATTCGTTCACATAAGTACGAAATTACGATAACATTTAGAAATGATATGTAATTTATTGATATTACGAAATATAGAATGTAGATTAACAAAACTTACATTTGATGTATAATATAATTTACGCTTTATAAGTACAAATAGCGTTAATATTATTATAGAACATTCATATTGCTATGTCATTCTATTATCATTGTTTGTGCTTAAGAACAATATAAAATAAAATCTTCGAGATAAAAATAGATATTCAATTGGTAAATACATCGCTCTTATAAATATATATATATATATATATATTGTCAATTGTCGTCATTAGTTTTTAGAATGGTTATCCTGCAGTTTGTTGTTGAATAAATTTCGACAGTTATATTATTTAATCTAGGCCTGACTGAATCAGTATGCTATGAAGATTACTTATTAGTAGATCGATGCATAAATCCCTAAAGGCCCTAAACGATTAAACTAAAAGAGAAAAAAAATTACAATAAAAAAATATAAGCAAAATCATCTGATATATTAGTTTTTGAGTGAAAACAAATTTTGATAAAATTATGTCAAATATCGTTAATATTATAAATGCAAAAGCGACGTTGAATGATATATTAAATTTGTTTCCCAAAATGACAAGACAATTATTTATTTATACGTGATATGCTCACTTTCAAAAGAACAAAAAGAAAAAAGAATCAATACACAATAGATACTTATACATTCCGTTTAAGTATTGGTTCACGTGCAAAAAAGAATATTGATGCGGCTAACATACTAATAAGATAAAATATAAAACAAATTCGATCAACAATAATAGCTAATATTTTCCATTCTTCATATATATCGTATAATGCTTGTGTATGAACATTTTGTTTTTTAGCATGTATTGTTAATAGTAAACGTTGACATTCAAGTATTTCACGTAAAATCGATATTTTTAAATTTTCATCATCAATTTTACTTGGATCAAATTGTGTTTGCATTTTAAGTAGAATTTGTTCAATATTATGTGTCAGTGAATGTTGTTGAAGTGTTGTATATGTTAAATCTTCATTATCATCATCGTTTACTGTTGTTGATGTTGTTTTCATAACATTTAATTTTAATCTTGTATCATTACGATTACGAGTTATATCACCATTCGTATTATCTCGATGTATAACAGTCTTTTTCGAAACAGTTGGTGATAATAATTGTTCACGGGTAAGAAAATGAAAACCAAGGCAATGACCAATTTTATACATAACTATACGACGACACCAAAGTGGTACACGAGATTTTTTAGGTCCACGATAATGAAAATTAAGTACAACAACTGTAAGAACAACAGAAATAAGCACCAATATAAGATTGACATTAAAATAAATACCTAAACAATAAAAACATATGTAATTGAATGTTAATAGAAATTTATTTTTACCAATAATAGGAAGATTTGAAGAAGCTTTCGGTGTATATTCCGAAATAAGTTGTAAAAAAACTGTTAATGCAAGAAGAATAGTTATTGTTAATGTTATTTTTTCACCTGAATCAGGTGGAAGCCAAAAAACAAATAATGTTAAAAAAGATAATATTGAAAATGGAAATATCATATGATTAACATAGAATTGATAATTACGTTTCATATTTATATAAAATACAAGCCATAAATAACGTTTTATTGTCGCATTTTTAACAGATACATCATAAACTTGCCATTCCGTACGAATATATTGTGTTCGTTGACGTAAATTTTGTGGTTGATGACGAACTAATAATTCATCGGATGGACGTGACCAAGATTGAATTTCCAATGTACAATTTTGTTTATCTAATCAAACAATACATACATATATATTTAAATTATAAAACTAGAATTTACCAAATGGAAAATAAGTGATAACAACATCACAATAGGATCGAAATACATCGGGAAAAACCCATTCAACTGTTCCATTATAATGTGCAGTTAATAAATAATGTTCACGTTGTTGAGAATAAGCAACATCAGCTGAATTAAATAAAACAATATCTGGTGTCCAAATTTCACGTGTAGCAAAAACTGTACGATTTTGATCATTATAATCACTTGGTATCCATCGTAAATGTTCATCTTGCCATTTTAATGTTACCTGTACATTGGTTGTCATTACTTGATTTTGTTCATCCTAATTTAGAAGACAAAAAAAAATTAAATAAAATACTTTTTTTAATTTATTTACTAAATCCATAACTTGTATTATAGTTAGACCAATATCAACTACAGTAACAGTTGTTGTATTAACAACTGGTCGTGCTTGAGGAACATAACCTTCAAGTAGAGTTGAACGTAAACGAGATTCATCTGAATGATATTGAGGTTCTAAATAGAAAGAAAAAAAACAAAACAAAAAGTCATGTATTACCCGAGAAATTGAATAAAATATATTTTGTAAACTACTTAAACGAATCGCTAATATGATGATCTCTAAAGAATAACTAAATATTTTCTTTCTCAAGTACCAATATCATTGCCCGGACTTTTTTTTTCCTATCGATAGATTCCTTCTCTAAAAACTTTGAGATCTACCGCCGATCTTTTACAATAATTCAATTAGTTGATTTTCCATCGATATGCATTTCAAGGCCTTTCTCGATAAAAACGAAGAAGAAGAAGAAGGAAAAAGAAGGAAAAATAAAAAGATTTCAACTTACTTCCATCATCATCTCCATCACCTGAAACTTTATTCTTTCGTCCAATAATAGTTTTCTCTTTTTCTACTCTTGGATTTTTAAATTTCATTGATGTACTAGCTAATGCTGATGAACTGGATGCTGAATGAGCATAAGAATATAATAGATAATAAATAGATAATAATAAGAATTGAAATAAAACATTGAAATTCATTGTTGTCAATATAATAAATATTGTAGTTTATTGATAATAATCGTTATAATGTTTATCATTCTTATAGTTTTTTAGTAGTCAGATAAAGATAGAAAAAGCAAATATCTCTGAAATCCATCGAGAAATGTATAAACGATCCGAGCTAGTGAAGATAAGAGAGACAGGGAAAGCGAGAGAGGGAGAGAGAGGGAAAGACAGAAAAGTTAATTTAGTTCTCGACACTCAGTTTCTCTTCTTGTTGTTATGTCTTCGTTCTCGATTTCTAGTAGTATATCATGATTGTGTGACAAAAAAGAAGAAAATGTTGATGATGGCGGCAAAAGAAGCGAAAAAAAAAGGAGAAAATCTCTTTAGATAGAATCTCAGACTAGGTCAAAAAAGAAGCGATAGAAAAAAAGAACATAAAATAGATTGAGTTATGAAGCGTTTTCAATAACTTGATGTAATAAAAAGAAAAAAACAGTTATATTTACAGAGAAGCAAATGCACCAATAGTTTTCACAAGTAAATTAACATATGTTCAAAAGATTTTATTCAAGAATAAAATATATTTTTTTCTTCTTCTTCTTCTCAAAAATCGCAATAGATTTATTTATATACTATTTGACTAGTTTCTGTCATTTATTGAATTATCAATATTACATGTCAAACTGGATCAAATCATTTCATCTATAAATGGCAGCCGTTTTATGTAAGGATAAAAACTAGCTTAACAATGAAGTTTTTGTAATTACAAGGAAGATGAATTATTTGTTCGAGAATATATGAATGCATAGTTAATTAAGCTATTTGTCGCTTTGAATATAAACAACAACGAATGAACATGTCAAGTCGATTTTTTTTCTTGTTATTTGCATTTTCTATTGAAAATGATTTAAAAAAGAACGAAGAGAAAAATTAAAAGTACAGTATATATGTTAAAAAACAAAACAACACCAAAAAAAAGAGAAGAAAAAAAGAAGAATTTAAATTCATGTTAATGTTTCTTTTTGTGATTCATTTGTATTTGATGATGGATCAGTAAAAACGGCTAGTGTTGTTTCCATTTGATTACTATTATGTTCATTTGATGGATTTATTGGGACTTTTGATTCAAGTTTAGCAAGTACTGTTTGTACATTATGTATCATTTCTTTACGTTTTTCTTTTATATCAGCACTAACATCTATTAATTCATCACAACGCATCATCATTTTTAATGCTTGTTCATCTAATAATTTATAAATACGATCATCACGTGTTAAACCACTAAATGCATCAACTTGTTGATTTAAATCCATTAAATTTTGTTTAATTTGTTCAAGCTTTTCTAAAGCAATTACATTTGGATCACGTATAGGTATCGTTTCAGTCGTTGGAACTTGTTGATCATTTGTTGGCAAAGATGTCGCCGTTGTTTCAGATTTTGAATTTGAATTATTTGTAGAATCTTTGGTCATTTTAAAATCAGATTCTTGCTGTTGTTGTTGAGATGTTGGTGGAGGTGGATGACGACCAGGTGATTCATCACGTTGAGAAAGTGGTGAATGAGAACGATCATGTGCTATAAAAGAAAACAAATAAAAAAGAAAATATAAATACAAATAAATGATTAATATAATAGTTATATATATATATAAATAAATTCCAACCTTTTCTTTTTCTTGAAGTACTATTTGTTAAACCCATTTTTTTTGACTGACAATTTTTATTTGTAAACATTTATGTCTACAAAACAGTCATATTTTATGAGTTTTTGCCTCCGAAGATGGAGCACTGTTATATGCAGAATGTTCTTTCATTAGTTGTTTTTTTCTTCTTATCATTCTCTTTCCTTTCTCATTCTGTTATTATTTCTTCGCCTCACAAGCACGTAACGGGCAATAGTTAGATACACATATTCACTTCTCTTCTCTATTTACAAAGTATATAAACCATGACCTTCTCTATTTATTAACGATGTGTCATCTATCTGACCGTGATAGTTGACGCATAAGGACAATGATCGTCTAGTCTTACGCTTAAGATCTGGACTCAACAATAAAAAAAAAAGGAAAACTAATAGATTTATTTTCTGCTAAAACAGATAAATAACATATTTATATTTCTCATCTAGTAACTAAATATTGTAAAAATTGACTTACAATTATTAATTATTCGTTGTGTAGGATTTGTTTGTTGTTGATTGATTGGTACACGATATTCATTTGAATTAACAAAGCTTGGCCGATAATAAGATTGTTGTTGCTCGGATGGATATGGTCGATTTATCGGAAATTTTTTTTCGCCATCTGGAGAATCATTAAGTGCATCATAAGATCGACGAATAGAATTTGTATTGTATTTATTAGGTTCGATAAAATCTGAATCAGATTGAAATCCACTATTAAATATAGGGGAATAATATGTTGTATTTCGTGATTGATTATTTGAACGGGTTGAATCCGTGGGTGGTGATGAAAGAAGATCTTCACTTGAACGACTAGTATGTAAAGATCTTGGTTCATATATACGTTGTTGAGAATGATAATATTGTGGTTCTTGATATGAAGGTCGATCATAACATGGTTCATTAAAAAGAGAATTTTGTATTAAACGATCATAAGCAGGAATTGGACTATTTCGTCGTTGAAAACGACTTGTTGAATATGGATTCATTGTTGGTTTTGTATATGGTGGTGAATTTGAAAAATCATTAAAAGAAGTTTCAGTATAATTTGGACGATGATAAGTACTATATCTTGAATATGAATTTGAATCTGGTGATGAGATTATTTGTACAGGAATTGTAACACACTAAAAAAGTAGTTTTGAATTATTAAATTTGAATTCTTATCAATTAAATATACATACTCCAGCTGGACGTCCAGAAGTATTTGATGAAGACATTGATATATTATTCTAATATAATAAATGAGAACAATCTAAAGCAAGAAGTCAATAATGTCTATTGTAGTATAACTCAAATCCTATTGGAATAAACGAATGTGCATTCTGTTAATATAGGGCACACAATACGACAAAGAGAAAAAGAGAAGTTCTTATCGTTCTTTTATTTCTCTCCAGCTACCGCCTTCTCATTTCATTATTATTGAAAACCTAAGTTTTTTTTCTTCTTTTTCTCCACATTCCTATCGAATGTGTCAATAAATAAAAAAAGAAATCTTACTACCGAATCCACTACCGACATGCTGTGAAACAGTGTTATCAAAATAAAATATGAAATTTCCACGATATTTTTATCTTATAAAAAACATTGACTCATCTTTGTTGTGTCTTCTTCATCATCATCCTACTCTTTGACATGATAAGATCAACCTACGCAAAAAAATATGACTACTACTACTACCTATTGAATGTAAATAATCACCTTTATCAATACACATACATAACGAGAATATTTCAAATGCCATTCTTGTAATTTTTATTTAAGATTTGTGTGAAGTGGAAAAAAAACAGAAGAAAGCATTATTATGCAGATTACTCCAAGCTCTTTGCCTTGTGCTTATATCATCGCATCAGTAATATTACATGAATAATATAAGTGCCCTTTCATTATATATATACATATAACAATGATCTAATAGAACAGAATGTTGATGTTCAATATTCATAATCAGCCATTCTCATTATCTCACTTATCGATGCGAACACAGAAAAGAATATCCATTAACTCTTTATAACTAACTCTCTTACCTTCTACTCATATGTCTATATGATGTAATGTATATACATACATATATTTATTCACTGTAATAACCTTTTTTCTCTTCTTCTTCTTCCTCGGTTATTCAAATAATATTCGTTATATATTTTTTCTTATTATAAAATCATGAGATTATTAATTATATTTTTTTTTCTTCTAAATTCAAGGATATTCATTTTTTTTGTTCTTGCTTTCTATATTTATATTATTATTATTATTATTCTGATTCATATGTTGTAACTAAAAGCCAAAATGACACCTGTTGTTATATTTTCATCATTAATAGCAAACTATTGATTAATCCCTTTCTCGTCTATTCGAGGCCATTACAAATAGAAAACAGAATAAGAATAACAAAAACAACTATATCAGCCATATATAAGGATTTACATAATTTTATCGTAAAATGCGCTTTTTTTTTAGTCTTATTTTTCTTGTGATTAATAGGACACAATATCATATAAACATCTTTTGTTGTTCTATATAGTTCCTTTTTTTTGCTTCTCTTCTTTTCATATATATATATTTTAATGATTTTCATCCTCTTGAGATTTTTGGAAGATGAAGGACAAATATAGGATGAAAAAAATCCGCATAAATCTCGTTTAATATATTGCCTAAATACAATAGTTGAAAAAAAAAAGAAATCGATAGCAAAAAAAAAGAGAGACAAGGTAACGGATTGAAGTAAACAAACTAGACAGATACACTGAGTGTTTCTTTTATGGATTTATTTTTCTTCCTTCAAGTACTGCTTTAACTTCATCAGCTGAAAGTGTTTCAAAATGAAGTAAAGCTTCAGCAAGAATTTTAAGTTCATGTGAATGTTTTTTCAATAATGTTTTTGCACGATCATATGATTCCTATGAAAAGAAACAAAAAAAAACAAATAATCAAATTCCTTTTATTTCTTGGTATGCGAAATATTAACCTGCATAAGACGTTTTATTTCTAAATCAATCATTTCTTGCATGGCTGGACTTATATCATTAACACGAACAAAACCTAAACCAGTATCTTGTTCATCTTCTTTAAATGATCGTGTACCAACTTTTTCTGACATACCAAATTGTTTGACCTATATACATATAATAAATCGAAAACATTTATGAATAATATTTTTTTTCCAAAGTTGAAATTGATTTATATCTTATTCAGAAGCCCTTTGAAACTTGACATCAATTAAATGATGTATATATTGTTGATGATATTTTTCAACTCATGTCAAGATAAGAAAGACGTGACATAAAGGTATCCAAAAATGTTTTAGATAAATGATCTCTATGATATTTAGTTTTCGGTATTTTTATCCTATTAGGAATTCTGATGTTTTCTTGATCTATTGAAGAAAAGTCAAAGGCTGCTTTATCTCAAGACAAAGTTATAATACATAACGGAAAGTCGTTATTTATGATAATCATCTCTTGTCAATCAATTTTATTTTATATAGTAGATTTTTATCAATGTTTTCTTCATCAGTGATTATCATGTCAATCTTAAGTATTTTAGAATATTGAAAGATATAATAAATCGTTGTTTTTGATGTGACATAGTTATCTAGAAAAGATTGCTTTGTGTATTGAGGAATACGACTGAATATGTCTTTAAAATAGCTCTATCCCATAAGGAATATTATCGTTTCATAATATCATATATAACATCTGAGTGTAGATACGATCATAATTCTCAGCAGATATATTTAGTTCTTACAGAAAGTATACATAACAGTTAGAGAGATGTTGATTGAGATTCAAAAACAAGTTAAATTTAGAATTCTTTTAATTCTTTCACAACAATTCGATTTTCTATGTACTATGTCTATGCATTCGTTATTATTTTTCTTGTTTTCTATGATTACAAAAGTTGTCTTGTTCTATTTTTAACTGAATAGTCATTCAATTTTGTTTTTTTTTCTTTCTCTTTTATGTACGATACAATAAGAAAGAGACAAAACAATCACATTTTTATGTTTTTCTTTTCGTAGCATTACCTTTGACTCTTTTTGTTATGATCTACATCTCCTGCAGATACTATTATAACATCGATCTTTCTTAACCGTATCAGTCAGGAATCTTCACTGAAAGAAAACAGTATATAGATCTAGCAGATTAACTAATAATATGCTGTAAACGATATAGGAAATTGTATTTAACGATGACATTTATACTGATATTTGGAATGGCAATAGTTAATGTCTATTAGATGTACTAGGAAAAGTATGATATAAGCCATATGACTATATTACAATTCCGTGAAAGACCTCTTTACTCTTTAGTACGTCATTCGAGCAGCTGAAACCTTGTTCGAGATAACAATCAGAAGGTAATTCGAAGCGTAATGCTATGAAAATATCAAGTAATAGCAGTCAAGAGAATCAAGTCTGATGATAGTAAAGAGCGTATCAATAACAAACTATAAAAAATAAAAATTTCTAAATTACCATATTTGTTGCAAGTTTTGTAGCTTGATTAAAATCACTTGCTGCACCGGTAGTTACTTTTTCTATACCAAATATTTGTTCTTCAGCTGCACGTCCAGCCATCATTACATCCATTTCAGCTAATAATTGTGATCTCGTTCGATTGTATGATTCTTTTAAAGGTATATGTGCTGTAAAACCAAGTGCTTGTCCACGTGGAACTATTGTTACTTTATGTAATGGATCAGCATCCTCAGTAAAATAACGAACAATAGTATGACCTGCTTCATGATAAGCTGTAATATTATTTGTTTCTGCATCAGGTATTTTAGATTTTTTTGCTGGTCCCATTAGAACTTTATCACGAGCATGTTCAAGATGTTTCATTGTAACATTTGGTGCATCAATTTGTGCGGCATAAAGTGCAGCCTAAATAAAAATAAAGATATTTTTTGTGTTTTGGGGTATTATGAATTTAAATGACATACTTGATTAACCATATTTTCAATATCAGCTCCTGTAAATCCAGTTGTACCTTTTGCTAAGTATTCAGTATCAATAGTTCGATCATGTACAGTTTTTGAAAGATAAAGTTCAAAAATGTCTTTTCGGCCACGAAGATCAGGTGGTGAAATATGTATTTCAGAATCAAAACGACCTGGTCGTAATAGAGCTGAATCTAAATAATCACGACGATTTGTTGCAGCTAAGACAATAATTCCTTCATTCTTTTCAAAACTAAATATAATATTTTTCTTGTACAATAAAAAACATAGATTCTGAAATTCTTACCCATCCATTTCAGCAAGAAGTTGATTAATTGTTTGATTAGCATATGGATGTAATTGTGAACTTGATCGTTTAGCACCAACCGAATCAATTTCATCAATAAATATAACACATGGTGCACGAGCTTTCGCCGCAGCTAGAATCATTTATTTGTATTTAAAAATCTATTTTAAAGAAGGAACTTACTGAATAATTGACGAACACGACGGGCACCTGTACCAACAAACATTTCATCAAATTCAGAGCCAGATGTATGAAAAAATGGTACACCAGCTTCACCAGCGACAGCTCGAGCTAATAGTGTTTTACCTAAAAATATATAAATCCATTAGTATAAATTCCAATATGTTTTCTGTTCTTTAGAATTACATACCAATACCAGGTGCGCCAACAAGAAGTACACCTTTAGGGAGTCGAGCACCTAATTTTGTATATTTTTCTGAATCTTTAAGATATTGAACTATATCCATTAATTCATCTTTTGCTTCTTCAGCCTAATAGATCAATTGAAAAACAATTTGATTTGTTATAAAAAGTATATAAATGAATTTCTTACTCCTCGAACATCAGAAAAATCCACTTTAATTTCTTCCGGATTTATTTCATATTTACTAGCTGTTGAAAATGCATTGGCAAATCCACCACGAACACCATCTTAAAAAAATTTTCAAATCAAATTTATTTAAATAAATCAATATACATTCATACCACCGCCAAATGCAGAAAGAATATTTAAAATAATCATAATTAATAGACCATAGAATAATATGACACGTACTGCTTTAAATAATGATGGACGTTCTTTAGGTTTTGGTTCACCAGCAGCAGCAACATATCCTATAAAAAACAAGAAATATCAAACTGTTGAGAATTTTTTCCGTGGTTATACCTTCAGCAAAAGCAATTTTAACTTTTTGTTGATCATCCGGATTTGTTGTTGTATGTAAAATATCTTGAAAACGTTTAGCATCAATATTTTGAGAACCCGAATTTCCGCGAGCATATTGTAAAAACTAGAAAAAAAGAAAATTTATTAAATAATTAACAAATGAATGAAAAATTATTTACTCGGTTAACAAAAGCAGTTAATGGTGGTTGATTTGAATCATTAGGATATTGTGACTGTCTTCCAGTATTACTTGCTGATAGTCGATAACCATCGAAATCATTGTAATTTCGAGATGCTGAACCTGCTGATATATTATGATCATTAATATCTCCACGGACACCGGTTGAAGTTGCATGTCGTGTTTTAAAACCACGTACTTGAGTATATACTGAGTAGAAATAGAATGAACAATATGATGCAATACAAAAAACATAGATATTTACATAAATTCTCGACTTTTAATAGATCTTTATGAGTAACATGTTGAGTTAAACCAATTTGGCATGAAAGACAAGGTGATAATGGTGCGATAGTAAGCTTTTGAAATTCTTTAAAAACGAAAGAAGAAAGAAGTAATATGACAAATTTTACTAGATAATATTATTAGTTTCAAAATCAATCTCAAGTGTTTTATTTTTCGAAAAAAAACACTTTGATTGATTTATACTATCTAATATAGTTTGATAGTTTTTTTTCATATATCAAAAATGTTAATCAAATAATTTTCACCTTCTTTTGATAATTCATTCAATAATGACTCAATTTTAATATTAAATGCTTGTTGTGTTGCTCTAACTACTTTTCTATCAATGTCACGCTAAAATATAAAATAAATCAAAAATATTGAGATAAATTATTTTATTTCTTACTCTCGAATGTTGTTTTGGAGTTCTTTTTGGTGAAAATTGTTTTAAAGCTTCATTCGTTATTGATTGTAAACTTTGTGGCAAATAACGGATTGATTGCACAAAAAATGATGCACATTGGGAACATAGCTAAAAACAAGAATGTTCTTAACCATAATAATAAATCCAAATGTTTTGGTTTCTCACATTTGTTGGTGTTAGAAGTGAATTCATCTACAATACATAGACATGCATGTAGCAGAACAAATTGAATTAGTTTATATTTCGTTTTTTTAAACACATAAACATCATAGGAAAAAAAATATATAAATAATATGAGACACACACAAAAATGAAAATTAGAAGAGTTTATTGTTTTTATTTTATTTTATTTTATTTTTGTACAAAGACTAGTTCACATAAGTTCAAGAAGATGATCAGCTTCAGTTTCAAGTAATACTTCATCAATTAAAGCAAATTGATCACCAATATCGGTAGGGTCATCAAGTTTAAGCAATAGATTTTCATCTTCCTGAGTTGAGCTTATTGGCGATGGTGGTTGTGGTGGTGGTGGTGGATTATTATCTAATGGAATTTTTTCAACAGGTTTTGGTGGAGCAATGATCGTCGGTGCTGTTGGTTGTTTGGTAGTACCGAATGATTGTTTTCGTGGCCGAGAAGGTTGGCGAGGAGGAGCTTGCCGAGGAGAAGCTTGCCATTGTGATGATTGTTGCATTAGTGGTGGTGGTGAGAAGTACTGTGGACGTATAGATAGTAAAGACACCGGTTTAGGTAGCGCGGAAAATGCTTGGGATGGAGTTTTTGGTTGTGAAGTTCTAGCTAGAAATGCATCGACTTCGTTTTTCCATGCAGAATCATTCATTGTTGGTAATGATGAATACGGTTGACGAGGAGGTGATTTTCTTTGTGGTGGAGATGATGACATTGACGATGATGTGGATGAGAAGGATGATGAGGATGAAGGACGACGACGACGTTGCTGTCGTTCATGTGGTCTACGAGAATTTGACGTTGATGAACATAAATCACCAATCGTTGTATTATTATTATTATTATTGTTATGATGCTGATGATGTTGCTGCTGATGATGATTATTATTATCTTGTTGAGAATAAATACGTTTTACGGGTGGAGAATCATTTGTTAGTTGTTCTGATGCTGGACGTTTTGAATTGATCACATTACGAGTTACAGTATTCACAACAGATCGTGTTGGTGATGATTGTTTCTTCTTAAAACGTCTTTGAAAATAAATATATTTATTATTATTATTGAAATTATTCAAAATTATTTTTATTTACTCAATTCGACTTGTTCGACGATCACCATCTTGTGTTAATCCTGTTCCTAGAATAATTCGAAGGTACGATCACATTAAAAACTTTCGAGAGAGAGAAAAAAAACCAACAACTATGATGATGAAATACAATAATAAATGCCTATCTATCAACCTATTCCAACTCATAGAAAACAAAAATGCACATTAACAAAAATAAAACATTCATATTATTATTGTTACTGTTTTGGTTCATTCCCTATCTAATCTCACTCAATCTATTAATTGAAAAGAACATCAGATAAAAGAAATATAAAGAATAGAGAGTTTATGAAGATGTTGTTGTATATAGTTGATTGTAAGAAATGGAAAGCATGTTATGCCAATAAACGTACCCGCAGATATCTAAATACGAAAAAAAAATATTTTCTCATTTCGAAAAACAAGAAAATTCTTTTACTAACTTTTTCTTCATTTGATGGTGGAGAAATAGGTTTAGGTGTTGTTGTGTTTGCTGCGGGTAAACGATCACGATTTAATCGAATCGGTTTTGTACTATTTGTTGAAGGTGATTGTTTTGATGTTGTAAATAAACGATTTGTAATTGATGGAGCTGAACATGGAAATGATATATCCATCAAAGAATTGACTAAATAAATCAATACAATAAATATATATACATATTTTATTTTATTTCTTACTTTTATTTGTATCAATTTCTGGTTCAATTAAATCATCTAGATCGATATCACTATCAATATCATTGATAACTTTCTTTGATGAACTATTTGTATCTGATGAAACAACAACTCGATGTACTACTTTTCGATTTGGAATATTCACTGTTTCAGCAATAACAACATTTCGATTTCCAGTTGTTCGTGATTGAAGTTTAGTATCTTCTGAAGTATCTGATATCACATTACGAGCTATAGTTTCAGTTTGTTCATTTTCTATTGGAATTGCAATACGACGTGGAGGAGTTACAGGTTTAACTGTTGTTACAGGTATCGATGGAGTTTCGATTGGAGAAGAATTAATTTGTGTATTCGATACTAATTCATTAATTGGTTGTTGTGGTATAACATCAGGAATAGAAGGAGAATTTGCTACAATTGTTGGTTTAATAACTTCTTTATTGACAAGATTTGTCGTTGAAGCTATTAATAAATACAATAGATATTTAATAATATACAAAAAATAGTTCTTACGTCGAACATTTAATGAACTTCTTGAATTTGGACGTGAGCGTAAATGAAAAAATGTACAATTGGGATTAAGACAACCTGTAGGTGAATTTTCATAAGCACATGTTATTCCATTATTGACCGGTGGTGCTGGACGCTAAATGATAATTCTATAATTAATATTTTTCTGACTTATATATTTACTTGAATAAAACTGTGACGTAATGAACAAGCTGGATCAGTACAAGCCCCACGTAACCAAGCAGGACACATAACATTACAAGCTATAACTGATGGATTATGTCGATAGGTACATGTATGTCCCTAGAATGAATTTTTTATTTAAATAATCCAAAGAAATCTTGATTTATTACTTTTGCACAAGATGATGTTAAAAAAAAGAAACAATCATCATTTACTTTCTGCATAATTTTATTAATTTATAATCTAAATGAAAACGAATGGGAAATAATCTTTCATATTCTTACATAAAATGTTTACTAAAATAAAAAAAAAATCTATCATCATTCATTCCTGTAGATCTACTCCAATCAATAAAGAATATTTTAATGTGGCTCCATCTTTTTATTTAAAAATTTTTATTTTATTTATATATGAGAAAAAAACACGTTTTCAATTTATTTATTAAAACGAATAAACAATTTTAAAATTCTGATTAATTTCTACATATCTTCATTTTTATTTGCTTGTTTACAGTTTACATTACAGGTTTTTTTCTTCTTCTCCTCGATTCTTTATCTTTACCATTGAATATTAATTTTTCAGATTATTGGTGGTTATTTTTTTTATATAATATTATTAATTTTGTTATCCTCAATAATCTTCCTGTGATTTTGAGTGATTCTATTTTTTGTTTCTAAATTTTTTTCGCTTTTACTAACACGAACAAAAACAAAAAACAACATGGATTATACATATGGACAATCAAATGATTATCCACTCCGGTAATTGATAAGAATAACTTTTAATATAAGTATAGATTTTATATGAACTATTTTCTATTGTAGAATTCTTGTACCTAGTGATTCTGTTGGAGCTATTATTGGTAAACAAGGCACAACAGTAAAACAAATCAAACAAACAACACATACAAAGTAAAGTTTCTAAATATTATTGTCATACATAATTTAAACTATAGGAATGAATTTTTCATATTGAGAAAGTATAAGAGATGCATAATCTAATTGTAAAGTAGAGTTAAATCTTTATTTATTCAAATAAAGTTGAATCTCAAGACATTTTTTCGTAAATTTCGATTATCAAGTCAGTTTTATTCTAGAGCATCAGGTCTTTCGACTAACCTTAGTCCATATATAAAATATGTGATGTTTATTTACATGCACAAAATTGTAGGTGAAAAATTGATTTCTTTTTTCTCTCAAGATTCAAGTACATATAGAAATTTTCCCAGAACATTATGTTAGTATCTGTATACATGATCAGTCTTTATATTCAATCATTAATATTAATCTTAAGTATTTTTCGAATTTAAGAAAAAATACTTTATCACAGTAACGAAACAATAGAGAGAAAAATAATGATTCATATTATTATAATTGATGAAGCATATCGATAGTAAACCATATGGTTTGATATTGTCAATGATATTTCTTCTATCTGAATCTAATAATCGATTTGAAAACATAAAATTTCTATATATCAATTAATGGTATATTTTTACTTATTTATAATTCAATCTTAATGATCATTAATTTATATTTTAAATATTTTCTAGAGTTGATGTAAATAAAAATGAATCATCAACTAGTCAGGAACGTATTATAATTATTCGTGGTCAACAAGAAAATTGTATCCAAGCATGTCGTGAAATATTTCGTATAATGTATGAAGATGCAAAGAATAAAAATCGAACAAAGTAAAAAATTTTATAAAATTTTCTTTCTTATTTTTTATAATTCGTTTCTTTTTTTTCTAATTTAAGTGAAATTATAGTAAAAGTACTTGCGCATAATAATTTTATTGGTCGAATTATTGGTAAAGGAGGAAATATAATAAATACAATAAAGAAAGAAACTGATACAAAGTTTGTTTTTTTAAAAAATTCTTTGTTTTGGTCTTTATCATAATATTTATTATTCCTATAGTATCACAGTATCAAGTATTAATGAATTAAATTCATATAATATTGAAAGAATCATATCAATTAAAGGTGAAATTGAACAACAAATACGTGCACTTGAAACAATCTATGGAAAATTATGTTTGGCATATGAAAATGATAATGCTCGAGCATGGAATTATTCATCACAATACTATCAACAACAACAACAACAATTAATGCAACATTTTGCACAACAAGCCGCTATGATGAATCCCAATGGTCCATCTCTATTATCTACACACTATTCTCAACAACCTCAATCGATAATTCATCCAACACAAACAAATAATACTGATGGTTCATCAAATAAATATATTGAGCAATCAAATGCAAATGCTATTTATCAGCCAACTTATTATGTAAATTAAATCTAGACTAATGATTTCAAATAATATTCTTTTTTTAGCCTACAATATTTCCTACATCAGGTCCTTTTTATATGCCATATCAACAATCTGGTCCAATAATATCTTCTCAACCAAATCCGTATGTAAATGGAAATCTTTCTCATCATCAACAACAACAACAACAGCATTCACATACATTACCAAATGCATCCGTTGTTGTAGAAACTGTTCATTTATATGTACCTAATACAATTATTGGCGCAATTATTGGTACCAAAGGTGTTTTTATAAAAAGTATTATTAAAAATTCCAATGCAACAGTTAAAGTAAATAATTGATAATTATCTTAATTTATTTTTAATAAATCTATATATATATACTGTAGATAAACCCACCTAGTTCCGATGAAGATCAAAATAAAATAGTCGACCGTCAAGTAACAATAACAGGAACACCTGAAGCTCAATGGAAAAGTCAATATTATATTTATGATAAAATTCGACAAGAAGGTTTGCCATTATCTTCAATATCTGTGTACACATAGGGCATATGGAGAATCATGTACTTTTAGTCTATGTTTCAATTATTTAATGGTCACTAGTTTCGATTATCACAGGGTAGAATATGGACGGTTTCATATGCTTACTCCTATATTGAATAGCACATTTTTTCCTATTAATAGAAAGTATATATATATATATATTGATCTTTCAGAATTTTCCCTTTGAATCGCGATTTTATTTATCATTGCACAATGTCTGTTCAAAATCGTACATAGACTGAGTTTTAGCAATCTTTAAATAATTCTTCTCGATAACTGCTAATATATATATCTATGAATTAATCTTTAGGTTATGCCGGTGATGATGAAGTTCGACTTCGAGCAGAAATATTTGTACCTACATCATTAATTGGACGTTTAGTTGGTAAAGGTGGACATAATGTAAGAGAAAATTTTATTTCATAATTTTCATGTAAAATAAATTTTTGTTTGCCTTAAGGTTCGTCAATTGCAGCAATCAACAGGTGCAATTATTAAATTACCTGATGATTCTCAACAAACATCAGCTAGTGAAGTACCAGTTAAAATTATTGGTTCTTTTCAAGCTAGTCAAGTAAAATCGCCTATTTATTTTTATAGATATTTCTAACTTTTGTTTTTGTTTTCAGTTTGCTCAACGACGCATCCAATCTATAATACAAATGAGTCGTGATATAACAACTGATGATGCTAATAATAGCAATGGTGAACAATTAAATCCTATAAATAACAATAATCTCAATGAAACAACAACAACAAATGTGAATGGAAGTACTATAAGTGATGATGCTGTTGTTGCTTCTAGTACATTATTGAATACAGATGATAGTCTAACAGCAGCAGATGATCAAAAATCGAGAGATGAATAATGAGATAAATATACTTTGAACAAACAAAGTGCAATAGAAGAAGGGAATAAAAAAAAAGCATTTATGTGCACATGAATTTTTTGGCCAAAAAAAAACTCGGTGATAATGAACTCTCTTCTTCTACTTTTCGTTTTTTTTATTCGACAATGGTCTATGAGTTGATATATATGTGCGTGTGTGTGTGTGTGTGTTCCGTTCTTTTTTTTTCTGTTGGTCTTATTGTCTTGTGTGTGTGTTTGCTGTGCGTGTGTGTTGGCTTTTTTTTGTTTATTTGTTTGTTCTTTGGCGACATTTAAGCGCTTTTTTATACTGCGATCTGAGAAGAAAACAAAAAGATGAAAAATAAAACAAAACCGAGATAATCATATATTAATGAATTTATATGGAAATACTTCATGTATGACATTGGTTAATCAACATCAGTCTTGTACTGATACTTTGTCACGACTATTTTATTAAACAATATAGAATTACAAATGATTATTCAGTAGTAAGCCATCATTATTAATATCAGCAAGATGCAAATATAGTCACGTATAGTTATATATACAAAGACTCCCGCGTGGATAGAGTCATAATTAAAACAAAGTATGATATTATTATATTTCATCAACATATGGTTAGTATCAAAGAGTATCTCTTCAATCAATTAATAAAAATTCGTTGTTTCTTCATCTTAAAATTTATTATGAACAGTAAAATAATAAATATAAATGATCTCTGTGACACTTATTGTTTTTTGTTGTCATCTGGAAACACTCGTTTCTTGACAACTAAGTTGCTAACGTTATGATGTGTTTTCGAATACATCACTCATAAACTTATTCGCATACGTCATTAATTGCAAAGTGACAAGATAATAAAAGTTGATAATGCATTTTCTTTTTTTAAATTCATAATCGTGCATTATAAGACTAATTTATTCTTATGTTACTATAGTAATATCATTACTAAACTCTTAAAATTTATCAAAATAAAATGTTAATAACAAAGCAAATATTAGTAGTCATTTACTGAAATAAAAAATGATAAGTTATAGAGAAAAATAAGTGTTTATAGAAATGACAAGAACGTACTTTTTACATTATTATATTTATGAAGTGTTTTTTTTTATTATTTTCAAAAAACGATCAATGAATGTTCATCATTATCATGTTAATAGATAAGAATAGCAAATATTTGTTAGATATGTTTGCAATAAGAGAAAATAGAATAGAAATCTCAATATTATTATAAATATTTATTGATCATTTCGATGTATAGAAATAGAGGAAATGTCTTGACTGTAATAACACTTCTCAATGAAACAGTTTTTCCGCGTTAATGATAATAAGTAGAACTATTATTAGCCCATCTTAATATAGTTTTTAGTAAACCTCAAAATAAAACCGTTTTCTCTATTTATGCTTCAGGCTCTATATTATCTACATCTAAGTATAAATCAAGAGTTGAACATACCTAGAAATATTTAAGTGCAATTTTTTTGGTTCAATCAGTGAATGCACGAACGATTATTTCTTTAGTTTTCTTCTTCAATCTCACGCAATATATTTTTCAATAAAGTATTAGTGGACCTATCAAGAAATTTACCCAAATGTGACGAATTTCAAAGATCTATCACAGTAGCGGATTTAGGAGGGGGCGGTTGCCCCTCCCCCTTCAGAATTTTTTTTTGGCATTGTACAGCAAAAATAGGTTCAAGCTACTTCGATTGGACTCAAAAATTGTTTTTAGTCGAAATCGCCGCCCCCCCCTACTCAGGTATCGCTCCTCCCTTCCAAAATCCTAGATCCGTCACTGATCTATTAGTATTGTAATCATTTCTATTATGGTCAGCTAAGTTAATACTATTTTTCAATCGCACTGTCTACCTGTAACAATTATTTGGCATAATTAGATGTGATTTACAGTTCAATTACATTGATTTTTCTTTATTTTAAAGTATATTTGATACGAGCAAACAATATTAAAACGTCGAATGTCCTCCGAGGAAAAAATTACAGAATGATACAACTCAAGATGCTTATCGATATTTATAAACAAATAGGGGAATATACATCAATCAATTGATTCTCTGATAAACATTTCATACAACGCAAAAAATCTTTTCTTAATAATTATAGATTTCTCCAAGGAAGAAAACAAATCTGTAGATTACATTTCATTTTTTTTGCGACGTCTTTCATATGAATACTAATAGTTTTGTCAAAAAAGAACAATACGAGTTATGATTAAATAAAAACTTTCAATAGATCATCTTATTCATCAATTTAAAAGCAAATAGTCTCATGTAAACTTGATATGATCTTATAATTACTTGTTCTATGAATGATCAAAATGCAATAAATAAAATTAATTCGAGTTGATAACCGGAAATAAATTTCGATGTATAAATTCTAATTCTTAATGACAGGTAGCAATTGAAATTATTCATATTACTTCGACGTCAATAATAGAAAGAATTTTTAAAAAGTATATAAGTCAACTAATTAGGTCTTATTATTTTAAAACTTAATGATATGTTCGTTAGAATACAAAAAAGACATTATCGTTTCTTTTCTCACAGATCATCTCTATATATATTTAATTAATATAATAATCATATTCGTTTTTCATCATACTCTTAAAGAATTTTTAAAACTATACAAAGGAAGAAAAATGTAAATGATTATACAATGACTTGTCGATGAAAATTCTCAATTCATATTTTAAAAAAAAGAAAAAAGAAGACGATTAATACCACTGACAAATGCACATTTAACTAAGAAGAAAAAAAGAAGAATAAGAAGGAATAAGATGACAACAACAAAAAGAAGAATAGTGATGACTTTTCGTTTTTACAGATGATCTGTAAAGAAATATGGTTATGCTTAAATCGTTGTCATTCACTGTATAAAAATTCATGCAATCTAACCGAGTAGAAAAGAAGATAGAGATACCATATAAGACGTTCGATCAATCGATTTGAATAAAATTAATTTAAAGATGAAGAAAAAGTTTTTTAACAGTCAAATTTTCTGTTTATATAACTGTACATTTGCTTTTTTCTGCCCATGGATTATTCTTCTTGTCTGGTGGATGAAGAAGTGGATCACCTTGTTCATTTTCTTGTATATACCGTTTCAATCTATATAAAATAATAAAAATTCATTAATTTTAAAATAGGAAAGAAGAAAAAAAAGCTGATTAGTTCATTATAGAAGATCATATTTATTCTTTTCTCTATTGATAATTAAATTTGCCTTAGAATAAAAAAAGAACAACTAATCTACATATTGTTTTTTTCTTCATATTATATTTATAAAACATAAAAAAAAAAACTTACTCTTGAAGGGTTTTCGATAATGGCACTTTTTCTACGCGTAATTGATATCGTAATGAATCAATTTGTTTTTGTAAGGATCCTTTATCCATAATTGATTTAAAAACTCTTTTATGATTTTTTTTGTTGTTAGATTAGAATATTTTGTCCAATAGATAATATAAAATAATGATGGACAACCACACACATATACACTCTCGAATAAAAACGATAGAAAAAGAGAGAGAGAGAGAAAGAACGCGAGAGCGTAAGAATAACAACAAACCACTCGTCGTATATATGTTCTGGAAAAAAAAAGAAGGAAAAGAAAAGAAAGTCAGGCAGAAAGCAAGCGAGCGACCGAGCAAGCAAATGCGCGAAAAAAATCAGACAACATACAATTTACTCGTATATAAGAATGTGTGTGTACTTCAAAAGAACGAACAAGACGTGAAAAGAGGAAAAAAAAGGAAAGGAAACAACGATGCACTACCACTCCATAGCATATATACCATGAACGAGCGTAGAACATTTATTTCTTTTCTCCTTTGTCATTTCTTACTATTTCCTGGTTCTACTGTTCTTCAAAGGTTCTCTTATTTCTCTTTTTATATTTTATCTGTCAATGGCATGACGTAGTAGTTCATTTCTACTATCTTTTTTTTCTTCTTCTTCTTCTTCTTTGGGTATGTCGGCTTGATTTTTTAGATCGGGACAAGAAGAAGAAGAAGCAGAGTGCCAAAGAACGAATGTCTGATAGCGTCATACGTGCTTGTAACTAGCATCGTTTATTCTATTAAACATGCATTGAGTATAGAATAAAAGATGGATGCTAATGTGCAAAAAAAAAAGAAAATATTACTTACTCCATCAACGTCCTTGATAATGGAGCACGATCAACTTTTAATTGTTGACGAAGATTTTCAACTTGTTTCTGTAATGTAATTGTATCCATTTGAAATTATACGTTAAATTTCAATCGTTGTAAAATATATTCAATAAACAAGAAAAAAGATAATCGATTACAGTGCAAAACACTCTATCGTTGTTTTATCGCATCTAAAATGCAAAAAGAAAAAGAATGATAAACTCTCTAAACTATAAAATACAAATTTCTTCAATCAAAATAAAAAATATTTACCTTATGGAATTTTAACTCTTTTTCTTCTGCATCTATCAATTCAATGTGGATTATAGCATGAAAATATACACGCACATTATCTAATATTTTACTCATAACTTTTCTACGTGTATGTAAAATAAATTCTAACAATAGATCTTTCAATATCTATGACATTACTCTTGTCTTACTATCGATATGTTTTATTTGAGAATATCTGAACTTTATGATCAAAAATAACTACACTATGCATACGACATATAGTGAAAAATACAAAAAAATTGTCATAATGTTGTGCGATGTAGATGAAGCCAAGAGAAATAAGAACGAAAGGAAAAAAAGGGAAAAGAAGCCGAAAACAGCTTTTAGTAAACCCATATGACGGTGCATCGCTACTAGAAAAAAAAGGAAAAGTGACAAAGTAATAACGAGACATGAACTAACATTTCTTTCTCTAACTATATAGAGGTTAGCCGAGGAAAGTCAAGAGAACGGTTGAATGCATTGTTATTTAATTCTTTCTCCCTTTCCCTCTCCCTCTCCCTCTCTCTCTCTCTCTCTCTCTTTCTCGTTTTTTTTCTTCTCCATATTCTCTTTTTCTTTTCACAGACATAATATGCTCAAAAAAGAAAAGTCTTTATTAAATAATAAAAACTGAAGGAGACTTGTTATCCTTTCAATAATAATAAAACTCTATTAACATAGTCAATAATCGACATTACATTCTATCAATTGATTGAATTTAGTATCGAAATGTATTCGTATCGAGACCAAAAAAGATAGCGAATTTATTATCATATTTAATTCGTATTACATCAACTTTAAAAACAAAAATGACATGTATCAAAACTTTTTTTCAATTGTGAGTTAATAATTCTTTAACTATACAGATATTTTATAACTTCGAGTAAATTAAATCTCGCAAAATTCTTGGCGATCGGATCAATTTTCATTAAAAGTTCTCGTTGTATTCTATATGGAATACTATTTCGATTCAAAAAACAAATAAGATAGATCAGTCAATAATAAATAGAGCTTGTACATCTGTCTCAATGATTTTATCAAGTGCTCTATTATGTTCTAGAATAGTTTGCTATGCTATGCGGTCGACTAATCAATAAGGAAAAGAACACATCATGAATTTTCTTTAACAATAATATCGTCTATTCTTAGTCTTATAAATATCGAGTTATACTAAATCAATAATTACTTACTAAAGAATATGGATTAATATTGATACGTATCAGTTTCATAATCATATATAGATATCCTGAACAACATTTTATATGGAGTAACTTTCTGAATTTATATGCGAGCGATTATTTAACAACTTTTTATTGTTCAAAACAAGTCTAGTCTGAACTATCTTTCTTATATGTTCTAAAACATAGTGCTCCTCTTAAATATTGTAAGTAAAATGTTCCTAAGTAGTACTTTCTCTTCTCAAGAGTTTAATTGAACTATAACTTAATATTAATAGAAACCAACAAACTGCAGAAATTGCATTAGATGAGATTCTTTTATATGTCTTCATCATATAGACGTATTATCGACAGTTGCTAACATATTAGTCATACGTTTTATTCTTAGAAGCTATTATTTACTATGAAATATCATTTACGATAGTGTAAACAGATAAATAATAGCTTTTTTATCTAGATCATTTGACACAGAAAATAATCATCAGCATGTCTTAAAGAATTGTCGGCTTACTATTTCTCTTCGCCAATAGAAAATTCGCCATTAGCGAAAGGATGATGGACATTTGCCAGTTGGCGTAAGTACAGTGGATTCTCGCCAACTGTAATCACATAAGATTAGTATACAATACATGTAAAAACATAACCTAATATTATTAGAATAAGCAGGCCATAATTTAAACTCCTCAATATAGTTACTAGAAGCTATTTTTACACGTGTGTAATCACATCGGCGCAATTCTGAATTGTCAACTGACTTTATGTCTGATAAATCCATTTTATTCCCAAGGCTCTTGTAAGTAGATCAACTAGTTATTGAATATTTCTATATGTTTTATTTTATTTTCTGGAATACATATATGTATATTATATTAAATAATAAAACACACAAGCTTTTGAGCATTTTGAAACATACAATAGAAAAAAGAAAAAAAAGAGTAAGAAACTTAACAAAGAATAAGTAAAGAAAGTACATACAAAAAAAGAAGGTTTTAGTTTTATTAGTTAAATAAAATTTGCCAACGCTGGATATGATAATACGTATTATTATTATTATTATTGTTGTTGTTTGAAGAAGAGAAAAGATAATTACAAAAATCATTCAGAAGAATTCACAATTACAAACACATTAAAAAAAACGAAATAACATTAAAGACGAAATAAAAATTAACTAATATTTAAGTATGTATGGCAGGTGTTTGTTGAGTTGCTTGATTATTAGTACCATTATGATAATGAACATCATTAATTGTTGGTGCTTGACGAACTTTAACTGAAATTGGTTTTGGTGGTTTTACAGGCACTGGTGGAGGCGGAGCAGCAGTTGTTTTACTTGATTTTTGAGATACTGGTGAAAGTGAACAATCATGACCATTTGATGAAACTGTTACCGACGATTCAATTTCAACTACAAAAATCAATTTTAAATAGAGAAATGTTTTTTTTAAAATCTAATTACCTTTTATCGGTGTTGATTGAAATAAAGGCCCATCATGAGTCATATTTACTGAATTTAAATCAATGGCTGAATCGGAATTTGTACTAATACCACTGTTATTTCCGTAGTGATCAGATTTTACTGTTTTTATTGTTACAGGTTCTTCAGGCTCAGTTTTACTCTACAATAGAAAATTTTTAAATGAATAGAGAGGAAATTTCGATTCACTTACTTCAATACTCTGTGGTAATGATGATGAAATAGAATCTTTTGATGGTGTTTGATCTATACGATTACTTTTTACTGACTTTATTTGAATATTTGATTTATCTTCACTTGATCTTAGTATTGTTTTACGTTGAAGTTTATCATATGTAATTGTCATTGAATAAGGTAAAATAACTTGTGGTGAAAATGTTATTTCACTTAATTCAGATGATGATTGTAGATAAAAAGCATGTACAGAAGGTGTAAATTGAAAACTTGATAATGCTAAAATATCAGTTGGTTTTACACAATTGAATAATATTTGACGGCGAAGTGTTGGTAAAGCATAAATACTAATTTGACCCATATTATCCAAACAAACAAGACAAGATTCGGAATGAATTTCATTTGGATTATCTAAAATAATTGAATCAATAAAGATAAATTACTATTAGAGTAACTGATAATACAAGCTACAAAAGATTAGAATATCTTATATTGTAATCTACTATCGGACAATTCAAAGTATTGAAACAAATTTTAAAAATAGAGAAAGTTTGTTCCTACATAGAATAAATGACTTTTGAAGTATATTGAATGCAGTGGCGGATCTAGCTATTCGGCGACCGCCGCCCCCTCGAAAATAGATACTTCGACAAATACTGCAAACAGGTAGACCACTATAGATTTCTCTCCTAAAAAATAATACCACTTTCCACTTTTTTTTATAAACCGCCACCCCCTCATAGAATTCCTGGATCCGCCACTGATTCAAAGGAATATTTATGATAGCACATTACGTCTTGTCTATTCAATATCGTCTAAATATTACCAGAATTACCTGTGAGCAAACGTTTCCGATGAAATTTAATTATTCAGTGGCTGATATGAAATGAATATGATTTACCCTTAGAAGATTTACGATCTCATTAAGCATATTAAAAACCTCGAGCTTTACCGCCGGTTATATTTCTTAATATTAACTGAGAAATAGATTATGATGTATATAGGTCAGTTATTCTCATTAAATTACTTTAAAAATATTTACCTGTTTTAAGTGTAAATTGATTAACATTAATTTTTCGTACTCGAGTACCTTCTGTTGCTGTTAATTTATATTTACATAATGGTTTCAATTGTGGTAATGTAAATATCTAAGAATGCAAGGAAAAAAAACTTTCTTTTTATATAAATAGAAAATTAATTATTTGTACCTTAAATTGTTCTTCAGAACATATGAGTACTTTATGTGAAGTAATATTTTCTGAATTAATTGTTAATGTATTCGAGGCATCTGTAGTTAATGATATTGATTCTTTTAATGGAATATTTGAACCTTGTCCTATTGATTGATTTAAACTATCAAGTACAACAATACTTAATACGGGTGCTTTATGTTTTAATCGAATTTCTTTTGCTAAAAATATAAAAACAGATTAAAAGAAAAACCTAATCAATTCCTTTCTACCTAATGAACATGTATATGTTTGATCACTTGCAATAGAAGCTCGATTGGTTAATTGGGATTCAAAACCAATTAAAGAATAAACATAAACATGTCCACCATTCGTACCAACCCATAATGAATGAGTTCGATCATTAACTAAAAAACAACAGATAATATTTTTTTGTAAAGAAATTTTCAATTTTTTATTTACCACTATTAAGATATGTTTTAGCAAAATATAAACAACGAACCATACTAATAATTTGATCATCATTTTGTTTAAATTCTCGAAATTCAACTTGACGTTCAATCGGTACACGTGTTATTTCTTCTAAATGTATATTTGTTGGTGATAATGGACTATTTTCATCAATTCGTTGTGTTGGTGGTATGATAGTAGATTTTTTTATTGTTCGTCCTTTACGAAAACGTCGAAATGATTCACGAAGAGATTTTTTTAATGAACGTCCACGTATTAATGTTGAATGTCCAATAGATGATCGAATTGTTGTTGATAGATTTTCTAAAGCATTTGGATCAAGTGTACATTTAGCAGAAAGAATTCGATTTTGTTGATAGTTTATTATTGTAAAACCATGAGCTGTACCAACAGCATAACTTTAAATAAAAAGGAATAGATAATTCTTTTTTTTTCATTTCGATTTTAAATGAAATATATATATACCTTCGAATATCAGAGCATAATGCTAAAGCTGAAATAGCAGCCGGTGGATAAAGTTGAACAAATGAAGTAACAAGAAAACCAGATGAAATAAATGTTGATTTAGTTTTCATTTCTTCATGTCCTTTCCATACAAAACTTTCACAACCTTCAAGTAAATTTACTGATGTTGTCTGTTAAAAATAATAAAATTAATATTTGGTCATTTTGTTCCTTTTAAAAGAAGATGTAACTTACAGTAATATTTACATCAGTTGGTTCATCGGTAAATTGAAATGTAAGAACTTGTCCAGCTGTTCCAGCAACAATAAGAGTATCGGTATTAGTACATAATGCTAGTTTTTGTATGGCTAAACGAGGATCATCACAATACGGATCATAAAGACCAGTCTAAAGAATACAATAAGATATCAGAATATTTTTAATATAGATAACAACTTTATTAACGATTGTAGTTTGACGTTTTAGCGATTTGAAAACATCGAATTCGATTCTGACGAGAGAACCACTCGAAGTGATTCTCCAATGTTCATATGATACTGCATTTGTATAGTACTTTTTAACAGAATACTGTAGTTCCCTTCAGGAACAGTAGACTAACTGATTTTCGAATTTTGACTGGTAACTTTGCACAGTTACAACTGAAATATGTTCTATTCAACTCTGATAATCACTTTGTCAATATAACACTCCTATATTTTACAGATAATTTTCATGAATCTCATTACATTTAAGTTTAATAATTCCATCTTCTTTCGAATGAGATGCTATCTCTAGTAGTATTTCACGGAGCAACTATGAAACTATTAATATAAGATGATTATATCTATGTTCACATATCGATAATAGTATAAAAGAGAGAAAAGAAGCTGTAAGCAAAACTGTATGATAAAGAATACATATTCTGCCTTCAAGCTGCTATTATTACTTATTCACCCATGTTCTCATTACTCTTATTTTTAGTATTCATCATTGATCTATACTACATACTTTGCGAAATGGTGGCCATGTTTCTTCATCGACGTCATCATTTGGTGCTTGTTCAATTTGAAAATAATCACTTGTTTTTAATTTATAAACTAATGGCATAGAAATATTTGTAATATCCCAAAATTGTACTGATCCATCTTCATGTCTAAATCAATAAAAATTATATTCAATTTTTTTTCGTTGTTGTCTTCATTCATTTAACTTACCCAGTAAGTAATAAATGTTTTTCTTGTGTATCATCAATAATATGATTTATTTCTCCACCTGTTATTGGCCATTTCTAATAATAAAAATACAATTTCAAATAATTTTATTCAAAAATATAACAAACTCGATCGGAATAATCTTCAAATTGTACTGAAGCATAATTAAGAAGTTTTTTATAAAATTCTTTATTCACATTATATACTAAAGTTGTACATATAACAGGTGAAGCATGAATACTATTTAAATAAGGTAAATGATATAATGGCCAAGTATCAGTTATAAGATCAATGACTATAATTTCTTCATTTAATAAAACTACAAGTGATTCTGGATCATCACGAGCTAAAAGGAAATCAAATTTTTTTTAAAAGAAAAACATATGAAAGTTGTTTTTTTCTTTACATCGATCAATAGTAAAAAAATCAATAATTTCTGTTGTAAAATCAAATGCAACATGTCGTGTACGATCAGAATTATGTTCATTTTCACATAAACAACTAATACTATGTTTATTAGCATAACTTGAACGAGGTAAACCACCGGAAAATATTATTAAAGGATCACCACTAATTTAATAAAAAGAAGAAAAAAACAAAGAATAATGAAAAAATAATCTTTCAATAGAATCAAAATTTACTTTCGCATAATTTTCACACAAATTTTTGTCATTGGTGTACATGGATATGGTCCATAAGGAATTTTTTCTGTTTCAACTATATTTAATTGTTTTTTTGCATCCCATAATGCATAACTTCCATTACTATGACATGTAGCAAAATTCATACCTTGATTATACCAACAAACCGATTCAACTTCTTGTTTATATATATATGTTCTATCATGACTATTTAATAGCAAATCCCAATGAACAATAAGTGTATTTTTATATCCAATAAGGATTTTATCATCATTTATTGGATGTTGAACTATTGATTGTACGGCACCAGGATGAACAATTCGTCCACTACAATATTCAACAATTCTGAAAGAAAAAGAAATTATTTTATTGAAAAAAATATCTATTTAATTTAAATATCTTACGTTTTTTCAATAACTTCTGTTGGAATTATTGGAATTGTATTCAATGTAAAATTTTCAATATTAAATGAATAAATATTTCCATTATTAACACCAATTAAAAGATTTAAATTATTTCGTAATAAACATAATGTTTGTGTATTTTTTAAAATAGTTTCATCATTTTCATTTGATGTACATATACGATCGATACGTAATGTATTTGAATGATTGATTTCAAGTAAATGTAAATAACCATCCAAAGTTAATACAAGAAGTCGAGCTAGATTATTTAAAAATATTATTTTACGAATTGATGTAGATTCAAGATTATATGATAATTGAAAGCCAGGTTGTCCATAACTATATTAAAAAAATATACAGAATAAAAAAACCCATAGAAAAATAAATGGCTAACTTACATTCGAATTTCACCTGTATGTGTACCAATAGCAATTAATTTTAATTCATAATCATATGCAATTGCTGATGGACGAGATGGAAAACCTCGATCACAAACTTTATTTAAACCAAATAATTCTTTTTGAAGACGTCGACGTGCTTCATTTTCTTCCGGTTGTTTTCGATTAAGTTTAAATTTGAACATTTCAACTAAAATATGGCGATAAAAGAAAACAAACAAATGTAGATAGATCTGAAACAAAACAAAAATAAACGAATCATATTACAAGTTAATTTGATAGCATATGAGAAAAAGAGTAACTCAACAGACGTCCCAATTAATGTCAATGGTGAAAAGCAACAAAAAAAAAAGAAGTGAATGTATGTTCTTCATTCTCGTGTGTCTATCGACCGATATACTCCGACATTAAGATTGAGCCGGTCAAACGGTCATTCTATTCTTCCTTTTCCTTTCTTATATTGAGAGACAGAAAGGCATTTTGTAAATGTTGAGAGTTGAATAGAGTAAAATAAAAAAACAAAAAAAAACAAAAAAAAAAAGAATGAAAGAAGAAGAAGAATTCAACGCATGCTGATAAGATGTGTCATTTCATTTGATTAATCATAGATGAATAACAATCGATGAATCATATTAAGCCTCTTCAAGTGAAAAAAAATATAAAAATCAAATATGATCAGACCTTTTCTCTTCTATTTTACATATGTTATATATCAATTCATTGATTATTAATAGGTAGAGATAGATATTCGATTACTCTGTATCCTAATCGATAAACATAAAGTATACATATTTGATTAAATGTGTTTTTTATCATATGCTGAAAGATATTATTAATAAAATGTAGACGATGGAAAGCATTTTTACTATGATTAATAAGGAAAATTTAAAAATCAAATAACAAGTTTTATTTTCTCATAAAGTATCTAATTTCGGTTATTACCTATTATCTTGCTTGAAAATATGTATAACAGAGTAAATCTTGTAAATGATTATCTAAGAAATACTAAGTACAATTATGTCTGTTTACGTCATTCATTAATCTCTTATATCTTAATCATAATAGATGTTTCATATCTATATTCTACTTTTATAAACAACTATCAAAACATAAAATAAGATTTTATATGTATATATAGATGTATTTCGAATGGTAGTAATAATAATAAAAAAAAGAGAACAACATAACAATATAAGACTGCAACTATCTTGACTAGATGGTCATTTAATTTTTTACTCGTTTATTCTGTATTTCGACTAGAATAGAGAAACAAAATCAATGAATAAATAAATATAGAAAATAAACATACAGAAGTGGTGCAAGACTCCAATCAGGTTGAACTTCTTTAGCTTTAAATTCGACACCATCATTTGTAACAATACAAACGCGATACTGAAGAAGAAGAAGAAAATATATCAATAAGAACAGGAATAGAAATAAACGTACACGAGCAAATGCACGACAATCACGATAAAAAAGTTGTTTAATTATTCTATCCATTAATTGTTCAGCTTGATCTTTATTAAGTTTATTTGAATTTTCTAATATAGTTCGTATCCAACCCTGAATTAAAATATTAATAAAACGAAACAAATAAATTCTTTAAAAAATACTTGAGCTAAATGATTTCCAATGCCAGTCATAATTAAAAATTCTTTATAGGCTGAACCTTTATCATTAATACGTCCAAGAAATCTATATAAAGCAAAATATCTTTTTTTTTGCTCTAACAAATTCTTCATATTTACGGTTCTTTATTTTCCATTCCTGCTACAATGATACTTGTTAATAATGGATTGAATTTTGTTCTTCGATGATACATAAGTCTTGTACACCAAGAATAAAGTGCTAATGGTGTCATTTCACCACCATCTTCTTGAACAAGATCTTCGTCTCTTGAAAAAAATATTTGATATTTATTTTTACAAACAAAAATTGTTTATTTACACTTTAGTATCAATCGCTTCTTTTATATAATCAGCATCAGATAAATCACCACTAACGGCAAGAACAGTTTTATCATTAACTTGATGAATACGTGGATGATTTCGATATTTAGCTAATGAACCATATGAACCAAGAATATCAGCAGCTAATATAACACCATCTTTAAAAGTAAATGCAGCAACTGATGAACCAGTTACAACTGGTGTACTATTAAAATAAAGTTTGTATAAATAAAACAATTTTTATCTATATATTTAACTTACACAGTACGTGTACGAATACTTCGTTCAGCTTCTGTTTCCAATGGATTAATTATATGAGTTTTAGCTGAGCTATTTATATTAAAATCATCTTTATCATTGATTGTATCCCAACATGGTTGATATGGATTAAATCCGCCAAGCATATTTCTTTGATATTTAATTCTACAAAATAATAAATCAAATGTTGTTAAAAAAACTGATCATACATTTATTGTCTAAACAATGTAATAAAATTTCAAATATTCGATTCTACTTTTAACCTTTGCAAATATATTCAATACAGGATTGGCTTAGTTATAAATAATACTAGCGTAGATGTCCTTCAAATCCGTTCATTTTTGATTTTTTGTATCTTATGAAATATCATGATTCAAATTTTATGTGCAGGATGATGTGATTAGAAGAAAATCAGTATACTTTCAGAGAATCTTTTGAATATATAGAACAATTTCTAAATGAAACAAAGATATATATATCGTATCTGGCCGAATTAACAATTCATTATAGTAATCTAAATATGGTAACAAACAACTTTATAAGAGAAGAAATACGACGGAATTGTATAAAAGTGAAACGACTAATTGTGATAGGCTCATGGATACATTTGAAACATTTCTATCTTTATTTCCCCTTGTTATAACCCAAATTCTACATTTTAGTTTGCTAAATAAAATCAGTTAATTAATCACTTTTTCAAAATAAACTCCTCACAAGAAAGTTATCACCAGAGGAAAGGAAATAAAAAATTTTAAATAGTTTTTTTATTTTCCTGTATCTTTTTATGCAATATTTCTAAAAAATATCCAATATATAAGAGTTTTTATTTTATTTTAGTTGTTTTCCTATCACTGTCATTCAACCTATTCATCATAATTTTTGATCATCCGATGAAACTTTTTTATTATACTAGCAATATCTTAAACATCTGCTAATCGATCAATATCGTCAATCTTTAGTTGTATTTTTTTCTACTACTATCTCAAACACTCTTCAACTTAATATTTATTAAATTTATCCGACGTGTGTGTGTACTAGTGTTGTAATAAATGTTAAGAAGTGGAAGTATTTATACTACGATAGGAAGAGAAGATAAAAGAAACACGGATGCGAGATGACTATATACCCGTATCTACACAATAGACTGTATTGAACATGATTTTATTGACCAATCTATAAGTTTTTCGAACTTTCTATAGTATATTGTTTAAGCACGTTATACTTCGTTTTTTACCATGTATATCTTTATACTGCATCTATATTGATGTATTTTTCAATATTTTATGCATATCTATTGAATATACATATTATACTGTTTTTATGATTGTCATTAAATGTATATTCGTTCGTGCATTTCTTCGACCTTGCTATTTAGTAATGGTTTATTGTGAATAAACAGTCTTTTGATAGATAAAAAAAAGAATGTATTAAAACATTTTCGGGATAATTATTAATGAAATACGAAGGTCTGAGTATTTGTTGTTGTTGTTGTTGTTTAAAGTCACTATTATTCTATTAAATAATTTGTTATGATCAAAGTTCGGAGAAGTATATTTCTTTTGTGATGAAATCGTATAGAACTGAGTCCGATGATGTAGCACAATTTATTAACTTGTTCAATAGGTTTTTTTTCGATGATCTTAGTTGCTCAGTGACAATATTCATTCTGTCATATAGCTTTAGTATTTGTTAACAATTTTCCCTGAAAAAATCTTTGCGTACCAATGATTTCGCTTGTTTGAATTCAATGATGAGTAGTAGATTCTATAGTAAAGATTGCAATGATGATTAAATACAATGAGTAGATTAAGTAGATCATCAACAGTAATTACAACTATATAAACAAGAGTAATTGATTAAAAATGATAGTTGTCAATTGTTGATCAGGTTACACAGGATCGATAAAAAACTATGAAAATAGAACAAAAGAAATATCCATTTGCAATAATATATAAAAGACACAAACAATTAGTAACATAACTTTAATTATCGATGATTGATTCCTCAATGAAATAAGAAGCTAAGTAATTATGATGATTAATGTTCTTCATAGTAAATATTAGAGTATTTTCAATAAAACTAAGACCAGAAATAATACAACATGTAGTGTAAAGAGAAGATCAAATGTATAAAATAAATTTCAGATTGATGTTATATTTTCTAGCAATAAGAATTCATCATGTAATCAAAATAATTTGGATAAGTGCAAATTAAAGTTTAAAAAAATAATTTATTATTAAAAATTTTGTTTTGGAATCTCCCAAATGCTAAAAGAGCGAGATTTCATATATTGAAATAAAGGATGTCATGTTGATAAAAAAAGACTCAAAGTCAATGTACTAAATGACTATTATTCAAATTACAAAAAGATATCGTTTTAATTTGTGTAAAATATCTTGTTTTATATCTGTATTTGTTAATTACTATAAACGAAAGATAAGTTTGCTTCGAAGAGATTTTCATGAGCGTCTATGAATATGTTATTTTTCTATATTATATCTTTCTTTTCGTAGTTGACATATATAACTTTATAATACTATTTGTTATATTTTCTTTCTTAATCACTACTATTCTTTTACCTATATGCTCCAGACCGTAACAACTCAAGAAAAACATATTACAATCATATAATAATCAAACTGATATGTCAAAAATCAACATTTAAGTACAAAAAAAAAAATAGAAATTAAACAACTAAGTTTATTCTTCAACCATCGTACGGATTTGATTCTTTACGACGATCTCGACCTATGATATAAAAGTAAAAATAAAAATCAATAAAAAATTTATTCTTAAACTAACTTGATTGATTATAAGACACTGGTAAAGGTGCATAATCAGACACACCAGTTCTTCCAAATCCTGGTTTTCTTGCTATAGGCTCCGAATAACTAATAGAAAAATAAACAAATTTCTTATTTGTTTTTCACTAATTCTTTTCTTTTTTATACTTATTAGCACCCGATCGTTGTTGATAAGTATGTTCGCTTGGACGAACTGTTTTTGCAAATGGATCAAGTTCTGCTGATGAGTTATATTCACCAACTGTACCATAAGAAACTGATGTACTGTTTGGATTATTTCTAGATCGATGATTGGTAGGTGTTAGTACACGATTGATACTTTCAAGATCGGAACTGTCACCTGAAATAGAAAAAAACAAAGATTTTTATATAAGATATAGTATCTTAATTTAATTGAATATTTACTTATTGATCGAGCACTTGATGTACTAACACTATAATCAGAAGCAGTTGGACTATGTGGACGAAATGATTGTGGTTGAGAACGATATGAACTAGGTGAATATTGATTAGGTTCACCTTGTGAAGTTATTGTTGATGAATTATAGCCTTTTGGTTGAGAAGGTTGAAATTGTGAAGAAGTAGAATAAATTGAATCTCGATGTTTTGATCGTGGTTGAGATGGACTTAGAAGATTTGTATTATTATTTCTATTAAATGGTAAATCAGCTCCACTATGATAAAGATCAAATTCACGTGCAACAGTTTCTCGATTATCTATTGAATAAAATAGGTTTTTTCTTTATGATCTTCAATAAATTTCAATATTTTTACTTAAATCATTAAAATCAACAAGATTTGATGGTGTTGTTGTTTGTATTGGATTATTTAATTTATTTCGAGCAGAAGAATGTTGATTGAAAGAAGAAGAACGTGGAGAAAAAGAATTTCGAATAGCATTTCTTTGTAATGATAATTGAGGACTATTTGTTACTGATTTAACTGTTCGAGTTGGTATATAATCTGTTACTTCAAATAATCTCATTTGACCCGTAGATTCATCAAAAATTTGTACATAACGTCGTTCTAAACGTTCTCGTAATTCTGTAAGAAATTGTTTTCCATTACGTTCAATTACTGAACGATTAGGAGGATAGGATGTTAATTGATTATTATTCAATCGTCGATGTTTATTTAAATCAATAATTGAACGACGTATTATAGTAGGTTCACTAGTCATTGTTTGATTATATGCCGGTAGATTAGGAGATGGTGTACGTGATGAATTTTCAATAATTGATAGTTTCTCTTGTTGTTGTTGTTGATTATCAATAATTGGAGAAGGTTTTGGTGACGGAATACGCTATAAAACTTCGTTGAAAAAATAGGACAAATAAAATACAATTATCACTTCGTTTATTGTTGGTTGTATTTCGATCTGTGGTGGTGGTTCGTCGATAGGATCGGGAAGTTTATCATTAGATTGTGAAATACGAACAGGATAAGGAATCTAAATATTAAACATACATTTTCATTTAAAATAAGCTAGACATATTTACTGAAAGTGTTCCAATAAGAGGTTGTTGTTGTATATTTGATACTTCAAATTTCGATAGACCAATTGATTTTCGTGGTTGTTTTGCAAGTGCACGATTGTAGTCTTTATTTGAACTGTGACATACAAATATACATATACACCTGTATTTATTTTATTGACTTATCGCAAAAAATATTTTCTCTCTGTCCTTGACAATATTCCGAGACTCACCTTAATATCGTCCCCATTTGTTATTTGTCTTCATTCGACGAAAGAAAAAAAAACTAATAAAAGACATGTGAATATTCTTCAATAAGTTTCGCTTCATTGATTTTCCTCATTTATATACAATATTAAAATGATAAGGTTGACTTTTATTTAACCATACGAAAAAGAAAAAAAAAGGAAAAGAATCAAACTATATACAATTTAAAAAAACGAAAAGAAGAAGATGATAATGACTACAAATCAGTAACAGAAGTACGCATTAATGTTGTTTGAGTAAATCGTGGATTATGTGAATTTGATATAACTGAATCTGTATCCGTACTTGATGATGAAAATGAATAACATCGTCCATTTTGTCGACGTTCAACTGATATTAATGGTATAATACCACAAAAACGTGAATTACCACCAGTACATGATGATGAACTTGATGATGCACTTGATACAGCTGATGATGATGGTGTACTTTGAATACGTGGTGGAGGATTTGGTTTAGGTTTTTTATTGATTGATAAAGATTTTTCATTTGTTGTTAATTGTTGACAAAATGTTACTTTTGATGGAGATTTTGAAGTTGATGATAAACGAGGTTTACAATCATTTGTTATTGTTGGAGTTATTAATGCTTGACGAATAATATATGATAATGAAGGTGATGGACAATTATTTGAATCAGTCGAACAAATACTTGTTCGAGTACTAAGAGAATTTGTTAAACTTCGTGTTTCAAAATATCCATCAACCTAGAAAGAAAAAATGAAAGATCAGAAATATTTTTAAATTGAATAAATACTTGTTCAGGAGTTGTTTTTGCTTGTTTAAGATTTTCTAATTGAATTTCATAATATAAACGACGTTTTCGTAATTTTTCTGCTTTCTATAAAAAAACAAAATAGTTTATTTAAATATAGAAGTATGAAATAATTTAAAACCTCAATAGCTTTAAGACGCTCTTCTGAATTCAATGTAACTAAATGAATTTCTTCTAATAAACGTTTTCGATCAGCTAATTTTTCATTAATATGAAATGCTATTTTTCTTATTGGTTTATTTTCTTGATTAATTGTTACTCTAAAATATAAGAATTTTTATTTTTATATAAAAATTTCAAGAAAAAAAAACAAATTACCGTTTAAGTTGATAAAGCATTGTTGTTAAACGTTTACATTTTTTAATTGTATAATCAAGACGTTCGGGTTCTTCACGTAAAAATCTTATAAAAGAAAAGAATTTTAATATGAATCATTCTATCAATGAATGTGGATAGATAACCTAGGAATTTGTTTTTTTCTATAGAAGATATTAGCGTGAATGATTGATAAGAGAATATCATAAAGTTTTCAAACAATTTAAATTTTAATCTTATCTTTTATATATGTTCCTGAAATATTTAGGAGTTATTGGAATGGCGAAATTCTATATTAAGTTTGTGCTATAATTTTCAGTAAAATTATATCTGTATGGATGTTCTGAATACAAGCTGGAACTGTTTAGGTTCAGATAATGAAATTTGATATGAATGTTTATTCTGAAGTCTTCCGTTTTGATGTCAGCTATTTATTTATATATGTCAACGAGTAAAAATGTCCTTCTCGACCTCGAATTATAAAGTATGAAACAGATTTACATTGGTACTTAGTGATTCGCAATATATGGAAATTTGATGTATATTAAAATAAAACTTAAGAAATATTTTTGTAGCTCATCATCTGAATATACTAATTATAAAGGTATTTATTTCTAACTTAAACAAATGTATCAGGATATTTGCCTAGACATGCTATCATTATCTAAATTGCACAAATTTTCAAAAATTAGCATTTGTCTATTCTGGAAGAAGTGAGTCAATAGATATCAATTCTAAATATTTATCAATGTAAATTTTTCTTTCAACTAAAGAATATTTGAATTAGAACAATGCGCAATCACATTGGTTATTACAAGAGGAAATAGATGATTCTGTTCACTTTCAGCATTTTATTCCAGTTTAAGGAATCTGTAGAATCATGTTATTGATTCTGATACTTCCACGTTAATTGTATTCCCTTGATATAACACTGATACTAATTGGTTATCGATAAACTTAAGTGAATAGAAAGTCCTTCAAGTAATTTCATTATCTCTAGTTATTTCTTATTTAGATTCGATTAATAATTGGCTGATTAAACTGTTTTATTGTATTTCGGGTTTTACGTTTTCTAATTCATTATTTATCTATAATCTTACTTTATTATTGTTGATTGATCAAATGATGATAATTTTTGTTGTAATATAGGAAACGTTGCTGTTTAAAAAATAAAATAATATAAGATTTATATTCATTTTTTTTTCTTTACCTTTTAAATCTACTAATGAACGACTTATTGTACTAAGTATGAATGCAAAACCTTCAACATCATTTATTGTTACATAACATTGTTTCGATTTCACATCATTTTGTAATTCTTCAACAGATATTTCTAAATCTCTATTTTAATATTAACATAGAAATAATGAATATTTTGTTTTTTGTCAATTAAAATAAACTATCTTACTCAAGATCTTGATCAATTTTTGTACGATTTTGAATATAGAAATTAAAATCATTTTCGATATAACGATATTTTTCATTTTGAACAAATTGTTCCTTTAAAAAAAAATCAAAAACGTATTCGTTTTATAATTAATAAAATATTTTACTTGAATTTTTTGATTTGCTTTATCAAGTTCATTTTTAAAATTTTCCTGTATTGATTGTTGCATACGTCGTATTGATATTAAATCATTACGTAATGTATGAGTTTTTACTTTTAATTCATGTAATTGTTGTTCAAATGATTTATTATGAAAATTTTTTAAAACTCTTGATTTTGTTGGCGTTGTTAATTGTTTAACAAGATCCGTTAAAGATTCAAGTTGTTTTTCCATTAGTACTATTTTTGTACTAAAAATAATTTAAGAATAAAGCCTCCGGCTAAAATGTATCACTCACATATTCAACATGATTACTACTTGACTTGCTCTTGAGCTTTAATCTCGGTTTCTAAGGTTTACAGGAAGGGGAAAGATGACGGAAAATCTCAATATATAAACTTATATATTTTTAATTAAGAATAACTGTCTGTGAAGCAGGAGTAAAAAAGAAAACTAAGACTTTTGAATGATACGATAATTTTTACGTAAAAACTCAGCTTCCTTCTCCGTACGGGAAGGAGTTTATCTGTAATAAAGACCTGTTTGTAAACTTATAATTTTATATATGAGTTCCACAAACTAAAAAACCTTCGTGATCTAAACTAGTTTTTCTTTCAATGAACAAATTCTATGGAATTATAAGTAAATGATCTGAAGGTTGAACCTTATTTCATCAATTTACTACTAATTAGTGTCTATCATGATATTATATCAGATTCTGACAGTTGAATTCAATGAAATTTCAACACTAATGAGACTCCGATATCATTCTATTATCAATAGAAATTATTCTTTTGAATAGATTTTTGTTCAAACATGTTATTCTGCTTATATATTATATAAGTCTGTCTTACTTTGCATGTACAAGTGAAAAGGTTAGATTAATAATTCTGCACATCGTAAACGCCCTGTTTATATATTACACTCTGCCATAAATTAGTTGTTCTATTTTACAGACATTTATATTCACTCATCTAACTCATCATAGAAATAAAACTTACCGAGCATCATTGTCTTCAATTCGAGGTGTTACTGAACCACTTCTTGGTGATGATAATATACCTTTTAACGCTAAATAATATAAAATATATGTATTATGAAACATCTATTTTTAACTTACTAGTAGATGGTTGAGTATGAGTACTAGATGTTACTTCTCGTCTTGGTTCACTATGAGATCGTTGTGAATTGTCAATTAGTTTTTCTTCATCAGATCCATTAGTAATCATTGATGTACGACCAACACGACTCAAACGTTGATATGTTATATCTTCATTATCGATTGTTGAATTTGAGAAATCATTTATTTCAGGTTCTTTAAATGAAACATGTTGTTTAAGATTATTATTTAATTGAACAATTTTCAAAATTGAACGATCTTTTACATCACTAGAATTATGTATTTTATTTTTTGATTAAGAATCTTCTAATTAAATATATTTACTTCACATCATCTAATTGATAGAAAATATCTTTTTCAGTTTCACGTATATATATTCGAATATTCTCCGTATCCATTTGTTTCATTGTTAAATATTGTGGAAATGCTCTTAAATTAAATACTAATAATTTTAAAACGAAAAAAATAGAAATAAAATTTTACCGAACAAATAACGCTTTTAATGTATCTAAACATGATATATAAGCTGGTAGAAGAACTTTTTTTGTTTCATTTCCACATATTAAAAAACAAAGACCAAGTGAATTTGTTTTTGATGTATTTATAGCAGGTTTAATTATAAACGGAAGACTTGACCGAATTTGATTATTACGAATAAAACCTATTTGAATATATATATTATATATATTGAAAAAGAAAATTTTTATTTTTATTATACCATTAATATTTCCTACGGGTACTTCGTCCTCTGTTGGATTAGTTGATGATGAACGTTGATGGGATGTATTATTTCGTGGCTATTGAGAGAGATAATAAATGTTATATAAAGATCTAATTATCAAGTTTTTTGTCTTTTTACCATCATTGGGGTTGATACAGTCGATGATGGAGATTTACTTCTGAGTATATCCATAAGTATACGTTGCTGTTCATTATCATTCTATAAAAAGAAAAATTTCTCCTTGTACTAATTCATTCACTCATATAATCCGATTAGATCAGATTCATATCCAACTCTATGCCTCTGGACAATTATATGAAGGACTTTGAATTGCATTTTGAAGTGTTCTATCTAACTATTCTTACTTATTCATACAACTCATGTGTCTGTTTAAGCATCATCTCGTGAGTTGTATATATGATTTATATTATGCAACATGAATGTAGTAAATATACAAGAATCAATCATTCGATGAGGATGATTTCTTAATAGTTCTCTCTCTCTCTCGTAATTTGTCGTAGAAAAAAAAAAGAATGATTTCATTCGGGTGACTGCTATTGGTAAAACATGAGAATGAAAACCTTCAACAAATCATGTGGAACTTCTACAGGCAAAGTATGTCTCTTCTAATTAATATTCATACACAAAAAAGAAAGATGTTAATCTTCGATTGAAATTCTCTAAGGAAAAATTCATTTTTTTTTTCTTATCTACCTTCATAATGGATCAATGTGAAAAGTATTAAATACAATGATTTTTGACGTTAACTTCAGATTGTTGCAATTGCTTGTCGATTATAACTAACACATCGTATGAACTGTCCGTCTTACATCTATATGTTACGCGTTCTTATTTATTCTTTCTTTTCTTCTTTTTTTTTTTGCTTCATACAATTACGTTATTTAGTACGAACAACGCATCTAAGTAAATCTCGGGTAGACAAGACAATCAACTCTTCATGTAAAAAGAAATGATAATTCTGTAAAAAAAAAAAGAAGAAGAAAGAGAGAACGTGTTAAGAAGACATGATGCAATGACGACGATAGGATCTTAAATTAACTTTTAGTTTTAAAGAACGGAAAAAAAGATTAATAACTAGATTTTTCTTTTCTTTATCAATAGAAACAATGACTATGTATATACAGTTGTTCGACCATAGCATATACTAATTCAAAACAGTAGAGGTCAATAGAGAGAACACACAAGGAAACTGAGTAATGACAATGATCAAACAAGTTAGTAAAGTAATACAGGACGTAATATGTATATATATATACACAATGAATGGACAATATGTGCATGCACGAAGCAAAACAATGTCCCCTCGAGTGTCTCTCATTATAATGACCAACTGTTTGAAACGAAGATAGACATGAGATATATTATCTGAGGAATTGAAAAAAAAAGAGAGAAGTGTATGTGTGTAGACATACATTGTAATGTATGAAATAATTAGTAATTTTCTTTTATCCGAATTATTCATTAGGAAAATCGATTTGAAATAATTGCATGATATTAAATAGAAGATTTCTCTAGAGTCTATTTACCTTTGAATAATTTTCATGATGATGATTATTATTATTATTAACTTCAAGACATTCATCTTCTTTAACTGATTGTAATGGTTTCGAATATGCACTGGTAATCATATTTAAACATTTATTATTATTATATAAAATTGCTGTTTCAATATCATATGTTGATTTTGATTTAGTATTATTATTTGTAACATTTTTTATTTGCGATGTTAATCCAGATGATGATGATGATGATGAATCTGTTGATCGACTCATAATTGTTCTTGGATCTTGACGAAATGAATTAGATGGTGTTGTCGTTTGTGATGACATTGATGTATTACCAACACTACGTGATGAATCAGTACGAACTGGTATTGGTGGTCGTTGACGTGCCGATGTCGAATCTTTGATAGGTGTTGTTGATTTAACTTTAGGTGGTGTTTCAGCATAAATATTACTTCGTTCTAAATCCGAATAATCCATCATAATATGTTTAGGTGAATTAAGAGATTTCATATTTTGATAGGCTTTTATATGTTGGTAATCATCAATTCCATTCGGTTTTGTCTTTCGAGCAATGGTATTTGTAGGAGAATCATTAACTAAGAAAAAGAAAGAATAGATTATTAGAATCTAGACTGTTAATAAAAGAAAAATAACATAGATTGCCATTTACATCCTAATCAAGACGAGAAGAAGAAAAAAAATGATTATTGTTTAAAGAATCCAAGGTTTTTTCTTCTTTGTTTGAAGAAAATTAAAGCTCAAGTATACAGCTGTGAGACTATACATAAATCAAATACAAGTTTTTTTTCTACTACTAAAATATTAAAGAATCCTAAAAAAAAAAGACGACGAAGAAGAAATTAATTTCGAAGTCTTACGTAACTTCAATATAATCTTCTAATATTGTATATATTATTCTTAACTAAAAAAGGTCATTATTCTGTTAACTAAGTATATCCAGATCTATTTGAATAACAATACACATAGTCTTATTCAAGGTGAATACATATGTTAGAATAATTTTCTCTTAGGATTCAATATAGTTAACATCATCATTTTGTTCACCTACTGTGAGATCTATAAACATAAAAGAAACAACTAAATTCTCTTCAACCTGCTGTTCTATATGAGGTCATTGATATCTATGTAGTTACAAATACAATGAACAAAAGAGAAAGGAGATTGACTTGAGAATAAACTGATGAAGTCAAACTTTTATTTACTAACCGCGTCGGACTACGGTCATCATATATAAACGAACGAAATATGATACTTATGTGTACGAAAAAAAAAGAAAAAAAGAAGAATGAACTTTTCAGTTATATAATATCATCAAGAAAAAATAAGATGAATTAATTAATAAACACCTACTTTCATATGTTTGTTTAACTATCCAGTTCCAAACACGATCATAGACTTTTTTCATCGAATCAATATTGCTATTATTCATTGTCAAGTTTTTATTTAATACATCCAATATATGTAATATTGTGTTTAAATTGTTTTGTTTCTTTTACTTTTCTTTTTTTCTTTACATATATAAAGTTTTTTTTAACGAAAGAAAAAAAACGTCAGTACGACAATGAACATAAGAATAAAAGACAGAATGTGACGAAAAACGCATGCTCTCCTCTCATCTAATCAATCAATATTTTAAAAATAACAAAGAAAAAAAAAGAATGTATGAATATTTTCTATAATATATATCGTAGTTTAAGATAAAATAGATTTCGATACCAATTATTTATTTCTAATATAAACAAAAAAGGTTATTTATCGTGTTTCAGAAATCTTAAATGAGCATAACTATTTAGGACATATGTTTATCCGAAAGTTATTCTTTATCTTTCTTTGTTATTCATATAAATATCAACAAATCGATTTGACTCAATTATTCAATAGATTGATCAATCCAGGTTTTTCTATTAGTTACAGCTATATCAATAATGATCATTATCTCATATGTATTCAATCAAATATGTGATCTCGTTTTTCAAGGTGATAAATGTGAAATTGAAAGTAATGACATAATAGCTTCTTTTTTTTTCAATCGAATACATATGAAACAGATGCTCAATATGTGTCTACCGAGAAAAAGAAATGGCACTTACAATTGACAATATTGAAATAATCAATACACATTCTCGTTTCTTTTTTTTTTTATACAAATGTAATAGTCGATGATAATGATGATGGCATTTGAACAAGAGAAGAAAAAAACGTTTTCAAGGTTTCAAAAGTCATTTGAACTTTTTCTTTTTTTTTCTCAATAGGTTAGAGATTGATTGAGTTTTTAAATGTAAAAATTATAATAGTTTTCTACCTGCTGTTAAACATATTATTCGTCGATGTACAACAAGATTTTCTAATGATCGTGTTAATGAAAATCGATCCGTTAAAGTTGACCACATAGCGAGAAGATGAAGAAAAATGAACGTTGTCACCTTACTACTGTCCTATGTTTTATTTCTTATCTATTCTTTCTCTATCTCAGTTTGTTTATACATAGTTCTAACATAGTTCAATTTTTTTTCTCTTTCTCTCGTTATATCTATATGTCGCACCTTTTCTCTCTGTCCTTTTCCGTTTCGTTATAATCAATTAAAGTAGTTATATCATATTTACTAGAAATAAACTATTTGTATATATTATTTGATCGTTCAATCTTTTTCTTAGTGATCAAATTCTCTAGTAATAAAAAAAAACAAGAACATTAATTACACTCTAATCTACATACCATATGAAATAATGACTGGCATATTGTTGTTTTTTGTTTATATAACAAGTTTAAATAAAATAAACGAATAAAAATTATTGATGATTCTCATTTATTATCGAATAAAAGACTGTTTACAGTTGTCTTCAAACTGACAATAACTCATTAGATTTTAATGAAGTCAAAGCATATTTTCTTTTTCTGTAAGCAAATAAGAACAAGACGGATGTAGACATCTCATCAATTTTCTATGAAAAAAAAGGGAAAATCTCTTTTATTGAACTTCCGTCTGTCAACAAATCAATCAAGCATACGACATAAAAAAATTATTTATGTCAAAACGTCATCTTTCTTTTTTTTTCTCTTCTCACTTGAAGAAAAACAAAGAAGAAGAAAAAAAACCTGTCAATTGTTGAAAGGTTAATTTAATAATGAATCTGTCTATCATATCGACTAATATTTTAAAATAAAGATGAATTAAACGTTTACCTTGTTTCATCGATTGATAATAAGATGAACTTCTTAATAACCAAATATTATCAATATGACCGAGTTTCATATGTCTGTCAATTGAAATTAATACGATAGAAAAATCAAATTGATGATTATTTATAGAAAATTGATCGAACCAATGATTTCCATATTTAAGATTCTTTTACATTTTTATGACAATATGAACGAATGAATTTCTATTAATCTGATCTTCTCGTGTGCTCTTGACTTAAAATAATAGATAATTCATTTAAATTACGCTAGAATTATCTTTCTATGAAGGCCATGAATTGTTACACACAAGAAAAAAAACGAACGAAGAATCAAACTTGTCTATGTAAACATTACGTTCATATATGAACATGTGTCGGAACTAATTTGAACATACTTATATGAACATCGTAATAGCGTACAGTAAAAAAAGAATATATATACATATATATATACATCTGTCGAAGTTAATTATATCTATGAAAGACAATCTCATATTCTTTCTATTGCACACTTGACTGTATTATAAATATATACAAAACTTGTCCTAGAAGAATTAGTTATTTGTCATTCAACTAGAAACTATTGATAGTGACAGTAGTATAGAATGATTAGTGAAATAAGTAATTGAATGAATACTATTCCCTTCAGGTAATTTAAAATTCTATGATGTAACATATATATATTTGTCACAGCATGTATATTACATCCTGATGACACATACATACAAAAGAATACGGAAAAAGTTTATGATAATGGTAATCAATATTTTAACATTTGAGAACAAATGTTGTTCAAGAAAAAAGAAAAAGGAGTTTTATCATATATAAATTTAGTAAATAGATATAATTTATCTTTTTATTGGGTCAATTACTTTTATATTATCTAAATATCTAATTGATTTTCTTTTCTTAGTGAATGAAACAAAGAAGAGAGAAAAAAACTAATATATATAATTAAACATTTGTATTATTCTTCGTCATGATCTGTAAACTCCTATTATGTAATAATTCACATTGTTGAATATATGAAAAACTTTCTCATATTATATATATATATATATTTAATGTAAAAGGAATATAATACTTACTATGATGTGATGTTTGAAGATGTTTTTGTATTTTTGAGTCAGATACACCCATAATTTAAGCAAATATTGTAGATTGAATTATAGAGTTTGAATAGAAGAATAATAATAACACAACAAATAAAAAAATGACGTGTCGACAGTTTCTAGATGTGTTAATCTAAAAAACAAAAATGTGACGATGACCATCGATTCATCTTCATACAATCAATTGTAAACAAAAAAGTACAATCAATAATTACGTGCCTGATCCTCCGATTACAAGAACAACATCTGTGTATGCACATTTATATATATATATGAACCAACTGTGTACTAATAACGAAGGCTTTAATCGATTGATTTTGTATATGATAGGCATAAGATGAAAGTGAGATAAAATAAAAGAAGACAAACTAGTGATGATGACATCTGAGAAATGCATACAAGGTTTTTTTATGTCGTGCACACTCTTGCATGCTTTGTGAGATGTCGAAGGTTAAAAAAGAAAGAGTATGAGAGAATCAAGATGAATATTTGTAAACTTACATTGGAAAAATAAATGCAAGTCATGAGACAGATGTGTATCATCGATCATATTTGAGAAATATAAACGAATGAACAAAAGAAGAATACACAACATTGATTATGTTTTGTTAGTATTTCAATCTTTATTTATATATAAAGATAGAAGGAAACAGAAGAAGAAGAAGAAGAAACATCTTACTCAAAAATATAAGTTTTATAGAAATATTTTCTTCTGAAATTTCATGCTTTATATATATATATGGAGAGAGAGAATATCAGTTTACTTCAATTCTCTGATTGTGCATACACAAACATACAATTACTTACCGTAATACACCTTCACATGACGATTGTATATTTACAGTTGACCCATAATTCAATTAGTTCTTACCTTAGGTATATACTTCTTTTCTTTTCTTTCTTTTTTTTCTTCTCCTCTGTGTTCTATTCATATCATAAGAACCGTGCTTAATAGAACTATTTGATTTTACTTCTTCTTCTTCTAGCACCTCGACATTCTCAACTAGTAATATAATGATCAAATGTACCGGTTATTTAATCATATATATATACATTTGTGATTATGTCTTCCTATGTCTATAAAGAAGTGAACGACAAAGACAAATATTGTATTGTGTCACTACTCAATTAATGTTCATAATTTTTTCAAAATTTCTCTTTAAAATAATGATAAAATAAAATAGAAGCTGTACTTTATCAAATATTACTTGATTTATTTCTTTTAATAGAATTTAATTAAAAATATCTTTTATGTACACTTACATTATTAAATTTGATTTATCTATTAAACAAACCATAAAAATGATTGTTAACATAATGAACAGTGAATGAAGTTAATAATATTCTCTATTTCTTGTTCTTCTCTATTCTCTGTCTATCTATCTATCTATCTATTAACTTGATCTTTGTCAATGCCATATGCATGCAAGTGTAGATGAATGTATATATATATATATACGATATGATTCAATCGAACAAACGACAACAAGGATAAAAAATATCAATCTCAATAAATAGATAATGAAGAAACTAAGGACAACTTGCTCAATTGACTTAAAACACGCATAGAACTAATTTTATAGTTATATTATGATTATGTTAAGAATCGTAAGCTTACGTAATAATAAACATTATGATTAGAGTCGCAATATCTTGGATAACATTAATCTTTTCTTTTTCTTCTTATATTCTATTATACATATGTTGTCAAATATCTGCTCACGCTTTGATATAGGTCTTCAGATGTGAATAAGCAAGTGATATAGTTATGTATATTGTCAATCATTACAAGAATTGTATTGTGTTGTTCTTCTTCTATTCATTTGTACTGCATCTATAATCTATATAGATTGTTTATCAATGATTTCTATCCCCTGTTGTGAATGATTACAGAATAAAAACTATAACAGGAACAATCTAATCTCGTTGAAATCGTTCTCAATAGAGTAACTGATCCGGAAATGGCTTCTATTTTTTTATTCTAATAACTGCTAATTTTTTATGCATAATAATGTCTCTAGATAGTCGATTACTATTGCGTCAACAATGATGAGAATCCTAGAAGTTAAAATAACATTCATTTAGGTAGATAACAAAATCAACTATCATAATTCTTCTGTTATCAATTAAATAACTAATGAGATCTACATTCTATTTATGATAAAAAAAAGTATATGTACTCACTGACTATTTTAGAGTATAAAATCAGAAATATGACTATATAAAGGTGTTAAATATCTGTTGAGTTTACTCTCTATGATTGAGATTTGACATACTAAGAGAATATGTCATTAGAAGTGCGACAAGTCATACTCATTAATAATTAATAGAAATTTTTTTTTACTTTAATTTTATTTCTTTTGTATTTTAATACAGGAAGATCCTTGAAGGTTACTGTCTTCTGCAGAGCATAATGAAGGACTTTCTCATACCTAGAATAAGTTGTAACATTCTTAAACAATATTTTTTTTTCTCCCAGGTAGCAAAATTTAATATCTAAATTTTAAAATAAATAATCTATTTGAAACTATAGGGAGCGTATCTATGAAATAAAAAAAAAGGAAATCAATTTCATTTGTGTAAGATAAACAAGATAATTACTAATATTATCAAATAGAAATCTCTACATTTATATCAAAGTTCTTATTCTAAACTTTCAATATTCGATAAGATCAGTTGAAATATAATATGTCTTAAATAATTACAATAAAATGCTTCATTTATAAAACATATCATAAGAGTATCTTTTAACAAAAAGAAAAAAAAAAAGAAAAAGTTGCCTCCTACTATATCGAAATACAACAGAAAGAAAATTATTGCGGAACTATGGTATTACTCCTTATACTTTGTGTATAATTTCTATTAAGAATTCTATCGTAATTCTTAATATTAAATATTCTGATAAGCATATATAATAATAAATGATGATTTTTATTTGAATTACACGGCATTGGTATATTGTTATATATGAGAATGTATTCACCTTTTTACAATAGTATTTGTAAGTTAATGAGCAGTAATCGAGTGACATCTTTACGTAAAATAATATATAATTCTATTAAAAGAATGAATGAATTCTGTTCATTAAAATAATCATTAGAAATGCAAAAAAGAATATTAATTGCTCTTACATTTAAAAATGCCAAAAGATCATTTGATAAGTCCAAATTTTTATTAATTCAAAAGTCATCTAATATTTACCTTTTATCAAATTCGTATATGAATAACGAATAATATCAATGCAAAATTTACCGATTGATAAATATCGTTTTATACGTTTAAAATAATTTTCAGATTATTTCTACTGTTTAGTATCATTATTCTATAGAAAAAACTAAGATTTTTCTCATTTATTATCTTAATATATGTAAAAAGGGTAACTGGTTATTCTTGTATATTCGAGATATAACCTTGAGCAGCGACACTCTCTCGAAATAAAAAATATGATTTTTTTGTAGATCTTTATTGACCGATTCTGTCAAGTTAAGGCTTGACTTCATGAGAATCTCTTTGGTATGTTGTAATAAGTCAGGGTGTAACACTTTTGAGACACTTACATCCACCCTTTAGTTCGTTTTACTTATTTTAAACCTCGATAATAATCCTTTCTTTCTTCCAGGTATTTCTACCATTACTGTGATATTTTTTCAGATGTAATCTCTTCTATCCTTCATCTAAATCTCTGCGCATAGGATATCATCAAAGATAATATCCTATGCGCATTTATCTCTATACCTAGAAAATTGAACCACATATATAAAACCCGCGTTTTTATATGTAAAAGTGTGTGAATAATGTGGTCTTCTGACTTAATTTTATCAACGTCATTTATTATTTGGCCTTTTATAAACTTCTACACTCTCAAGCACGATTTACATTCAACATACTATACAACTTAACACGTTTTTATAGTTGTATGACTCTTGTGTCCTAGATAAACTTTCACTCGATTTACTACTTTATATTTTCGTCCAATATAACCAACATATTCAAGTAAGTGAATAGGGGTTTTTGTTGCGAAGGGTATCGTTTGCAAAGTCGTTTTTCTTTGTTGCAATATAATGTAATATTAACCGTAATTTTCTCTTTTCATTATTTCTAGTAATTATGGCTTCAAAATCCATTTAAAAAAAATAATCAAAAAGGCAATGCTACTAATTCAATGAGCGAATTAGCCTGTGGATCAACTGTGAGCAAGTTTGAAACAGGTGAGTGAAAATTCTCGAAATGAATTATAGTTATACTAAATTATGCAAAATTAACTAGGACAAGAAGATGAAGAATATTGGTTCGATGAAAACGATGAGCAACAGCTTGATGAAATGGCTACTTGGCATGCAGAAATGATGGCTCTACCTGAGCATCTTCGAGTTGGGTGGGAAACCCTTGAAGTTAATACTGAGACAGATGTATCATTTTTGGACGAATCTGTCAATACAGAAGAATCATCATGTAGTAAACGAAAACAAGACGCATGTATTACACCATCGGTTGTGTCACAAAAGACCCACCGTGGCCATCCGAATTCATCTGTGGCGTGTTCAAAATCAACAAATAATGTGCACAATGACCAAAGCAAAGAATAGTACGATTATTGGATACATCAAATATTGTTGGTTTGAAAGACGTTCAAAAGGTTAGGACATAGTTTTGATTCATACCTGACTAACTTTTTTTCTATTTACTCCTTTGATTACATTACAGAAAACTCAAACATCATCTAAAAAAGATCAAATCTGTTCGATAACGCAGCCGTTGAAGCTGACATGTGCCAATAATGTGCACGTAAATAATACTAAACGTATATATTATATTTCTCATACGATTGATTATTTTAGCCTATCAAACAATTAAAATTATTGGTAGACGAGCGTATTGATGCTCATTGGCAACGTGGCGAGATTAGAAAAATCTTTTCTTATAATGGTGATCAAGAAGATGTAAATACAATAAACTATTTAATATAGCTCTTCTAATGATATATTCATTTCTAGCATAGACTGAAAAGACTTTCAAACAATTATTGAAAAAACTGGACAAGTACAATGATAAACTAGAAAGTGATACTTTGTTGGTAAGACTTCTACTTATCATACTTATTAATTCCTAGTCTAAATCACTATTAATTTTAGCATGTTCTTACATAACGAGATCGTAAACCAGCGTTTTTAACAGCTACTGGGATTTATAATGATAAACTAGGCTGTAAACTTCATCAAAATAAACGTGCGGTCTATGTACTGACTATTGCTGTGCCGAAAGCGACTTATGTTAAGGTGTCATTGGATCAAACGATAAAAAATCTGAAAATTCTTCAACCTGAAAATGTTAATATTCATGCTGACATAGTCAACATCAAAGGAAAAATAAGAGTATCAACGAATATTTCGCGTCGAATTTCTACGTATTACAGCTGCCATTGGCGTATAGGTACGTACAGTTGCTTTACAGAACGCGCATATAGCTAGTTGGTAGATGCTACTAGAGATATTCATGGCGACGGAGTCGTGACAGATATGAGACTTTGAAAGAAACTTTCTAAGACGAACGCAATATGTCATTTTAAAATAATTCTGTTTTTCTGTACAGATTCAATTTCAAAGCTGGTACACTTTCTTAGATGCCAAGAAGATCTTCCTATAGAGATAATTGAACAAATCTCGATAAAACTCTTTAAACTTTGTTTAAAGTCTGTTTCTGAATTAATCCAAATGGAAACATTATGCTCTATGTTACTTGGACCGAATGGGAACTTTGGCTTCAACTTCGTAGGCCGACCGGATAAAAATTCGAAAAATGAAATGCGTATACATAGTAAGTATTATCAAACATACAAATTTCTATATTGCTCTATATGATAACACAAACACCTATTTATTTCATTGATGCGAGAGCTAATCCTTCGAAATTTAGATGATTATTATTAATTTTTCTTTAGGTCGCCATCTCAACGACTATATGGCTGTTACATGCCTACAACCCGGTCGTGTTTATAGCCGTCCAGCTGACAACTGTACAGTAGTTGGCTTCGTTCGTGCGGAGACGGACTATCCAAGTGATTGTTATGTTCTTAGAAAACCGATTCAGTTTGCTGTTACTGAACACGCAAGATGGTATCATCTCACTTTACCGAGCGGCAAAAGTGGTTATGTAAACAGTTTCTTTTGCGAAGGCGTTGTTCCTCATTGTAAGAACCGCTAAACTCTATTCTGCTTTTTTTTAAGCTTACATTTTTAAACCAGAATTATAATTACTAATCTCGACATAAAGTGTGAACCGAAATTTTTATCCATTTATTTTAATCTAATTGCACTCATTTATATCAATAAAAACATGCTTAATCCTGAAATGTATTGATCGGTTCCATCTATGCCTGATGGTACGATAAACACTCAACACAAATTAGCTGGTACGATAGCTCCGATAGATAATTGATTGTATATTTCTCATTTAACCACACAAACATCGATAATGCGTAAGTATATCTAGCGATATGGTTTATTTTAAATCAAAAACTCTTTTTAATACTTGCTCTTTTCTTTTTCTTACAGTCAAGAAAATGTCCAAATCGAAGGAGCATGCGGAAAACATATTATCTAAATTTTTGGAAGATACGAAATTAGACCTACAAAAAGGTTATGCAGGACCAACCGAATTTTCGACAGCAAGCTATGGTGATCGGTATGGGTGGCGAGGAAAATGCGAAGAATGTGAGAAAATATGGTGTATTTTTGTTACACAAGATGGAAAAAGCTTTAGTATCCCGCAATGTAAACATAAACCTAGTAACACGAAAAAAAGCATGGTGTTTGCTAAAAATGAATACATTAAAAAATTCCAAAATTAAAAGCGCAAGGCAGATAGGAAATCTAAATGAAATCCTGTAACTCCTAACTACCCAAGGTATAACCTTGTTCACTAACACTCTTTCAAGATATATATATAAATAAAAATAAAAAAAATATATAAATTTTTGCAGAATTTATTGATTAGTTTCTGTCAAGTTGTAACTTGACTTTATTAGAATCTGGAAGAGAAAAAACGTAAAACTTAACTAACTGGATTGGTTTAGCTGAATATATAGTTGGTGATAAAGGATACTTTATGCTAAAATACACGTGGTATTTATAGCCTGGAGAGACCTCAACATATACCCTCGTTTGAAATAGTAATCAGTTGGATATCATGTGTTTTGTTATGATGTATTGCTTATTCGTTCTGTTACTTTGTAAACTTCGATCAAAATTTTGTCATGTAGATGTGTGATACTTCTTTCTAGTATATCTATTAATATTTTTCATCTAGATATTTCTTCAGATGTAATAGGGTGGGTGTAGTACTTTTGGGACACCCACACCGTATTCTGGAATAGGCATGATAGTAATATTGAACTTTTTGAACCTATAGGATCAACTGCGGAGTGTCTTGATGTTAAACAAGAGAATAGAGGAGATGCATTGATAACTGAAGTGTTTCACAAAACTTCACATGAACCATATGCTCTTTCATTGGCAAGCACACATGCATAACATATAAAAAAAGAATATTCCGTACGTAGCTCTCACTCGAGCCATAAGATATTCTTCGAATTTCGATACGTATAAACGTGAAGAAGTATATATATGTGTATCATTATTATTGAATAAATATCCAATATATTTTATTACTAAACAATTTGGAAGAGTCTTACAAATATTTCAATATGCGGAGCCTACAAAAAAGAATTACGTTGAAACAAGAAAAAACTTTTTAAATGCTGTTGATGATAAGAATAATGCAAAGAAAGCTAAAATTGATTTCGAAGTTAAAATTTTATGTCTTTTCTCCTTTTCAGAAAAGGGGTGCATTATTTTTCAACCAGATTTCATGAACTTTGGAATACTTGTTTTTCAGTTACTGCTATTTGTGATATGAAACCAATTGCAGATTCTAAACGATTAAACAATCTTCAAGATTATCTTGTTAAAAAGAAATCAGACAAATTACTGTTAGAAATCAATCTGTAAGAGGTATTTCCATAACCCTACATTAAGACAACGTATTTATCAACTGAATATTATCCAACAGCATCAGCCAAAAAGACAACTATGAGATTATACCAAACCATTTCACAACATGTTCTTTTTAGATTCCAGTACTGCTGGAAGTTTTTTTCGTTTCCTCTTTTGTTACTTCAAAAGGATCATAAGACCTTATGCAAGTTATATTCTATGTAAAAATGTTTCTTGTTGTTGTAATTGTAATTTTTGTAGTTTTTTTTGATGAAGTCAAGTTATAACTTGACAAAAATCGGTCAATAAAGTGCTACAAAAAAAATCATATTTTTTTATCTCGAGAGAGTGTAACTGAACAAGATCATATGTTGAATATACAAGAATGACCAATTATCCTTTTTACATATATTAAATAATTACAATAAAATGCTTCATTTATAAAACATATCATAGAAGTATCTTTTAACAAAAAGAAAAAAAAAAAGAAAAAGTTGCCTCCTACTGTATCGAAATACAACAGAAAGAAAATTATTGCGGAACTATGGTATTACTCCTTATACTTTGTGTATAATTTCTATTAAGAATTCTATCGTAATTCTTAATATATGAGAATGTATTCACGTTTTTACAATAGTTAATAAACAGTAATCGAGTGACATCTTTACGTAAAATATTATATAATTCTATTGAAAGAATCAGTAAATTCTATTCATTAAAATAATCATTAGAAATACAAAAAAAATATTAATTATTTATATTTAAAAATATGAAAAGATCATTTGATTAGTCAAAATTTTTATTAATTCAAAAGTCATCTAATATTTACCTTTTATCAAATTCGTATATGAATAACGAATAATATCAATGCAAAATTTCCCGATTAATAAATATCTTTTTATATGTTTAAATAATTTTTAGATTATTTCTACTGTTTAGTATCATTATTCTATAAAAAAAACTAAGATGTTTCTCATGTATTATCTTAGCGAAAAAGGCGAACGGGTCTATACATTCAAGGTAAATACTATTTTCTTTGATATGATTTAATCAAACATCGTTTTTGTTTTTATAGAAAGTCGATCCAGCTGGTAATCCAACACAATCAGCACATCCAGGTATGTTTTACTATTATTTAAAATAATAAAAAAAAATAAAATAATTTCATTATTTATTTACAGCTAAATTTTCACCAGATGATCAATATTCTCGTCAACGACTTAAACTTAAAACTCGTTATCGATTACTTCTAACACAAACACCACTTACCAAGTGTTAACATTGTTATATTAACATTTTTGTTAGAATAAAAAAAAAAGAAATGTAATTCTTCTGTTGTTTTGGAATAAATCGAACAATTAGAATAAAGATTTAATATCTGTAGAACATAGAAAATAATGATATGTATTTTATTGAAATATTCACATGTCATAGCATGTATGACTTGTATACTGAAAGATATGATTTCGATCTAAGTTATGATTGTAAAAGCACAAAATGTTTGATGCCATTAATTTTGTGTATTTATCAAGACAGTTAACATTTCTTTAAACATCAGCCAATATTCTATATAACAAATATTGTTGAGTAACACTGCGAACTTTGTATAGAACATATTTTTATTCAGTGCCAAGAAATTGTCGTACTATCTGTTCACATGGAAAAGTTATCTAGACATTGTACCGATACACGAAGATATCTGGAAATGCTTTATTACGATATGAAATACAAAATAATATAACAAATATATAGATTATTGAAAAAAAAATGTTGTTTGTAAATATAAATTAATTGTAACACTGATGCTTAAATTTTTATATTGATCATACACGACATCTCTTCGATAACGTCATTTATCCATTAGCTACCAATAAAAAGTATTAAAATAGTGAAAAAAATCTTTTTCTCATAACTACACACACCTATTTTATCTTTTTGATAAACTCTTGTCTGTTTTTATCTCTTCACATATTTTATTTGAGATTGTTTGTTAGAAATGGTTCCATCTCCAACCGGCGATGACTGGGGACGAGATAAGTTTCAAGATGGAGGTGCTAAAGGTATATATATATACAAATCTTTCTAATTAAACTTTCTTATAAAAAATCTTCTCGTATATTTTAGATTTAGTTTTAAGTGCACAATTAAAACGTTATAAACGTTTTCTTATTACACATAAACAATCATTAAGACGTATTGAAGATGCACTTAGTTCCAATATTACACAAACATGGGAGTTTGATTTAAATCCAGTTGAACTTAAAGTAGACATATTTGATTATTTCTTAAATAAAATTTATTTATTTATTTAATTAGTATTTACCATATGAACAAGTTCAAGTACTTGAATTAATTCGTACTGAAAATAAAATTTGCAATAAAATTATTACAGCACTTGCTGCACTTTGTTGTGAATGTAAATTTTTAGTACATGAATGTGAACAAAAATATATACCTGCAATAATATTTTTTGGTGAAGGAGGTCTAGTTTATTTATCTATATATATATTTTTAATAATAATAAAATATTCTTTTTAGAACAAGATGCAAAAGAACAACAACAATCATATATGGCACAATTTGTATCTCTTCTTCAAGTTTGAATTACTGAATATTTTGTTCATTTTATATTTTTATTTTTCATTTGTAAAGGATTTATCTTGCTATGTTAATCGATGTAATGAAATAGTATCGAATATTCTTCAACAACTATCATCACTTTACACTCCACCAAATGTTCAAAATGGACGGTAAGAATTTTTATACCTAAATAGCATTTATTTAATTGTGATTTATCTTTAGATGTGTACGACTAATGGATGCGTCCGATCTGCATTTACCTGTAAGTGTTTTCGCAACAGCTATTTATAATTATTATTATTTATGTGTAGATTGTGTATGATCATTTGGGTGATTTACTTCGTTGTCTAATAACTCTCGATGAATGTTTTCGTTCGAATATACAAATAGCTGAGAAATGGCCAGCATTTAAACGGTATTTCATATGTTTAGAATATTTTCTATTTGATTAATATTATATTTTTTAGAATAATAACATCAATAAAAAATAATTCTGATAAAGTTCAAATTGATCTTTCACGATTACCATCATTTGAAAAAATTCTTCTTGCACTTGAAGGTCAATTACTGGATGGACGTATTTTTCAAGTAAAATATTTAATAAAAAATTTGATATTTTTTTCAAATAGAAAACTTTCTTATTTAGAATTGTATTGAACAAATATTTGATACAAATTTAACTGTAACAAAAAATCCTTTATTACAAGAAGAATTTTCAGCTATGATTCGACAACTTCAAGCAAATGTCGAACCAAAACTTGGTAGATTTAAATAAAAAAGATTATTATGATTTTATATCATCGATTCTAGGTGAATTTAATGAACTTGATGGTCGAATGAAATATATTGGTATTTGCGCATTATTCTGTTTACATTATCAACTTTATCGAGTCGATGATAAACGTCTATTAAAAGCTATTTGGGATGTTTATAAAAAAGTATGATTCAACAATAGAATACTCTTTTTATCATACGTCAATGAGTCATACGGACTGTCTACGTAAAGTGTGATTTCGTCATGCTCTGTTTGTTTCATTACGCACAAATGCCTTAATAGCTAAGGTGGAATACACTTTTCAAAATGAAACAGTCTGCGACTCCTCATTCATTACGAATAAGCGTGGCGGAATCATCCTTTTCTGTGGACAAGTCGTCTGTATAGAAAAATGAATTTTCTCATATTAAAATATTTCGAAGGGAAGAATATGTCAACAAATGTTCGGTCTTTGATAAAAACTGGAGCCTGTAAGTCATATACGAATCAGAGATAATTATTCGTACTCAATGTAATATCGAGAAGTACAGAGAAAAAATAATATAGAATTTTAATTTGAATATCAAGCTATTTATTTACTCTTCATTTTTAATTTATGATTTACAGGTACCAATTGTTCATCTTTGTGGTAATGTTAGTTGGATAGCTACGAAATTTTTACTTGAAAAAGTTCCTCAATTTGCTCGATTACTCGATAAAAAAGCTTTACAAGCTGTTGAACAACAACGTTTTCAATATTTACAAAATAAAGAATCGTCATTAACAAAGTAAATTTCTCGAGAAAAACGAAAAACTCAATTTTTTTTTCAAATTTCTATTTCTATATTTTTCAGTCCTAAGTAAGATAACTAATAAGCATGTTGTCTATATATTAACACTTAGCTTTCCTCTTCCCTCTTGCATGTTTCACTCTTTATGAACTATATATTTTAACAAAAACTGAATATTTATCTAATTAAATTTAGAGATTTACAAAAAAGTTATCTCGATGTTTTGGCATGGCTTATACGTATGGAATCAACTGTAACAACAGATGATGCGAATGAAAATGCCTTAATAAATGATATTTTAAAAAAAACTTCATTATTAAATTATGTATGTTATTTATAATAAAGAAAAAAAATCAATTCATTTCTATTATTAGGGTTTATTTCATGCTTATTCATTATCATATACAATCAAAACTTTAATTAGTCTTCATTCAACATTACAATTAGCAATGAAATCTGAATGTATGCTTGTTATTTATCGTTATACAGAATTATTAAAAGTTATTGAATCAACATATCATCGACATGCAATGGCAATTGCACCTTATTTTAATTCTCTTATGCAATATCATTCTCAACGTTTATTAAAAATTATAACTATAGCTAAAGTATTGAATTGCTTTTATTTTTTGTTCTTATAATTATCTGTTTTGTAGAAACGAATTACATCAGTAACAGATAAACGATTTACTGATAAACAAGTCGATGTACTTGCAGCACTTGTATTAGCTGAATCTTGTTTAAATGGACCTTGTATGTTAGATTTTTAGGATGGTGTGAATTCTATATACAAAAAATTTGTTTTTTTTATAGGTACAAAAGAACGTTTATTGATATTTCGTTTAGCATTTTCATTTGGTTCTCGATTGGTAAAATTCATTTTTGGTTATAAAATAATTTATCTTTTTCTTTAAAGAAAACTTGTCGAGATGAAGAAATGGTTGCCATTGAAGAAGCTCTTCGAAAACTTGAAACATTAGCTGCATTTTCAGAAAAGTAACTATAACGAGAAAAAATTAATCCTCTTTTTTTCTCATAAATTTTTATAGACTTCATGTTGCTTGTGATACAACATTTATCTATTGGGAACAAAATTCATTTCGATTATATTTACAAGATTTATTTTTAACTGTTCGAGATCCACATCGTTTACATGTAGAATTTTACATTTTATTTAGACATCAAATATGTTATCTATTTGTTTTTTATTTAGTTTATATTTGCTGCTCTTCGTGATTGTGTACCATCACTACGAGCTATTCGTCATGATAAACCCGAAAAATTAATAAATACTTATAAAGCTGAAATAATGAAAATGTTTGATCAGGTTAATAATCGAAATAGAATTTTATTTGAATGATTTATTAAAATAATATTTCATTTAGTTTTTTCTTCAAGAATTATTTAAAACAATTGAAGATGATCTTCGTTGTTTATGTCATGCACATCTTGAAGTTGGTGATCGTAGTGTATTTCGAGCAAATTTTAAAGATGTTACACCATTTCTTGATGTTAAACCAATACGATGTTTTGATGAATTTATTAGTATTAAAGGTTAAAAACTTTGATTTTACATTGAATCTTATTAAATTTCGTGTTTTTTTAAAATCTAATAGGAGCTGTAGAAAGTTATTTAGATAAAACTTTTTATGATTATACAACAGCTTCATCAACTGATTGGAATACATATTCAGAAATGAGAAATTCAGCATCACAAAAATATGGTTTAGATTTACATGAACCACATTTACCGAGTAAAACACTTGAACAAGTAAGTCAATTCATTAGAAGATTACATTTATAATCTTGGACAACAGGAAGTTGTTGTGTCTTGGAATTCCTGAGCTTCGATAACATGAGTTCGATACAAAGAGATATCTAGTAACAGAATTACCGATAGGGATGTACTAAGCCCGAACCCTGACCCAGATTCTCGGGCTCGGGCTCCGTCAGTGCTCGGATGTTAGTGCGGGTACTAGTCTTTTCACTCTCACTCACACCCTCAAGTTATGACATATCTCGATATTTATATCTTTTAGGGTTGTGATGTACTTGATATTCTTCGTAATTTAAATGCATTTGTTTCTCAACATTATTATAATATAAATACTCAAATGTTTATTGAACGATCAAGTAATAATAAATTTTTACGTACAACAAATATTCGTCATGTAGCTAATTCAATTCGTACACATGGTATTGGTATAATGAATACAGCGGTATAATAATATTTTTTAAATATTGATATTTCTATTTACGTTATTTTTTTTTATAAAAGGTTAATTTTACATATCAATATCTTCGACAAAAATTTTATATGTTTTCACAATTTTTGTTTGATGAACATATTAAAAGTCGTTTAATGAAAGATATTAAATTTTTTAAAGAAAATAAAGATCGACTTAATCAACGAGTAAATTATGATTAAAGTTATTTCATAAAACTTCTACATATATATATATATATATTTAGTATCCATTTGAACGAGCAAAAAAATTTTTTATTAGTATAAGAAAATTAGGTGTTACACCAGATACTAATGAAACATACCTCGATCAATTTCGACAATTAATTGGTCAAATTGGTAAGACTATAAATATATATAATATAAAAATTATTTTACTATTTATTAATAAAAGGAAATGCAATGGGTTATGTACGAATGATTCGTTCAGGTGGTTTAAATACATGTTCAGGTGCAATACGATTTGTACCAGATTTTGATAATATTATTGCATTTGAAGAATGTGCACGAAAATCCAATTTACCTAATGAAACAGTCAATGCTGCAAAGTAATTTATATACATATATCTATGAATACTTAGTAAATCCGAAAAGTGATAGTAATTTTTCGTAGATTAGTATGTCGAAGAAATTTTTGACAATCGGAGTTGATAAGATTCTTGACTTGAACTTGATTTTAACAGTGAGATCTATACGATGGTCTTTGCTGTCTAATCACTTGTATATTTTAACTGTAATTTCTATATTTACTATTCGTTTGTTTTTAGACATTTAGATGATGTTATATCAAATTTAGTCAAAAATTTTACTGAAGGAACAGAATATTTTAAAATCCTAGTTGATGTATTTTCGAATGAATTTCGTGGAAAGAAAAATTTACATTTAAAACATTTCTATGTTATTGTTCCACCACTTGTATGTATACACAATACTATTTATTTATCTTAATACTATAATTCTTTATAGACGTTAAGTTTTGTTGAACATATTAAAGGTTTAAAAGATAATTTAACGAAAAAATCCAAAGTTAATGCATCTTTTACTGATGATGGATTTGTTATGGGTAAGAGAAAACGAATTATCGGAAATTTTCTTATTAAATATTGTATTTAGGTGTTGCATATATATTAAAATTACTTGATCAATATCGTGATTTCGATTCCTTACATTGGTTTGATGCTGTTAGAGAATCATCTACTATAGAAAGAGTAAAAATAATTTGTTTATATATACATATATGAAATATAAATTTTTATTTTCTATAGAATGATGTAATAAATAAATCAAGAAATAGTACTGAAGAAAATGTTAAAAAAGCTTTAAGTGCTTCAATGAAAAGAATTGAAAATGATCAATTGGTTCGTATAAATTTTTTAAATGAAAATTATTATATCGGGAACTGATCAAATCGAGTTATTGAATGACTTCCGATAACTCTAAAACGATTATAGACAACAATATTAACTAATGTTTCATTTTTCGTAGTCTATTTTTAGTTTCCGAAGTTGAAATACGTTATTCAAAAAAAATGATATATTTTCTTTTTTCATTTTAGGAATTTGATCTATTGAATTATAGTTTACGTTCTGCTAGAATATTTTTTCGTGCTGATAAAACAGCTGAAGAAGATAAACGTATGTTATTAGCGCATAAGAATCAGCTAAATTTTTTTTGCTCTCCATAAATTCATATTGCTATTTGATTGTTGATTAAATAAGGTAAGAAATAATTTACAAAGAATCTACGTGAATAAATATACATATACATATAAATGTTTATATCTACTTTTAGAATCATCAATGGCTGAAAATGAAGCACGCGTACAAACAGAAACAGTACCAGCTATTGTTGATGTACCTCCTATCACCGGAAGTGTACCACCACCTCCTCCTCCGCCACCACCACCACCACCACCACCATCAATGTCAAGTGGTGCACCTCCACCACCACCGCCACCACCTCCTCCCTTCTTTACAAACTAACTGAAAATCAATTATTCAAGATACATGGATATTCTTTTTTTTTATAAAATATAATTGACCGGTGATTTTTAATATTTATTCCTCTTGATGATTTTTCTGTATGTAATTTTACTTGTAACTTTTTTAAAAATTTATTTGATTATGTTTTTTTTCAATGTACTAAATTTCGCTCTTGTATTTCTAGAAGTATCTCAATTCTTATTTAGATCTGAAGTACATGAATCTTATTATCAGTATAATTATTATTGTAAGTATATTTTCTAGTATAATTTTATCTCCATACAATTTTATTTCCAGACTATTTTGATCATTGAGCCAAGTGTTACAGGTGATGTTTGTTCCGGAATATGTAAATGTTCTAAAGATCTTATAACTGTAAATTGTGATTCAAAACATTGGACAGATTTAAACGATAAAGAATTTCCTTCAAATGTTGTTACTTTAACACTTATTAACAATCAATTAAAATTCGATACAAGTAAACATTTTATAATCGAAGTATTCTAATTTATATTTTCCCTTTTATTATAGTAAATGATCGTTCTAAAATTGAAAACTTACCTCGCCTAACTGATCTAAGTCTTAATGCAAATCCACTTGGAACAATTCCACCCTTCAATGATTCAAAAATTCGATCACTTTCTTTACAAGATACTTCATTAACATCAGCTAAATTTCCTTCGTCTTATATGAGTTCATTTTTACAAACTATTTCACTCAATAATAATAAAATTCGTACAATTAATGTCGATGACTTTATTAATTTAAAAAATTCACAACTCAAAAAATTACATATCGATAGTGCGAGTCTCTCAATAATTGATCAAAATGCATTTACTCCATTAATTCAACTTCAGGAATTATCATTAAAAAATAATCAATTAAAATCATGTGAATTTTTAACAACATTTCGTTTACTTTCTTCAATTCAATTGGATGGAAATCAATTTACGTCTCTTCCACAAGAATTATCAACACCAAAAGTTATTAAAACATTCTCATTTAAATATAATTCTATATCAACTATTGATGAATTATCACCTTTAAATACATGGCATAAAATGAATCATACAGATATAAGAATCTATTTATCAAATAATTCATTTGATTGTTGTCAATCATTATGGTTTATTCGATTTTTAAAAACATCAGCATATTTTGTTCCTGATGCGTCATTATTAACATGTGCGACTCCATCGAATTATGCTGGAAAACAATTGATTAAACTTAATCCAGATGAAATGAATTGTGGATCAATTATACCAGATAAATCATGGTGGACAACAACTCGAATTATTGGTATTTCTGTTGGAGGAATAGTTACTGTTTTAATTTTGATTACTAGTATTATTATAATTATTCGTCGAAGACCATCACGTTCAGGTTATACTGAAATCGGAGGACAGAACGATGCATTACCTAATGCACCAATATTAACATCAAGTGATCTTCCATTTCCAGCAGATTATGAAGATGATGATTCTGTTTCAACATATTCTACTGCTACAAGAAACACCACTAGATCTCAAGCACCCACAGTCAGTACTACTGTTGGTGTTTCAGCAGTTGATAATTGTCACGTTTAAAAAATTCTTTCGTATTGACTTATTATTTTTGATCTGATTAGTTAGTGCTATTAGCTTCCTATTAGCCCAGCATTATTTAGTTTCTATAATTATTTGCGTGCATGTGATACATTAAGCATAATTGTAAATTATTTATTATCTCATAATAAAAATCTCGGTGAAAAAACAATCTATTCCATTAATGGACTTAACAGTGAAATTCGGCATATCGTTATCAATGAATTTTTATAAAATAATCAGCACAATGCAATCTATCTCTTCTCTTATTCTCTTTCTCGTAGAGAAGAGTCCAGCAAACATAAATTGTCTGATTGCTTGCTTGCTTGTGTGTTCACAGGGTCAAAAAAACATCAAAAATCAGTTTTTCGAAAAAGACATTTCTCGAAGTATTTCGATGCGGAGAGCTCGAATCTGAGGATTATTGGGTAACCGTGAAGAGGGGTCAAAGGTCAAAAAAACATCGAAGGACGATTTTTCATCGTTTTCAATTACTTTCGAGTAAATGTGAAGAGGATACATTTCGACGAGAAAGAGCTAAGCGAGTCCTTGGACAAGCGTTACTTGTAATATTTTACATTCAATGATTGAAAATGAAAAAAGCAAAAGAAGCTTTTCATAAACAATGTATCTGATCTTCTCTGGAGATTATAGTAAATTCAATTTTAGATAATCAATATAAAAATGTCAAATATGTAGAAATAAATGAATACATTTATTCTTATTCGAAATATCTCTCTTGCTATTCGAACTTGTACGCAATTTCTTATTTTTCTCTGACAATACTCGTCCCCACTTATGTGGTTATTTTTTCTTGATTAAATACTATTACTAATTATATACATCGGCATACTTATTATTTAATGTAATACAAGCTTATTTTTTCTACTATTATAAAATAAAGTTTTTTGAGCATAAAATTATTAGTAAAACATAATTACATTATTCACTCGATTTTATTCATATTTTAAGAAGTGATTTAAAATAAAACTCCATTTAATATACAAATATTATTGAATAACAGGTAGATCGTCTTCTTCTGGCGGAATAATAGCAACAGTAGGTGGTTGAAGTGATCTGATTGGTTTGAAACCATTATCTTCTTCTTGTTCTTGTTCTTCTTCACTACTACTATTACTAATTTCTGTATCAGTAGTTGAAACATGATTTCTTAATATATCATCAGCAAAACATGCTGAAAATCTTCGTTGTAATTCATAAAATCTTGATGGAATTGAAAGATTTGAATTGCTATTATTTAAACTATTAGGTAATTTTATATCGGACGTATTATGCCAATCAGCAAGCCGAGAATCACTAATTGAACGTTTACGTTTTTGTAACGATTGATCAGAACTATGATGTGATGAGAATTTTTTCTTAAATCGTTTTTGTTGTAATGCTATTAATTGAATATTACTAGCTGATTTTCGTTCTTCAATATCAAGAATTCGTTGTTCAGCTACATTAAGACGATCTTTAGCAATTATATGTTTAGTACGAATATCTAAAAGACCATTATTACAAGAAACTGTACGTTGTGGTGGATGAAAAAACTATGAAAATTTTTAAAAATAAGAAAAATTTATCATTGAATTTTAATCTTACTTTAGTAGTAAAACCAGAGCTAGACATTTTTTATTGCTTGTTTCCAAGATTACAATCGGCAACTACTTTTTATTTCATAATATCAAACAATATTGTAATTATTTTCTTTCTTTATCGATTGATTGTAAAGAAAAAGAAAAAAAAGTCATATTCTTCTTCCGAAAAAAAACGGACTTTTGCGTGGTGTAACATATTCTTTTTCTTTATATTGAATTAAAATCAATTTCTAATCATACTTTATTTAAAGGTTGTTTAGTTCTTATATTAATATAAAAAAGATTGTAGAAAATCAACTATTTTAATAAAATAATAATACAAAGGGGAAAAAAACTAAAGAATTTGGATTTCTCATATATTTAATGTCTTTTAAGATTAAAAATCATTCATGCGTAGTATTCACTATCTTACTCTAGTACATATGTGTACATATATATATATACATATTTGTCTATTTCGATGCACATATATGATAAGTGAACGGTAAGGGGATGATTAATATATGGATGTTCAACTAACGAAAAGTAGGATATCCATTTTAGTTGAAGTATTCAATTTGTCAATGATCGTATATTTTTCAAGGAAAAAGGTACACGATTCTAGTTATTTAAATATTAGATTAGTCTTTTTCATTCATGATATCGAAAGATGCATGATTTAATCAATCATATCTTATGCAAATTATTTAATGATAATATATGTCATAATTATCTTACTTTCCCATTAATTATATTTCTATTTTTCTAATTAAATATATATGAATTTTTCTGTTGTTACTCTAAAGTTTACTATCGAACATAACGGTTAGCTTGATTAGAAGCCTTTTAACCGTCTACTTTAATTTTGGTTAAAATTTTATTTTTAACATGCACTGTCATCGTCTAATCATGCCTTTCGCGCGTGATACGATTAAAGCAATTTCATCGATGATCACGATATTATATACCTTTTATTGAACAACTAAATATAATATTTTTATGTTATTCTTATTTATCATCAAAAATTAGAAGCAAATTTTTAATTCGTCGTCATGATGTGTTAGAATAAAAATAGTAAATTATTAGCTTTCGTCAGCATGATATAGTAAAAAATACAATATATGTATATGTGTATATATAGCGATGCAATGTATACATTTGAGAACATATGTTTTGGTTGAGTACGAACAACATAGCGGCAGAATAGTGCGCATGTGGTATTTTTTTTCTCTCTCTCTCTTTATTATTGTTGTTTTTTTGTTTTTTCTGTTCTGAGTCTAAAGTGCGCCAAAGATGAGAAGAACAAAAAAAACCATGATGCCATGCGAAAAAGAAAGAAAAACGAGGAGAAAAATCTAGCAACAACAAGATATTTTCATTCCATATATATTGTTGTTCTACATATAGGATGAAGAATAAGAAAAATAGACGCAAAAAAGGTGTGTCTTTTGTTTATTTATTTTTTTTATGTTACATTAAACGAAAAAAAAAAACTGTCCAAATAATAATTTTCATTTTAGTATTTTATTTCTAAATGGCATTAGATTTTGGTTTTGGTTTTATTGCTGGAGTAACTGGCACCATTGCCGGTTATCCATTTGATACAGTTAAAGTTCGTCTTCAAACTCAAACACTAAATCATCGATTATATACTGGTTCATTAGATTGTTTTATTAAAATTGCCAAACAAGAATCTATATTAGGTTTTTATAAAGGCATGTCATCTCCAATGTTTGGTGTTGCTATTATAAATGGAATTGTTTTTTCTATACAAAATGTTTCAAGAGGCTTCTTTACTAATCCAGATAGTTATTTAACTTTAACAATAACTGGTGCGATTGCTGGTGGTGTACAATCAATTATATGTTCACCTATTGAACTTGTTAAAACACGTTTACAAGTACAAGGCATTGGACAAGGAAGAAAATTATTTGCATTATCAACACATTTATATAAAGGTCCATTTGATTGTTTAAAAAAATCTTATGATAGACGAGGCGTTCGACATGGTGTTATGCGTGGTTTATCAATGACATTTGCACGTGATATACCATCGTTTGCTGCTTATTTTCCAGCATGGCAATTTTTTGTTTCAACTGTTTCACCAACTGGTCAAGAAGCTGATTTACCAATGTATATGAGTTTAATTGGAGGTGGTTTTACTGGTATATGTGCTTGGACTGTATCATATCCATTTGATGTGATTAAAAGTCGTTATCAAGCAGCAAGAGAACATGTTTATAAAAGTGTATGGGATTGTGCAGTAAAATCCTTTCGTACAGAAGGATGGCAAGTATTTACTCGAGGATTTCTTCCATGTACATTACGTGCTGTACCAACAAATGCATTTACCTATCCTGTTTATGCTTTTTTAAAACGAACATTTGATAAACAATCTGATGAATATGATAATGATGGAATTGATATGACAACAAAAGCTGTTAATAAAACAAAGCTATCAAGTACAACCACAGTTTCACCTCCATCAATAACTCCAATACAATCAATATGATTGAAAAGTCTTTTTTTTTGTTTTTCTTTTCGTTCAAAGAAAAAAGAAATGTATGCATGTCAGATGGAGGCTCACTTTTTTTTATTTTACTTAATTTTATTTGACAAAACATTTTTATGGAATCTCCGTTTGTTTTTAACGATCCGTTGCTATTTGTATATAATAAGTAGATCTAATTAGATCGGTAAAATAAACAAATTTAGAAGAAATATATTATGTGTATATATTTATTTACTAAATTTGAGTTAATATTGAAAAATTTATTTAGATTTTTTTTCTTTTTTTTTTGTTATAATGTCATTCATAATATGACAATACAATTATCTTCGATAAAAAAAATAAAGGTCATGTATTGTTCCTAACTAGCCTCGATCATGATCGATGATGAAAACCTTCTATTCATGATCGATATATGATATTTTGTTTATCGTATCTTCAAATATCGTCCAGACTTTCGACTACGAAAAAAATTTTGAATGAATTTCTTCTTATTCAACGAAAACAAATGAATAGTTTATAAGAAAACAATATAAACTATCTAATACATATTTGTTTATTTGATTTTTCTTTTGTACTATAGAATATTTTATAAATTTTTCTATTTAGTAATAAAACAAAAGATTTCTTTATGATTTTATTCGATAATTTGAGCATATTTGAATGTATCTTAATCTTTAAACAAGAAATAGTATGTCTTTGATGTAATATAGTTAGCCTTCTTTGTTTACTATAATGATAAATTTCTTTTGTATGAAACAGAATGAATAAAAATAAGTGTATATAGAAGAATTTAAAATTATATCGTCTAGTTGAATCATTCCATCTAATTTCTCTTTTGTATTCGTCCGTTTAACTTGTACGAAACGGATTAAGATACGATAAGTATATTTATATACATCATCTGACCTCGACAGTGCATACGATAAGAGAATGCACAGAATGATGCGTCAACCACCTCCGCCTCCACCACCACCACCACCCCCACTTTCTTCTTCAAATTCATCAGGACCAACAAAACCACATCTTTCACGAAATTCAACACGTTTACTGAATGAATCAATCAAATCTAGGTAATATTATGATATTATTTTTTTAAATTAATGTACAAAGTTTTGTTTTTAGAAAGACTAGTACTAATGGAAGTAGTAGTATTAATAATAAGAGTACTAGTAATGGCTACTGGTGGGATGTTGCTCATGTAACAAGTCGTCAACATGAACAAGAACAAAGTACTAATAAAGAACGTCGACTTACTTTCCGTCGTATTGTTAAACTAGCAGTGTACTTTCTCTTCTTTTGTATTGTTCTTGCATCAGCTGTAGTTAGTAAACTCAGTTTATTTACTATGATTAATGCATACAAAACTGCTGAACAAGTTTGTATTATTATTTATTTAAACATATTTAAAATAATTTTTTTTATTTTCTCTAGCCAAAAGAATATATTGTTCGATGGCAAGTACTTTTACTTATAGCTATGTGTGTACCATATGTATTAACATTTCTGCAAAGTCTTCAACTGTCGATTTTTTTTATTAAACGTTCTCCACCATTTTTTCTGGCTATATGGGTATAGAAAATAACAAACTTTTATTTTTTTGTTTTATTAATATGATTTTTATGATTTTTCAAGGTTCATATTGTTGAAGCATGCCATACAGCTGGTCTTTCGCTGCTTGTCTTTCGTATTTTACCTTCGATAGATAATGCATCTGGATTATTTATATTAAATGGTGTATGTATAGTACCGGCTATATTAAATTTATTTTCATCACATCGTGGTCTTAATCAAACAATGAAAATTTTAACACTTGTAGCCGATATTGGAGCTGTTATCATGCAATTATGTGTTTGTTTCATTCCATATATACTCTCAGTAAAAGAAAATACAGCAAGTGGATTAAGTTGGCAATTACCATTAGCACTTTTACTTATCTCGCTTGGTTATTGGGAAAGTTTTATTGAAACACCTCTATCAAAAAAACGTTTTTTTAAATGGTTTCAAAATGGTATTCGTGCATTAAAAAAAACTCGTCCAAAAGTTTACGTTACAGCAAGTCTTTTGAAAATCTTCGTCTTAATATCAACAGCTATGTATTTCTTACCAGAAGCAATTGATAGAAAAATGTACTTACGTATATTTGAACGTATACCTATTGGTTATACACATTCAACTGTTAGTCGAGTAGTTGGCGGAGGTATATTTGATGAACATGAAGATCTTTTTCGAATAACATATGAAGCTTATATTCCATTAATTGTACAAGTATTTTCGTCATGTATTTGTTATTATACTGGTCGTGTTGCGTGTAAAGTAAGTTGAATAGATTTTATTTGATTCGAACATCAATCTATCTTTTTTCTTTCTTCTATTAAGGTATTAATGCAAAGTTTTGGTTTTTCATTACCATTAACATTATCTACATTAGTTACTTATATCGTATTATTTTTTACACAATTTAAAAGTAAAACAGACTTTATTGCTCTTGGTCATCTTTTTTATCTTGATAAACCACAAGGTAAATCAAAATAAATAAATTCTGTTTTCTTATTTATTTTTATTTTAGCACTTGGTTCAAAACTTGTAATTGTATCTTTAATTGGCTTTTTACTTCTATGGTTATCAAAAATGAAAATAACAAGTCATGTTTGGTTTCCAACATCCGAACGTTTAGCAGTGATACACAGATTATTTGTTCTTCCATATTATGAATCAGCTATTGTTGAACAAAATTTATTACTTAATAAACGACAAAAAGATGATATTGAAATGAAAGATCAAGTTGAACCGGATTTAACACTTGAAAGAAAATTTCCTGTACCAATGATTTATGTATGTGCAACAATGTGGCATGAAACTACAAATGAAATGGTTCAATTACTTAAATCAATATTTCGGTATACGAAAAAACAAAAAAAAAATTATTTTATTTATCATAATCTGTTTTATATATAGTCTTGATTCTGATCAACATGCTCGTCGTACAGTACAAAAAAATTTACGTGTACTTGATCCAGATTATTATCGATTTGAAACACATGTTCTGTTTGATGATGCATTTGAAGAAGATGAACATGGTAATCGTATACCAAATCGTTATGTTCGACAATTAGTTACGGCTGTTAATGTTGCTGGAGAGTATGTACATGGTGTAGAAAAAGTTGTTGAAGATCCAATTAAAATTCCAACACCATATGGTGGACGTCTTGTCTGGTTATTACCAGGAAAAAATCGTTTGATTGTTCATATGAAAGATAAATATCATATACGACATAAAAAACGTTGGAGTCAAGTTAGTTAATTTGAATCTTTTTTTCAAACTGATGTATGTATTTGTTTTCTAGGTCATGTATATGTATTATTTACTTTCATTTAAACTATTACGTCGACGACAAAATGTACATAATGTATCACAACATACAACTCGATTAGATGCAGAATTTATTGGATTTAGTGACTTTTTGAAAGGTCTACCAGATGATAGAAAGATTGCTGTACGAATAAAATTTTATGATAAATAAAAAATCAATGTTTTTTTTATTTAGGCTCAAAATACATTCGTTTTAGCTCTTGATGGTGACGTAGATTTTAAACCTGAAGCTATTCTGTTATTAGTTGATCGAATGCGTAAAAATCCAAAAGTTGCAGCAGCTTGTGGTCGAATTCATCCGACAGGCGATGGTAAAAAAAACGTATTTATCAATTTTTATATCCTTATTTTCATTCTTTAGGACCTATTGTATGGTATCAACAATTTGAATATGCAGTTGGTCATTGGCTTCAAAAAGCTGCTGAACATAAATTAGGTAGTGTTCTATGTTGTCCTGGTTGTTTTTCATTATTTCGTGGTTCATCATTAATGGATGATAATGTTATGCGACGTTATGCAGATAAATCAACTGAAGCAGCACATTACGTACAATATGATCAAGGTAAACTATATTTGTTTCTTTTGCTAGTTATTAATTTCATTTGTTTTGTTATTTAGGTGAGGATCGTTGGTTAACTACACTTCTTCTTCAACAAGGTTATCGTGTTGAATATTGTGCTGCATCTGATGCTTTTACTCATGCACCAGAAACATTTAAAGAATTTTTTAATCAACGTCGTCGTTGGATGCCTTCCACAATGGCAAATATTATGGATTTACTTAAGGATACAAAACATACAACACATGTCAATGAAAATATTTCGAAACTCTATATGTTTTATCAAGCGGTTTTATTCGTATCAACAATTTTAGGTCCAGGAACAATTTTATTAACTATAGCTTCAGCATTACGTACAGTTTTCTCAACATTAACTATAGCTGAATCATATACAATATCAATTTTACCAGCAATTTTTTATATACTTGTATGTCTTAAAACAAAATCAGATACACAAATTGCTATTGGTGCTATAATGACAGCTATTTATGCTTTGGTTATGTCTATGGTACTTGTCGCAACAGTTGCCCAAATTCTTAAATCCGGTCTTTTAGATCCAAGTGCTGTATTTTTACCGATTGTTGCTACAATTTTTATTATAACTGGTATACTGCATCCGAACGAAATGCTTAATTTACTTCATGGTTTTCTTTATCTTGTAACAATTCCTGGTGGTTATCTTCTTCTTGTTACTTATGCTTTATGTAATTTACATGTTGTATCATGGGGCACACGAGAAACAGTTGAAGTTGCTAAAAAGAAAAAATTAAAACCAGGCGAAAAAGAAATTATTTTACCAGGTAAAAAGAGAAAAGAAAAAAAAACATAATTAAATTCTGTTTACATAATATTACTTGATATAATAGATCCAAAAAAACGTCGAACAACAGATGTTTTTAATAATATGCTTTGGGGTAGTAGTAATGATGGAGGACATCGTGGTTTTATTCATCAAATGGGTGATGCAATCGAACAAGTTTTTCGACCAACAGCGAAAAAACAAGAATTACTTTTACAACAAATCATTACGAAACTTGATCGAGATAATACAAATCCTGACAGAGAAAAAATGCATGGTATGATTGAAAAAGAATATAATGATTTAGATCTATTCTATTAAATTTATTTCAGAGATCAATTTACGAGAAGCCAATAGTACTGATTTACTTATTGTACCAGGTGATAATGATATACATGATACTAGTTCATCTAATACAACTTCAGTAACAACATCAATATGTAATAAATCTCGAAATAATATGGTTAATCCATATTGGTCCGAATTATCATGGCTTGGTCCTGAATCTGTTGTCGGTTATCTTCATACAGATGAAATAACATTTTGGCAACAAATTTTAGCTAAATATTTAGCACCACTTGATAAAGATGCTGAAGAAGAACGTCGTATATCACATGATTTAATTGGTTTAAGAAATAATGCTGGTTTTGCATTTTTTATGATCAATGCTATTTGGATAATATTACAATTTCAATGTGAATATGTTTCAACAAAATTTACTGAACTTATGGTTGATATTGGTCGACCATTTGGACGAGAAGGAACAAAAGTACAATTATTAGGTCTATTATTTATGTTATTTTTTGCAACATGTATGATTATACAATTTGTTACAATGATATTACATCGATGGGGAACATTTGTTGAAATTTTAGCTAGTACAAAATTATTTGAAAAACATCGAAAATATAAATTAAAACCCGGTTCAGATATAGCTGGAATGACAAGTCAAGAAGTCGCTGAAGTTTTAAGAGAATTAGATATTCAATTAGTTGTACCACCTGTTACAACAACAGCACCACCAAAACAACAAAGTGTAACATTTCAAATGGAACCTGTTATGAAACCAATAAATGAAATTCATAGTCCTGATTATGATGAAGATGATGATGATGATATAGATGATTTTGAAGATGTATATATCGAACCACCAGTTGATTATTTTGATCATCCCGTTGTTCAAGATGCTGATGATAGTCGTCTTCGTCTTATGTGATTCATCAATCCTATTCTTGCTTGCCTTTTTATTGTAATAATTTTTCTATGACTTTTTCTAGTCTTATTTTTATGTTTTTTTTCTATTTTTATCCGTTCGCAAAAAAAAAACAAAATAAAACATCTTATAGAAAAATCTTTCAGTTTTAATTTATACGAGATTATTATGATTGAAAATATAACCAAGACTTACACACATTCTCAACATGATTGAAGAGACCAGAACAAATTCGATAAGAAATCTTTTGTAAAATATTACGGCTATGAATTCATTTTAATACAAGTCAATGTATTAAAGATATATATATGTGATAAATTCTATGTCTATCTTTTATACAAAACATGATTTAGCAATTATCACCAAATAACATCAAATATACAATAATGTTATTTATTTCTTGATAATAGACGAAAGAAAAATAATATATAGACGAACGAATCTATTTATCATATTGAAAGTAAACGTCAAATGCAATCGATAAATGCTAAATGAATGATTACCTTGTATTTTAAATTGATGCTCTAATAGTCTATTTGATATGGAGAATTATACAAGAATCTATATACAATCATTTGACCATGTATTCGATTTGACAAAAATACATTGAATAGGTTTCAGTAAACAATATATTTCGAAAAATTCAGATATCAAGATTTTATTAGAATCTATTCTTTGTGAGATTATCAATGAGTATATTAACTTTGAATATATTATCTATCTATTAATATTTATAATAAAAATTTTATATGATGAAACTATTTGTACTTAATGTAAATCAGATATTCTATCCTAATGGCTAGTTTCAATATGTAATATGTCTATTAATATGAAATATGCCATTAACCTTTTTCTTTATTGATTATTTTAAAGCTTACAGAAGCAAATCATCTGTCTATCATATAGTAATTTCATGAAAAACCTTGAAATATGGCTCCGATAAATTAGTTATTGTATCTAATTTGATCGTATTCGACTTTTCGTTTTTGATTTCACAGTTACAAAACGATTCGTATTTGGCCATCACTAAATATGTCGTAATTATGACGTTGAGTGATACAAATATTCTATTGAAAAGTACATTGAGTCGAGTTTTTGAAATGTATGTTAAAAAAACAAACGTATATACGTATTAAGCTACCGACTAATTGTATCTGTGTTTATCAGACATTCTAAATATATATTTGATTTTATCCATCGAATAATCCCTGAAATATAATTGATAACCATCAATAATATTGCGTTATTTTCGTATTGATTTATGCTAATAGCCTTGTCTAGATATCGTTCATCCTTCAGTTTTTGTTCTTCATTGCCATCGTGAGTGATATTGTCAACATGAAGAGAATTATCAATTCTTTAGCTTTTCAGTTATATATTATACAATAATCTTGTGTCTACAGATTATTGATTGGTTTAACTTTGAATGCCCAACCACAAAATATCATAGGCTTCTTTTTTT